ACACTTAAAGAGGCATAATAAACATACTTTCATTCTCACGAAGTGATTATTGAAGAGATTTGGGCAAGTATAAAGGATTTATGGAAAAATATTCAGATTTTTAAATTTAATTTACAATATTTTGCGCGCCATATTTCCTTTGAATGGCACATTTGGCAAGAGAAATTTTGGGAATGCGTTCCAAGGGCCCTCAGACATCTTCCTAGCAAGTTTCAAACAATTTCATTTTTTGGCCAAAATTGAAAAAAATGTAAGGGGTTAGCCTTACATTTTTAGCAAATTTGGGTCAAAAATCGACTTTTCTGGAAACAACCCAGAAACACTTAAGGAGGCATAATAAACATACTTTCAATCTCAAGAAGTGATTAATGAAGAGATTTGGGCAAGGATAAAGGATTTATGGAAAAATATTCAGATTTTTAAAAATTAATTTACAATATTTTGCGCGCCATATTTCCTTTGAATGGCACATTTGGCAAAAGAAATTTTGGGAATGCGTTCTAAGGGCCCTCAGGCATCTTCCTAGCAAGTTTCAAGCAATTTCATTTTTTGGCCAAAATTGAAAAAATTGTAAGGGGTTAGCCTTACATTTTTAGCAAATTTGGGTCAAAAATCGACTTTTCTGGAAACAACCCAGAAACACTTAAGGAGGCATAATAAACATACTTTCATACTCAAGAAGTGATTATTGAAGAGATTTGGGCAAGTATAAAGGATTTATGGAAAAATATTCAGATTTTTTTATTTAATTTACAATATTTTGCGCGCCATATTTCCTTTGAATGGCACATTTGGCAAGAGAAATTTTGGGAATGCGTTCCAAGGGCCCTCAGACATCTTCCTAGCAAGTTTCAAACAATTTCATTTTTTGGCCAAAATTGAAAAAAATGTAAGGGGTTAGCCTTACATTTTTAGCAAATTTGGGTCAAAAATCGACTTTTCTGGAAACAACCCAGAAACACTTAAGGAGGCATAATAAACATACTTTCAATCTCAAGAAGTGATTAATGAAGAGATTTGGGCAAGGATAAAGGATTTATGGAAAAATATTCAGATTTTTAAAAATTAATTTACAATATTTTGCGCGCCATATTTCCTTTGAATGGCACATTTGGCAAAAGAAATTTTGGGAATGCGTTCTAAGGGCCCTCAGGCATCTTCCTAGCAAGTTTCAAGCAATTTCATTTTTTGGCCAAAATTGAAAAAATTGTAAGGGGTTAGCCTTACATTTTTAGCAAATTTGGGTCAAAAATCGACTTTTCTGGAAACAACCCAGAAACACTTAAGGAGGCATAATAAACATACTTTCATACTCAAGAAGTGATTATTGAAGAGATTTGGGCAAGTATAAAGGATTTATGGAAAAATATTCAGATTTTTTTATTTAATTTACAATATTTTGCGCGCCATATTTCCTTTGAATGGCACATTTGGCAAGAGAAATTTTGGGAATGCGTTCCAAGGGCCCTCAGACATCTTCCTAGCAAGTTTCAAGCAATTTCATTTTTTGGCCAAAATTGAAAAAAATGTAAGGGGTTAGCCTTACATTTTTAGCAAAATTGGGTCAAAAATCGACTTTTCTGGAAACAACTCAGAAACACTTAAGGAGGCATAATAAACATACTTTCATACTCAAGAAGTGATTATTGAAGAGATTTGGGCAAGTATAAAGGATTTATGGAAAAATATTCAGATTTTTTTATTTAATTTACAATATTTTGCGCGCCATATTTCCTTTGAATGGCACATTTGGCAAAAGAAATTTTGGGAATGCGTTCTAAGGGCCCTCAGGCATCTTCCCAGCAAGTTTCAAACAATTTCATTTTTTGGCCAAAATTGAAAAAATTGTAAGGGGTTAGCCTTACATTTTTAGCAAATTTGGGTCAAAAATCGACTTTTCTGGAAACAACCCAGAAACACTTAAGGAGGCATAATAAACATACTTTCATACTCAAGAAGTGATTATTGAAGAGATTTGGGCAAGTATAAAGGATTTATGGAAAAATATTCAGATTTTTTATTTAATTTACAATATTTTGCGCGCCATATTTCCTTTGAATGGCACATTTGGCAAGAGAAATTTTGGGAATGCGTTCCAAGGGCCCTCAGACATCTTCCTAGCAAGTTTCAAGCAATTTCATTTTTTGGCCAAAATTGAAAAAAATGTAAGGGGTTAGCCTTACATTTTTAGCAAAATTGGGTCAAAAATCGACTTTTCTGGAAACAACCCAGAAACACTTAAGGAGGCATAATAAACATACTTTCATACTCAAGAAGTGATTATTGAAGAGATTTGGGCAAGGATAAAGGATTTATGGAAAAATATTCAGATTTTTAAAAATTTAATTTACAATATTTTGCGCGCCATATTTCCTTTGAATGGCACATTTGCCAAGAGAAATTTTGGGAATGTGTTCTAAGGGCCCTCAGGCATCTTCCTAGCAAGTTTCAAACAATTTCATTTTTTGGCCAAAATTGAAAAAATTGTAAGGGGTTAGCCTTACATTTTTAGCAAATTTGGGTCAAAAATCGACTTTTCTGGAAAAAGCCCAGAAACACTTAAGGAGGCATAATAAACATACTTTCATACTCAAGAAGTGATTATTGAAGAAATTTGGGCAAGTATAAAGGATTTATGGAAAAATATTCAGATTTTTAAAAATTTAATTTACAATATTTTGCGCGCCATATTTCCTTTGAATGGCACATTTGACATGAGAAATTTTGGGAATGCGTTCTAAGGGCCCTCAGGCATTTTCCTAGCAAGTTTCAAGCAATTTCATTTTTTGGCCAAAATTGAAAAAATGTAAGGGGTTAGCCTAACATTTTTAGCAAATTTGGGTCAAAAATCGACTTTTCTGGAAACAACTCAGAAACACTTAAGGAGGCATAATAAACATACTTTCATACTCAAGAAGTGATTATTGAAGAGATTTGGGCAAGTATAAAGGATTTATGGAAAAATATTCAGATTTTTGTATTTAATTTACAATATTTTGCGCGCCATATTTCCTTTGAATGGCACATTTGGCAAGAGAAATTTTGGGAATGCGTTCCAAGGGCCCTCAGACATATTCCTAACAAGTTTCAAGCAATTTCATTTTTTGGACAAAATTGAAAAAAATGTAAGGGGTTAGCCTTACATTTTTAGCAAATTTGGGTCAAAAATCGACTTTTCTGAAAACAACCCAGAAACACTAAAGGAGGCATAATAAACATACTTTCATTCTCAAGAAGTGATTATTGAAGAGATTTGGGCAAGGATAAAGGATTTATGGAAAAATATTCAGATTTTAAAAATTTTAATTTACAATATTTTGCGCGCCATATTTCCTTTGAATGGCACATTTGGCAAGAGAAATTTTGGGAATGCGTTCTAAGGGCCCTCAGGCATCTTCCTAGCAAGTTTCAAAAAAATTCATTTTTTGGCCAAAATTGAAAAAATTGTAAGGGGTTAGCCTTACATTTTTAGCAAATTTGGGTCAAAAATCGACTTTTCTGGAAACAACCCAGAAACACTTAAGGAGGCATAATAAACATACTTTCATACTCAAGAAGTGATTATTGAAGAGATTTGGGCAAGTATAAAGGATTTATGGAAAAATATTCAGATTTTTTTATTTAATTTACAATATTTTGCGCGCCATATTTCCTTTGAATGGCACATTTGGCAAGAGAAATTTTGGGAATGCGTTCCAAGGGCCCTCAGACATATTCCTAGCAAGTTTCAAGCAATTTCATTTTTTGGACAAAATTGAAAAAAATGTAAGGGGTTAGCCTTACATTTTTAGCAAATTTGGGTCAAAAATCGACTTTTCTGGAAACAACTCAGAAACACTTAAGGAGGCATAATAAACATACTTTCATTCTCAAGAAGTGATTATTGAAGAGATTTGGGCAAGGATAAAGGATTTATGGAAAAATATTCAGATTTTTAAAAATTTAATTTACAATATTTTGCGCACCATATTTCCTTTGAATGGCACATTTGGCAAGAGAAATTTTGGGAATGCGTTTTAAGGGCCCTCAGGCATCTTCCTAGCAAGTTTCAAACAATTTCATTTCTTGGCCAAACTTGAAAAAATTGTAAGGGGTAAGCCTTACATTTTTAGCAAATTTGGGTCAAAAATCGACCTTTCTGGAAACAACTCAGAAACACTTAAGGATGCATAATAAACATACTTTCATACTCAAGAAGTGATTATTGAAGAGATTTGGGCAAGTATAAAGGATTTATGGAAAAATATTAAGTTTTTAAAATTTAATTTACAATATTTTGCGCGCCATATTTCCTTTGAAAGGCACATTTGGCAAGAGAAATTTTGGGAATGCGTTCTAGTGGCCCTCAGGCATCTTCCTAGCAAGTTTCAAGCAATTTCATTTTTCGGTCAAAATTGAAAAAAATGTAAGGGGTTAGCCTTACATTTTTAGCAAATTTGGGTCAAAAATCGACTTTTCTGGAAACAACCCAGAAACACTTAAGGAGGCATAATAAACATACTTTCATACTCAAGAAGTGATTATTGAAGAGATTTGGGCAAGTATAAAGGATGTATGGAAAAATATTCAGATTTTTTTATTTAATTTACAATATTTTGCGCGCCATATTTCCTTTGAATGGCACATTTGGCAAGAGAAATTTTGGGAATGCGTTCTAAGGGCCCTCAGGCATCTTCCTGGCAAGTTTCAAGCAATTTCATTTTTTTGCCAAAATTGAAAAAATTGCAAGGGGTTAGCCTTACATTTTTAGCAAATTTGGGTCAAAAATCGACTTTTCTGGAAACAATTCAGAAACACTTAAGGAGGCATAATATAAATACTGTCATTCTCAAGAAGTGATTATTGAAGAGATTTGGGCAAGGATAAAGGATTTACGGAGAAATATTAACATTTTTTTAAATTTTTTATTCAATTTACATTTTTGTGCACGCCATATTTCCTTTGAATGGCACATCTGGCAAGAGAATATTGGGGGATGAGTTGAAAGACCAGACTCATGCTTTTTCCATGCAATTTTAAAGCAATTTTTATTGTCAAAAGAGATGTAAGAATATCATGATTTTAATTCTCATAAAGGCAGTTTAAAAAAAACCAAAAAATAAACAACGCAATAATTCAACGCCGAGAAGGCAAAGGACCAATGAAAAAAGAATATCCACTCTGAGCACATCAAGAAATTAACAACATTGCCTGAAACAAAAGGAAATAATTGAAATGATTTTTCCCAATGTGACTTCAGTGAAATCTCGATAAGTCAAACTCTGATAACTCAAAACAACTGTTAAGGCAAACAATGAATCAATTGCCTTCATTAATATAAAAATGATACACAACCCTGCTTAACTCAAAACTCTGCTTAAATCAAATTTTGAACCTGTTCTCTTGAGAACAGGACTTATCGAGACTTCACTGTATATGACCTTTAAAAGATAAGCACAAACAGAAAATCAACTTTGTAAAAATTAAGTTTTAAAATGGAACAGTTGAAATACTTGCAATAATCAAAACACAACATATCACTGCACATTGAAAAATGAAAAACTCCTCGTTGCTACCTTACTCGGTGTAATTTACAAAAATACATCGGACCAAAATTTTTGTTCACATTTGGCAGAACCAGCTGTCCGTGTTTTGCTCTGTCCCAGAATTTGAATACGTGACCCAAGCACTGGGTCAGGGGTGAAAGGTCAACTACAGCAACCTCCATGTTGGTTTCAGACTGGCAATGATAGAGGGCGCTCTCTACGACGGCATCGTTCTGCTGCTGCGAGAGGGAGCACGTGGAGTAGACAACATCGCCACCGGGCTTCACAGCCTTCAGCCCAGCACTACATAAAAATTGAGAGAAAAAAACAAACAAAGAAACAAAAACCAAAATATCAGATATTTAAAAATGAATTATTCAGTGTGTTCATAGTGAAGCGTTTTGCCTTTATTCCCATCCCTAAGCAGCGAACTTACAACTGAAGAGTTTGCTTCAAAAATGTGATAAATCCATTTGAAAAAAAAATGAGAATTTCACACTTATGAAAATTTATATTGACACTATAACAGCTTTTTCTAAACTAGTTTTCATTATATTCTTAAAATGTATTTAACTATAACACAACCGTCAAAACTGACTTTGGCCAACCAGGAAACAGCAGGATTCTAAAATGTAACAAAATGACGTTTATCATGTTTTGGAAATGAACTTAACAATTCTTCAAGCATTTTCATATCCATACACTTAAATCTTAACCCAGTTCCCGACTTCACTAGTCAAACTTTAACTACCAAACACAGCTCTCACAGAAATCATTCGCTCCCAGATTGTGAACGGCCATTTCAAAGAAATTCACTTCCTCTCTGGCACATGGTTCATTACTGACCCACGAACCATTTGTGAGCACAGAGATTTGATCCAAATAGAAAGAGAAAACAGACATATCAAGCCAGAAACTTCAAAGTCTTCAAAAACAAAGCCCAGGTTTGAGAAATTGCAAAGATTGAAGTAAATTGTCTTGCTCATGGACAAAAGCAGAAAAATCTTTAAAAAAAATGTTGATTGAACAAAAGTATCAAAGGAAAGTTTACTTTCCTTCAAACTTCTAGAGGGTGAAAAAAAGATATGAGCATCATGACAAATTTTGAACAAGCGACTCAAAATCAGAGAAATATTCTCCAGAATATGATGGAAATTTGCAAATGTGACTGAATCAGCAATGGAAGTGCCAAACTTACCAGAGAAGTTCACTTTGGAGTTTTGGGAGTTCCCACCGCTCATTGGTCCTACTGACGGCAAAGATGCTGTTGTCGTTGTTGGTGACCGACAGCCGATCTGTGGTGCAGGGAACATCAACTAAGACCTGCGGGGAACCAAGGAGATCTCATCAGTGAAATATGAAGGTGGTTAACAAAACCTAGGGTTCATTCCAAATTTGGCTTCAGGCTCATGCTCAAAGACTCTGGATCAACACTGGTCCATATGTAAAAAACATCAAATCCTGATATAAAAGGTCAATGTTTAGAGAATATTCTATTGTTTTAGTTATGAATATAAAACTGGAGAATCACCAACAAAATTAACCCCAATAGTGGCACTCAACTCATGAGTGAACTTGTGGAACAAATTATGGCTGCAATATGAGCATGTATATAAGTAAATAATCAACAGAAGGGGGGGGGCTGGAAAGCCACACCCCTCCCCCTTTAACATTAAGCTCAACACACGAGGGTGCCCTTGATGGCCAACAAACCCTACCTTATCATACGTGTCTGGTTCCATCTCCCCCCACCGTCGCCCGTCCTCTGTTGTGATTCGCAACACTTCACTGCTACTCTGTCGGTCAAAGCCAACGTACTGCCGCAGGACGTTTTGGAGTCGTCGTCTGCGAGGAGCCTCGGGTTCGTTGGCGACCAAGCCGTCTAAAAAAAATTTGGAGAAAAGTGCAGATCGTTAAAATATAATCGACCATCATCCCACCCTATTTTTCAGGTTTTAAAGATTGGAGCAAAGAATACTATAATATATATTTAACCCAATCACTCATGCTATATTTTTCTTCAATGTAAAAGGGAACATACATTGTATTTTAGGAAACATAATTAAATGCTTGGCCTTCTACATACAACAAATACAGACAATACTTTTTGCTTGGTACAATTACTGAATTCAAATCAATTTATAGCTTTTTATATACAAATAAGTTTGAGGGTGACCATAAACCAGAAAAATCTTTACATTGTACACTGCCCCTTTAAATATAATAAACTTTTAGAAAGTCCCATTTTCTTGTGATATTTAAAGGGAACTGTCCATTTGCAGAGGAATAACAATGACCAATCACATTCACTTGTGTTCAAATCCAGAAAAAAAAAATGACAGCACAGAATGTTATAGGAGTGGTATATTGGTGGGCATGGACATCCAGGAATGTTTGTACATTTGCTTATCTAGCTCCCAGACCTATGTTCTTGAAACTCAATGGTTCTTGAGTCTGAGTGCTGAATGGCAACACATATCATCCAATGAAAACTGGTGAGCAAATGAATTCAGATGTTTTCATCGGATGACGTTGGCCCACTTCCACTTATAAGGCCAATTGGCCATAGCCATTCACATGTGGGTGAAAGGTTAACTAAACTTGACCCAGTCCACCAACCTGCCAGCATGGTCTGCATGATAGCCAGCGCTTTGCCACCAGGGGCTGCACACAAGTCTAGTACCAAGTCCCTGGGCCTGACATCCAGCGCAATCACTGGCAAAACGGACGCGGCATCCATTGCGTAATACTGCAGAAAGAGCCCTCCAGAGTCCATCTTTGACGGCGGGAAACGCTCCAGACTCCCGCTTCCATACACAAAACACTTCAAATGTTGACTTATTGTCAGCGGCCTATGTATATGCTCCAAGTCCATCTCCTGGACGGTTTGAGCGGAGTCTAACTCTCTGTGCCCGACAGCATCTGCACTCATCAGATACTCCATCTTAGCCTCGTATCCAGGCATCACAATGTACTTCTCGTCCCATGGTCTCTTGGGTTGACCTGTCTCCGATTTCGTCTGAAGTTTTGTAAAATCCTCAATTGGATTCATCTGACCACTATGTTCTGAATTTTGCAGAGTGTCGTCCGACAAACTGGAGATACCAATATTGCTCTCTTCATCTGATGATTCAGAGCTGGAGTCTGAGGCATCCTCTGATTCTGACATCAGAGCATCTTCAAGAACGCTCTGATCCACCATCATCTTCTTCAATAACTCCCTTGCAGCCGGCTGAATGAAGTCCTCTGCTCCGAGCGACTGCAGGAACTCTTCCGTTTCTTCCGCGATGCCGTAGTTGTTGACAAGAGCACCGTACTTCTGTGGGGAGAGCAGGCCAAGTCGGATGGAGGGCCAAGCGTCTCCAAACTGGTGGCGGTAGTTCTCGTCAAAGTGACGCAGTGCATGAAAGGAAGGCTCTGACTTCCGCTGTGTCTGAATCTAGTAACAATTTACAAATGAGATGACAAATCTGTTAGACAAATGCAATTTTCTTTGGAATAAAATTGAAGATGAAAAAGTGGCTGTGACGAAGATCTAACTAAATTACAAGTTTATTCAATTATGTTCACACAACTAGACAGGCTTTCATAAGTTACAACAATAGACCTTGCGTACCGTATGTCATCAGTCCTATAGAGAGATGCACAACATGCACCTCACTGAGGTCAAATCTCGCATAAATACTGTGGGAAAACGGCTGTGCATACCCTCTATAAACTTTACACTATAGGCCTACAAATTGTTTTCAAAACAGCAATTTTTCCATTTCCAAGGAATCATTGGGGAAAAAAATCACAAAAATCCCTCTAGAAATTACACGGAAAAAAGACATCATGGATTAATGTTTCTGTCTGTCTTTATTTTCCTGTGACCCACTCATTATCATGCACATATAAAAAATAACTAGTAGTATAGTCGTGTTCCCTAACGTGGCGCACTTCGAAGCTTACCCAACTTTCCTCGTGTAGTGTTGCCAAACTTCTTTGTTGACAAACCTCAAATTCATGCAGTGAAATACTGGTACTTTTACCTTATTAATGCTTGCTATTTAACATCTGTGAACAATTTCGGTTTCATAAAATTTAAGCCGAAATTAAAAAACGGTGGCGTCCGGAAATTGGGCACAAATTGGCGGAGTGTTCCCTAACGTGGCGCACTTGAATACATCTCGGAAAATTCCAAATTAACATTTAAGAATTTCTGTAAACTTGATAAATTCTGATAAAACATTATTATCTCTACTTACATACCCAGCCAGATGTTTGTCAGAAAATTATTTCCTTATTTTTCGGGGCATTTTCAAAGGGTTCACTTTGCACTTGAAAATAAAATCGGAAAATCATGCCAAAATAATTTTTTCTTTTAACTTTGTAGCGGGTAAATAAACTCGCGATTTATGAACGGGAGTGTTTAGAACTTGATGAAATTTCACTTTCTGTAAAATTTCAGTTAAAACTTTTGCTCTAGCTAGGCGCTACAGCCGAAAAATCAAAGTGCGCCACGTTAGGGGCCGCGCCACGTTAGGGTACATCAACAATATATTACATTTGTTGTGCATATGTTTTTTGTGCATTGATTGGAAATGCACAAAATGATTCACCGAGTGAGTGAAATAAAGACTTACTGTTTGCCATTTTTTCTTGGTTTTCTTCCACCTCCGTGGAACGTGCACGACCTGAAGCGTTCCCCTGCGACTGAGGACGTTCACTGCTCCAAGACACCGCCAAAATGACATCTCAATGTTCACCTATTTTCGCTTCAGAGTTTACTTGTTACAGAACACACGTGTTTAGTTTTGAACACGTGAATACTTCCGGGTTTTTGCCGAACAACCAATCGCAAACTGCTACATTGCAAGTTAGGCAATAACCTCGTTCCCGGCTGTCAGGATTAATAAATAAATACAGTTCAAAATGCATGTTTTTGGTCTCTGGAATCGTCGGTTGCTTACGAGGACAACCGCGGAGGACACGTCAATTTTTTTTACGTAGGTCTGGTACCCTACTCGTATATGGTTGATAGAATACAATGTGGTAGATAGTCAGGTACCGTGTCAATGTACACAAATCGGTAGATCGAAAAACGCAGTGGAGTGGTTTTAGGAAATTTTAGTTGGAAAGCCGGAATTTGTTTAGTGTTATTAATTACAACGTATTTCGCCTTTTTGTAAAAGGTTCGCAGGATAAAGATGCAAGGACAGTACTCAAGAAGGAGTCCGGGTAATTTCACTTTTTTGTTATAATTTTAAAAAATATAAAGTTTTGAGAAATTCAATTTTATTTTTGTGATTGTGTGTACGATCATGACGATCGCCGTGTTATGATGATCTAGTGCCAGTGCCACTGTGTTAATGTTATTTATTTTTTTTGGGGGGGGGGGGCAAAGATATTTTATTAACAGTTGAATGGAGTTTGCACTTTGCACCGAGCGGCATCAGAAAAATTCCATATATGACAATCACTTATTTTTCCCTGCGATAACATAACATGCCCTAGCATTTACTGAGAAAACATAATTTTTTGGACAAGTCTCATAGGGTTTGTGCACAGGGTGTCAAGTGATGTCCAGGTATGGAATTCTTTCCAGGACGCCTCTTATGTTTTACAAGTTCCGTTCATTAATCAAAACCCTCTCATTAACTTAGATGATATTCAACATGGTATCTTTAAATCTAAATTAAATTTAGGTGATTCGAAACATATAAAGTGACTTTTCCTGCTTGTATCATCGCCAAATGTTTAGTTATTATGTCCCAAAACGTAAAGTATCTTTTCTTTCTCATATAATGGTTGGGGTCTTAAACTACACAATTACCTTGAATTTTAAGAAAAAACTGTCAACAGTGAGGGTGTTGTTAGCGAGCTGTCTATAAAATAAGTTTTTGATAATTTTTGGATTCTCTTGCAGCTGTCAAGCGGTTGATGAAAGAAGCACAAGAGCTAAGTGATCCTACGGAACAGTGCTACGCACAGCCATTGGAGGTAATACACCATGACATCACAAGGAGGCGGGGCTGCAAGCCATGGGGGAGGAGCTATTGGTCATAGGGGAGGAACCACTGACCATTGGAGAGGAGTCACTGGCATAGGGGGGAGCCATAATTGGCCATAGGGGAGGAGCCAGTTGCTTAAAATGAACACCATCAAAATTCCATTTTCATTGACTGGGTACTGCAGATTGAGTTTGAATGAAATGTTCATTGATCTTTCTTTTCCCACTGTTGTACAGGACAATCTGTTTGAGTGGCATTTTACTGTGCGAGGGCCCCCTGACTCGGACTTCCAGGGTGGTGTGTATCATGGCAGGATCACCCTGCCACCAGACTACCCCATGAAACCACCCAGTATCATGCTCCTGACAGTAAGCAGGAAGACAATTTTTACATTTCCACAAATTAAGCTTGCAAGTATGTTTCTTCAAATTTGTAAAGTTCCTGTTACTTTTCTGGTTAACTAATGGATATATTTCAAATTAGGTTTTGCCCTTCACCGACGTTTGAACACTGTATACTCAGTGTGTTACCTCCCGAGTGAAAGTTGGAAAAAATCACTCGGGTGGGACTCGAACCCACGACCTCCTGCTTTCTAGTGCAGATGTCTTACCACTCGACCACCGAGCTAACGGGATCGGCTGGCTGGTTCGAATCTGATGTACATAGCATTTTTTCCAACTTTCACTCGGGAGGTAACACACTGAGTATACAGTGTTCAAACGTCGGTGAAGGGCAAAACCTAATTTGATTTATATCACCCCGACGCAAACATTCCATCTTATAATAGTAATGGATATATTTCTGAATTTTTTTTTTCTTTTCTTATAGCCCACCGGAAGATTTGAAGTAGGCACCAAGATCTGCCTGTCCATATCTGGTCACCATCCTGAAACCTGGCAACCTTCCTGGAGTAGTAAGACATCTGTGTCCTTCATTTTGTAATGAAAAAAATTAGTACTTTAAATATACTATAATAGTTTCTTTAAATATTTAAATGTTGCTTCTAGATTCAAATTTCCAAATTGTAAAAAAAATCTATAATCAGAGAATTCCATCATATCATTTCCAAAGGTAGATTCAAATCCCATATCAGTACCACCAAAAAATGTTAAACTGTCATTTACTAGTATGAAACATAAAATGGAGAAATTAACATCTCAAAAAATAATCAGTAAATCTTTCCTCTTGGTCTTTAAATCCGAGATAAAATAAATGTTTCAGTAAAATGGTCATAATTTGTTAAGCTATAGTTTACTACATGCTTGACTTACAATTGTTCCTTTTTTTTTTGCAGTCCGCACTGTCATGCTTGCCATTATCGGATTTATGCCGACCAAAGGAGAAGGGGCCATAGGATCTCTGGACTACACACCAGAGGAACGGAAAATATTGGCAAAAAAGTGAGAATTGGAAGAAAAAAAATTTGGTCATAATAATGTGAGCTCTAAATGTAACCCTGCTAACATTTTTACCAGAAAGCCTTCCTAAATTCTTCCTCTGTGCAAGAAACCAATTGCATGTCCGTCAAAAAGCAATGAGTCCCATGGAAAGTGACTATGCTGTACCTTCCCCAATCCTGCAAAATCTTGGAGTTTGAAGGATCTTGAAGGGTTTTGGAGGGCATCAGAATAGTTCTCACTTGGCCATTTATTGGCATATCTGATGAAGATACACTGTAGACTCCCTGAAGATGTGCTTGATTTTATAATGAATCATCCATTAGTTGCTTCATTGACTAATCAGCATATCTTCATTTCTGATTGGTCCAGGTCCCAGGAGTGGACGTGCCCATCTTGCAAGAAAGCCAACAAGACCATCTTACCCAAGGAGACCTCCTCTGAGAAGTCTAAGGAGATGCAGAGAGAGGCAGCGAAGCTGGCATCTCAGATCAGCTTCAAGGTAAACCTAATGTTAGAAAACCCTTAAGACTTAAAAAAAACCTGACTCTCCAAATTGACAGTTTGGGATATTTTCATCAGCCTCGCCCACCTTTGATTTGTGTATAATACAGTGCTTGTAGCCGAGTTTGAACAAGTTATCATGTCACCTGACCAAACATTGTGATGTAATTGGTCAATGCAAACTAGCAAAAGACAGGCAAAATCTGCTAAAGGGTGAAGGCCTTCTGAAAAGTGTATTATTCTAAGACTTGCTGATTTAACACATTATCCCTAATTCTTGTGCACTTACTTGTTGGCATTTGATTTTGTAAACACACAGAAGGAAGATGACAAGAAGAAGGGTGAGAGCACTTCCAGTAATCCTGCAGCAGATACATCACAGCCTCAGACCAACGCCATCCCAGCGGCCGCCAATCCAGCTTTACCTCCAAATCCGTTTGCCGCATTCAACCCTGCGGCCATGGGCATGAACTTCCAGCCCGGCATGTTCCATGGTTACCCGCCAAACTTCATGAACGTGAACCAGCAGGTACCGGCCAATCAGAACGCTGCAAACCCGCCTGCTGGGACTCAAGGAACCAATCAGATGCCTTCAAATGTTACCCAGCCACCAGCTGGCCAATCAGAAAGCAGTCAGGCTACAACCAGCCAATCACAAAACCCCCAGCCTCAAGCAGCAGCTACCAGCCAACCAAGCACAACCACCACCACACCTGAACTGAGACAGCGGGCAGCAGCGGCAGCGACCCCAGGGGTAAACCAGACACAACCCAGGACAGACCCCCAGAGGAACCAGGTAGCAAATGAGGACAATTCAGGAGGGAGGTGGGCTATCGTCATAATGATCATCATCACTATCATCATGCTGTTTCTTCTCGGAAGGAGGCTCTTCATCACTTACGAGTACAAGTTCCAGTCTGGGGATCTGTAAACTTGAAACTACTCCAAAGTATACACAAATCTTGTCCCATAGTTGACAACTATAGCCCCCACGGTGCGACGACCAAAACTGTGGTGTCCCATGTGAATATTTTACGACCATTGAACTTCTGTGCAAAAGTCTTGACAGCTGCATATCTGTTGGTGCAATGGAATGTATGAATTCGGTCTGAAAGGCTGGTCATAGTATCTTAAATCTTCGTGATTTAAAAAAAAAATTACAACTACAAAGTTCTCCAACAAAGAGTAAACGATCAAAAGTTAAATTAAGGTGAAGGGTAGAATGTCATTGTGGTTATTTTTAAGACCATTTTTTCCCCTTGTGAATTGTTAAAATAAGTTGTGGAGTTGTGAACTTCAGATTTTAGCAGAATATTTTTGAAGCGTTAAAAAATATATTACATTTAATTTGTCCTGGTCATTCCAATTGTCTACTGGCTAAGTTCCCTGTCGTGTAACAAAATTCTTCCAACAATTTAGTATGAATTATTTATACCCCACACATGGCTAAAAAAAAGTTGATCCAACAGGAAAAGTTTCCTTATTTGAAATTTGATATCCTATATAATAATCCTAAGTAAAATGTGAATTCATTTCATTTCGTTTGTAAAATTAACGAACCTCCTGTGATATGTATGGCACAATATATAATACGGACATTTTAAATTAATTGTTAATTTATTAGTTTCACTCAAAAGTAAAATAAAGATGTATACAGAAACAAAGTACAGACATTTGGAGAGCAGTGCGTATCATTTTCTCTTGCTTGCTTTCCCCTTTAATGGAACAGACCATTTTCAGGAAGCCATTTTTGATCGTGTTCCCTGAATCTATTTTATGAATTGTAAACTGTTGAATTGGATGGTGCCAGACTATTTTATGATTGGAGTTTGTTCCAAGCATCACTTTCAATTTTTTTTTTTGATAAGGTTTAAAACATTAGGGTACGTTGAATCACACATTTTTAATTATTCTTCAGAGCAGACTGGTCTTAATTTGTCATGAATTTGTATTTCACTGCTTTCGTTTCTACTCGCAAGTTCCAAAAATGAAGAGTTTACCTCAATTCAATTTAATATGGCCGGATCGTGAATAAAGTCTATTCTCATCAGAATTAATACCAATTTTGAAAAAGAACATAATCACCTTGTCCCTTTAGCATTCTTGTTCGGTAAAATAAAGCTTTTTTTGGAAATATAAGTGCATATTAAGTAAAAGAAAAAAGTGTGAAATGTGATCGAGTTGTAGAAGGACTTTACCTACTTTACCTTTGACTTCTGTCACTGACAAAAAAATAGGACAGTTTTGCGTCCAATGTTACCTTACCAAAAAGACAATCAACGAAGTTAACATCTGGATCAACTAGAGAAAAAAAATAGATACCAAGACGTCAACTGATGAAATATTAATGTTATTTCCTTTGACTCTTTGGCAATCTAATTGTCATTCACTAACAACATTAATTTATCATGTTGATCGATTGACCTGTCTGTGATGGAAGGCAATTTGCTAAAAATTATCTTCAACTTTATTTCATATTTGCTTCATTATTCCAAGTGCGACTTGTAGTAGCGAAGCCGAAAGGTCCTTACAATCGATTCTCGATACTGATCGATGGTGATCTATCATTTTTACAATCTTGTCATCGCTGACAGTTGATTTAATCGACACCAATAAAAGTCATTTCGATTCCGAACGGAAACAATATCGATTTTTGGCATGATGGTTTATTAAAAAAAAGTTTGCCGCAATAGAGAGCGACCGCTTTACTATAAAATCATAGTGAACTGTATTTTAGTCATTTCTAGATCCGTCCTGCAAAGTGTGTAGCCGACCCCTAAAGGTATGTCGTTTAGTTTTTAGATATCTCATGTTAACAAAAGCTCCATATTTCACTCCAGATTATTCCACTATCGTTTGTATCGTTGGTATTGGGCTGTGAGCTTTAAATGTTCGAGCTAGTTTGCTTGACAGATTTGTTGCTTTTCATCGTTTTTATCCTTTAAAATCCATTTCGGGAAATAGTTCGAAATTGTCCTTTTCTCTCTTTGCCATAAAAAAAATCGAAGGCATGTACGCATGTATTTCTGACTACACATCGCATCACTGTTTTTATTGTCTGTTTGTCTGCCCACCTATCACTATCACTTTACGGGTAGTTTTGTCTATCAGTATCTGTTTTCAGAGTTTACTGTCTGTCTTTATCACGATCGTCTGTTTGTCCCTCCGTCTGCCTACTTACCATCAATTTGCCCGTCATTGGATCATGTGATTAAAATCCTGATCGCTTATTGGCCGTTGATGCCAACCTCTTCCCCACAGTTGTCAGCCGACACCATGCAAGTCCACTACCTGATCGTTCTCATGCTGGGCACGCTAGCCTGCGGCAAGCTGGCCCCTTTTCACCGAAGTAAAGATCCTGTGCCGAGTCAGTACCTGGTTAGAATCGAGGTAAGTAATCTTTCAAATCCTTCTGTTTTAAATATTTCTAAGTAATCTGAAAGGCGTTCATGTCAAACTGTCGTGTTCGTGTATTCAAATATAGAGAAATATACAATATAGATATAATTTCAAGGAAATGTGGTTACACATGGAAAGAATGCACTATCCAGATCGTGTACAACATATACAGGGAGTCATAAACACATTTGGAGTAGGCCCCTACTTTCTTGCAAAATCAAAATCTTTCTTAATCTATAAATCGTCTTATCTCAAGGTATTTGCAATGCCCAACCATCGCTGAGAGTGCAAACAGTAACAACAACGGAATCGGAATGTTAAATTCATTCAAAACGTTATCGTAATCATGAACTCACGATTAATTTTCACAAACAAAATCACGAGAAAAAGTATAAACTCACCCACTTGTACTGTACGTGGGTTCGACATGGCTGCAACTATGATTCTTGAAACACAAATTGTTTTAATCTTCAGGACGCAGGAGAAGACACCATGAATGACTTCCGGCTGGATTTGGTGGCCGAAAACGACCGCAACGAGCAGGAAGGGACGGGCTTCGGTCACATCAAGGTCAAGGGCGAGATTGACGGCACAAACTTGAAGCTCTTCCATTTGGAGCTGGACTACAAATCTCTGGAGTTGGTAAGAAAGAAAAAGGGAGAACGTCTAAACTTCTCTTTTTTTATGGCGTGAACGTAACTATGAATATATCTTTCGTATACCTGTTTCAGTTACGAATGAATGGCAATGAATGTAAATATTTTTGAAGTGCACATCAATCGAATTTCTAGGTCTTGGTCAACTGAAATATTAAATGTTTTTAATTTGTGAAATACTTGAAAAGATATTTTATGGTGCTGTGCTGCTCGTAATAGCGTCTTTGTGTAAAATAAAAAGGGGGTACCGTACGTTTAAAGCAGTACGCTGATTTGCCGGTTTTGAACGCTCTACGTCTGAAATCGGCAGTACAATACTTTTTTTGGTTAGTTGATTTACCACACTTCCAAAGTTGCATGATTGGAAATGTAAATGCAACGACACGTGGATGGACGGTCTGGTTACCTATCTCCACACACATAGGTGCGCAAACATCCGTCGGTACTGTACGTCGAGGAGGAGACGAGGATGAGGATGGCGGCACCAGTCCAGAGTGACGTGAGTAATATGTTCGCCAGACAAGATGGAGAAGACACAGCGGACGGATACTACGGCCTCGATCGGATCAACCAGATAGACACCGCTCTTGACGGCAACATGACATTTGACGGTACAGAACAATTTGTCCTAGTGTCACATAATTCAACGGTGATTTAGCAACCAAATGTAAACAAATATATTGCGATTGCAACACCGATATTAAAGGAAGAACTATGCCAAAGTTCGGACTCACTATCACATTGCTATTTTCTTTTTAGTAGTGCGTCCTGCTGAGTTTGTCCATTATAGAGACAACTAAATAAACGACTAGCTTTAGGTATAACATCTGCCATGCTGCTGATCGCAGGCAAACTGTAGATTGAACTTGACATATTTTGATTGTTTTAGGTGATGGTTTTGGGGTGAATATTTACGTAGTGGATGCCAGCATCGCATTGCTTCACAAGGAACTGGAATGCCGGGCCAGGATGGTAACTGACGTGCTGGATCAGCCTGTACGTGACAATATGACCAGTCTAAACTAATTTGACGTGTTTAATTTTACTTAGATTTTCCTTGGAAATGTTTATATGTAGACACACTTAGATATAGAGTCAGACGACCAGCGCTTCAAAGTCCTTATGGTCAACAAAAAAAATTCTAGACCAATCAGAGGGCAGATATGACAGCATCGTAACGGCGCAAAGCGACCAATACGATTTCAGATTTTTTTAGGGCGTGGCTTGTCAGTGATCATGATTTTACTCGTTTTTCCCATCCCCAGGGCGAAGACTGCGCCCAGAGAGACGGTACAACGATCGCCAGTGTGGCGGCCGGTAAGGGGGTGGGCGTGGCCAAAGCCGCCACCGTACTGGGCATAAAGGTGACTGACTGCGACAACGAACTGAACGAGATGAACTTCGTCGAAGGTAAGCCACCACTGGATATACCATAGAGCTATATAGGACCCTCGTGTGGTCACTCACATTCCCTCTGGGTGCATAGATGTGCACTACTGACCCCCATTGCCAGTTAATATGTGTATACTATTTTATGTTAGTAATTGTACAGGGGTAGGCCTAAGTGATCTAATGTACAAAACGCATGTACTGAGAACCGACATAGATATAAAGGTAACGTTTTGGCTGGTTATCTGGTTTACATAAACAAATATTTTATGTGCGTAGCAGATTTCAAGGCCTAATTCCAGCTTCACGAAATGTTTATTGGTCTCTAGTTTTAAGGTTATTATATTTCTTATACTGGCTCGCCCTGATGAAATCTCGTAAAACAATTTTGATTTCCATTTTTTTCAATTTTGTCTGATTTGGTAACAGGTATACAGTGGGTGATCGACCACGGTCGGACTCCCTGTGTCGCGTTGCTGGGTCACGCCTGCGCCGAGGCGACCAGCGTGGACCTGGTGGCCGAGGCCCTGACCCAGTCCCTCTACTCGAGTCCCAACGAGGGATGCGTGGTGGTCACGGCGGCCGGTACCGTCTCGGAGGACGGGGGTAATGCGTGTACCATGTCGCCCGGCCGAACCCACAGCGTGAGTATGGACCCTTCCTGCCTCGGAGCCCGGTCCCCTCCCCTATTGTTTTTACGGAGGCATAGTGTCTGGAGAAAAAAATTCTACATTTCAGCAGTGATTTGGTAATGAACCCCCTCCTCCCGGCAAAAATCCCTGGATCCGCCCCTGAGTACGCATTTTAACCAATTAGATCACGACTTTTGGTTAGGTGACCAAGATAACTTCGTCAGACTCGATCACAAGCACGAACAGAAACAAAGCCTCTCTCGGCGTCGCTGTGTTGAATAGGAGGCCGTGTGAGAATTTCTCTCTTTCAATTGATTGCCCGCTGTGGTTTTGAAATGGAAAATCGGTGTTGAAAGTTTGGTAAAGTTAGATAGAAAGCAACAGATCCAGAAGAAATAAACTGTTATACCATAGAGCAAGAAATTTATTGATCTACGGTAACGCACACACGTACGAAAGCCCTGTAGTGCCATCAAGTATATATTTCGCCAAGTTCGTTTTTATGAGTTATATATTTCGCCAAGTTCGTTTTTATGAGTTATATATTTCGCCAAGTTCGTTTTTATGAGTTATATATTTCGCCAAGTTCGTTTTTATGAGATACATTTTGTCGAAGTTCGTTTTTATGAGATACATTTTGTTGAAGTTCGTTTTTATGAGTTACATTTTCTCGAAGTTCGTTTTTATGAGTTACATTTTCTCGAAGTTCGTTTTTATGAGATACATTTTGTTGAAGTTCGTTTTTATGAGTTACATTTTCTCGAAGTTCGTTTTTATGAGTTACATTTTCTCGAAGTTCGTTTTTATGAGATACATTTTGTCGAAGTTCGTTTTTATGAGATATATTTTACGGAGTTACGGAGTTTTATGAAGTTACGGAGCCCCTAAAGGGACATCCAAAATTATTTTCTTATCTCGTGCGCACGACATAATATCTCGTGCGCACGAGATAATTATCACAGGCGCACGACATATATGACGTGCGCACGACATAATATCTCGTGTGCACGACATAATATCTCGTGCGCACGAGATAATTATCACGTGCGCACGACATATATCTCGTGCGCACGAGATAATTATAAGTATTAACGGAGCTTGCTGCACTTGCAGCAGACGAGTTTGTGTGTAACGAAAGCAGCGTGTCTGGTACGCTGCCCCTAAAGGAACATCCAAAATTATGTTATTATCTCGTGCGCACGACATACTATCTCGTGCGCATGACATATATCTCGTGCGCACGACATGCGCAAGCTCCGTTAATGCTTATAATTATCTCGTGCGCACGAGATATATGTCGTGCGCACGAGATATATGTCGTGCGCACGTGATAATTATCTCGTGCGCACGAGATATTATGTCGTGCGCACGTGATATATGTCGTGCGCCAGTGATAATTATCTCGTGCGCACGAGATATTATGTCGTGCGCACGAGATAAAAAAATAATTTTGGATGTCCCTTTAGGGGCTCCGTAACTTCATTAAACTCCGTAATTCCGTAAAATATAACTCATAAAAACGAACTTGGCGAAATATATAACTCATAAAAACGAACCTTGGGAAATATATAACTCATAAAAACGAACCTGGCGAAATATATAACTCATAAAAACGAACCTTGCGAAATATATAACTCATAAAAACGAACTTGGCGAAATATATAACTCATAAAAACGAACTTGGCGAAATAAATAACTCATAAAAACGAACCTGGCGAAATATATAACTCATAAAAACGAACTTGGCGAAATATATAACTCATAAAAACGAACCTGGCGAAATATATAACTCATAAAAACGAACCTTGCGAAATATATAACTCATAAAAACGAACTTGGCGAAATATATAACTCATAAAAACGAACCTTGCGAAATATATAACTCATAAAAACGAACTTGGCGAAATATATAACTTATAAAAACGAACTTGGCGAAATATATAACTCATAAAAACGAACCTGGCGAAATATATAACTCATAAAAACGAACTTGGCGAAATATATAACTCATAAAAACGAACTTGGCGAAATATATAACTCATAAAAACGAACCTGGCGAAATATATAACTCATAAAAACGAACCTGGCGAAATATATAACTCATAAAAACGAACCTTGCGAAATATATAACTCATAAAAACGAACTTGGCGAAATATATAACTCATAAAAACGAACCTTGCGAAATATATAACTCATAAAAACGAACTTGGCGAAATATATAACTCATAAAAACGAACTTGGCGAAATATATAACTCATAAAAACGAACTTGGCGAAATATATAACTCATAAAAACGAACTTGGCGAAATATATACTTGATGGCACTACAGGGCTTTCGTACACACGTGCCAAATTATGCAATTGTGAATTACTTCGATAGAAACGTGTTGCGGTATAACACCTCCTAAGCACACATTTTAAACACGCGTAACTTGCAGAGAGGCCTATACATCACCGTATCTCTGTCGTCTTTTGACAGGTCATCAACGTAGCGGAGACGAACGCAGCCGACGGCAAGACCTCCTCGTCCTTCTACGGCCCGTGTGTGGACATCTTCGCCCCAGGCGCCAAGATCAAGACCGCCATCCGCCAACAGACCGTAGATGGGGACGACGATTACACGCTGTCGTACGGGACTGCCATTTCGGCGGCTTTCGTTGCAGGTAAATATTGTGGTACCCGCGCACAAGCACCCCCTCCCTCAACAGTGAAAAAGAAAAAAGACTGAATGACTGCTTTCTTTGATATTTTGCACATTTAACAAACCGTGCCTGAGCGTAAGTGAATCTGCGAGATGCATATGTCTTGCAAGGGAATCGTTGCTATGTAAACAGCGCCCTCTCTGAAACCCACTGAACCCTGACTTAAACCACGATATCAGGGCAAATTTTTCAGTCAAAATGAATTAAACTGCAGATACAAAAACACGTTTGCTCACTCAAAGATACGTAAATTACCTTCGAATACATGCATTAACCTCCAACACTGAATTATTCAATGAAGGGCATGAAATCTTTCAGGGAAAAGAAATGAAGAAAATGCCACTCTCACGTCTTTGTAAAACAAATCCTGAGACTTACTCTGTTTTGAAAACCAACGGAACAAAGTAGGCCTATGATGCAACACAATCATTTTATGTGTATGGTACAATATTAGACTTTCAGAAGAGGTTAAAAGCAAGGATGCCCTCCCGTTTGAATAAAAAGACCGGGAAAACATGCTTGCATCATCGGGGCTATGACCACACCTCCATTGAAATTGGTATGGCGACACTCCGTACTATGGTTTGGGCAAATGTTGCGATAGAATCTACATTATCAGTCGGGAACCGGGACTGAATTGAAAACAAGGGCTACAACAAGTCAGTGTAACAAAGCACATGTCTATTCTGAAACAAATTTTACCAAAATGTACGCCATTTTGCTCTTCATACTTACAGGAGTGGCGGCGGTACATCTCGGAAACGACGTCCCCACATCAGACGTCAAGGAGCGAATCTTGACGGATGCTACACCGTGCGTGGTCGGGGACGAAGGACGAGGGTCCCCGGACAGGATGCTGTACGTTGCTCCTGGGGAGTAGTCTGGACACCTGACCACAGTGGTCAATGCGCGTGCGTACTCATGCCTGTTTGTGGCACAATGGTTCGTTTTTGTGGGAAAAACTTATAATTTTTAAATTTTACCGTACGGTGATACAAACCTATATATCTGCTTCTGTTTATTATTAAATTTTGCTTTAAAAACAATTAAAGTGCTGAGTTACGAAAATGTCAGTGCAGATGAATACTTCCGACAGTCACAATAAATAGGCCTAAGCATGCATATTTTCAAATCTTAAACAAAACAATCTTGTTAATGTAGCATTCCTTTCTACAAATATTAAAGGTAAGCCTGTTTCGCAAATTGGAGAAGAAAAGTGAATAAAAATTATCTGCTTAGCTCAGATTTGTGTCGACTATTGTTTGTGTGTTAATACGTGTACTTTACTTAACAATTCCGTTCGTAAGTGTGACGTCATTTCAACACAAACCACGCCTACTGCACATGGAGCAGCATAGGAACCATTGGGAATGGAAGTACAATGTAGTACAAAGTGGGCATGTTAATAGCCAATGGGCATTGTAATAAGTGGTGGGTGCGCGTGTATGACGAAGTCACTTACGAACCGGTAATACGATCCAATAAGCCCGCCCCGTTATGTTTTGACCAATCAGAGTAGTGATTACGTCCGACAAGCGTGAACGTGCGTATATGCACACGTGTTATCGCCCACGTGGGCAGTGGGCGGGGTTTACTTGGTCAGTCTGTTGGAGGTCCATGTTGATTGGCTGGGGATTTGGTTGGGGTTGAGATGGTATGTATCTGAAAATCCCCATTGTATAATAGGTACAAAACCCATTTATCCAAAATTGATCTAAAGAACATATCGTGACACTGTGGGAAAATAAAGGCTATGCTTACCCTAACCCTGTTCCGGAAGGATCATTGAAAAATGGTGTAGGCCTAGTTCACAAAAGTGGATTTAGTCTGAAAAAAAAAATACTAGAAACGAAACAGAAAAGATTTTTGAAGCAATGGGGAGTTGGTACCCACTTGGGCGGCAATGTTAAGAATACAATATTTTACCCACTATTCATCCGTGGTGCTACAATAGGGGGAATAAACCCACTAACGCCCCTCCCCTTGCCGACAGCCTCTCTAGAGTATATTTTGCAAACGAGAAGTTGAAACATGCCATAATGTTATTATAACTAATGCAAGATGCACAAGGTTGATGGTTTGAAATTTTCCTTTTGTGTTTTAAATTTACCGTCCGGAAGATGCCATTCCAAATGTCCGAACTTTTTGATTTACTTGCCTACTCCTCGAATTCTACAAGTAGGAGTGGTTGAAGACACTGGTGACACTGAAGACGGGTGGTGTTCGAGGGCATACTTTAATTAAAGAAAATAGGTTGGGGCTATCGAGACCTATTGAGGGCGCAATTATTGCAATTCAGTTTGAGAGGGATACTAGTACTTGTGTCTCTGAAACTTTCACACGATGCAAGTATAATTGTTTTATAAGAGCTCTAAAACTTTAAGAATCAAACTATGAGAACATCATTTATCACGAATCTCTTGCTCCTGTGTCAAGTTTTCGTTTGTTTAATGACGCACGTGTCGTAGAAACATTTTGGCTAGATTCTGAGTGTTCCAGGGCGACGCGCGTATCAAATTTATTACGAACTACTTCACCAAAGGACTATCTAAACAACTTTGATTGAAGCTGAATACGATTTGGAAAGGTTTCGATCGAAACAGGCCTATCAGGATGTTTCTTCCATCCACATGTGGGGCTGCATTAAAGAAATGATAACTTTATGTTTTAAAAAATTAAACATCCACACAACCATTTTGATTGTTTAGATTTCTTTTGGGTTGAGTTTTATTTTCCTGTTTCATTCATGTAACGTGATAACACTGGGTGAGATACAACATTGGAAACTTTTAATACAGAAGTTAGATAACTTAACAATTTAACAAACCATAAGTACCAAAGTCATCCAAATGCAAATTTAACTTTGCCAAAACTCTACCAGTCATTTAAAATATCCGATAGGAAAACTGGACGAATCTTCATCTGCAACAAATTATTATGATGCATATTAAAATTATTAGAATTTCAGTAGAGGTTAAAAGCAAGGATGCTTTCCCATTTGAATAAAATATCCGATAGGAAAACTGGGCGAATCTACATTCTCAACAACTTATCATGATGTATATTATGATTATTTTTGCCATATTAAGTACATTAAAACCTGTTGATGATGCTTTTTTTTTCGGAAGCAACACCTAGGACTGTACCTTTCTGAAACAAATTAACAAATATTTTTTTGTGACCGCTGTTTTCAGAAAATTCCTAGGACCGGGACTAACATCGAGCCTCCGGTTTCACCGAGCGTGGGCGACTAGGACTGGCCCGGGTCTACGTAGAGCAGCCGGTTAGGCGCTCCCAGTAGTTCGTTGCCCACCACGCAGGGGGTAGAGTCACTCAGAATCCTGTGCTTCACGTCTGCGGCATCCACCTTGTTGCCCAGGTGAATGGCGGCCACGCCTGTTGAATATTCAACATTATGCAAATAAGCTAGATATGACAATATTATGTACGTCAATTAAAAGCACCATTTTGTTGAACGAAAGATTCCAAGTACCAACCGAATTGTTCCATTACTTTGTGCATACATGTAATTGAATCGAACCAACGTTTGAGTTCCATGTGGTCTTTGATGTCAGTACTATTGAGAAAACAAATCGAAACAGATTATATAGAAATGGTTCTGATAATAGCACAAAGTGCTGACTTACCTGCCACGAAAGCTGCAGATAAGTTCGGACTGCTTATTTTGTCGTAATACCCATCATCCATCGGGGAAGTAGTCATGAGATTGTTCCCTGGGGCGAAAATGTCCACGCAGATACCATCTCCCGACCACAACGTTTTCCCGTCGTTTTGGTACGTGGCGCCGACAGTGATAAGCTAAGGGCGGGAGAAGTATTTTACATGAATTACCAAGCGATTTTGGGACGTTTGCTTCGTCAGTGTCGTAGGTTGTTTTGCCAAAAAGTCGTGGGCAAACTATTGGCAGTTGTCATTGCAAAACAAAAGTATAACTCACTGAGTTTGTTTTAAATAAAAGTGTTGCTCCATGTATGTTATCATTCTTGATTTATTGGTTTGATTTATTGCAGTTTCATATCATCAAACATAATTTACAAAAATGTATATAAAGGGTAACAGAACTGACATGAGGGATCCAGGTAAAAAGCAATGGCTTGTACAAGACCTGGGACCCTGTAATTACAAGTTAGCATAGAAAACATTTAACATTATGTTGCTCCATACTTATTATCATTATCTAAATAACAAAAATGAAGATTCTTTCCTCTTTGAATGAAGTAAAGCAGACGATAAATGTGCTATTTTGGGCTGAAACTTAGCAAACCAAAATTGATTGCCGCCCAAAGAAAATGGCGCTTAAAGTTTGTGAACAAAAGGAAGGATCCTATAATGATACCTATTAGCCTATGGTCCGATCTTATATATAAGATAGGACCATAGGCTAAGAGGTATCATATAGGATACAATATGTACAATGTATCCAAATTCCTTTTGGACCACCTATATAGGATCTTAATCTTACAGGATGTAATGAAAAACCTATATGAAACCTATGGGATATTCCTTATAAGATTCCTGAAAGGCTTGCACTATACCCAAGGCGTATCATATTATCGCAACTTACTCTGTGAGATCGTCCGGGGGAGTAGTCGCAAGCTTTTTTCCCGTAGGTTTGCCTGATGGGCGCGGCCTTGACGACCACCACGCATCCAGCATCAACCAAGGATTCTGCGGCCGTCTGTAGCGTCTTGCCTCCACTGTTGATTGAGATGGTCAGCATAACCACGCAGGGTTTGGCCAGGTTATTGGCCACCCAATGAATAGCTGCAGGATGAATAGTTTTTGCAGACTCAATCCCAAGTCATCACAAGTCAATCACAAGTCATCACAAGTCAATCACAACGTCAACCAGAAATCGAATAATCATTAAATGTTATCCATAAAGTTCTATGATAAGCGAGTTGTGACATAACAGATAACTTGATAGGTAAACTGCTTTAATAAAAGACGAAAATAATTGACGAACATATTTATCTATCGAACTGGTGAAATGAATTATAACGATCTTACCACTGACGTGCCTGTTGGTACTTTCCGTGTTGTTGCAGTCGTGCACCCTGACGCTGTGCACCATGGCGGCCTTGGCTACCCCCACCGACTTCCCCGCCGCGATGCCCGCCGCATTCGTCCCGCTACCCGAGCAGTCTTCTCCCTGTGTCACGAAATAGTTTGAAACAAAACGCCCTTATTCCTAAATCTATGGAAAAACTATAAACTCCAAAAAGGTCTACGCATGAAAGAATAATACAAGTTTAGGAGTACATGATTATTTTAACGATTTTACACCAAAACAGTTGGTATTTTGTTGTACCGTTTTGCTCATCACGTCATAGGCCATTCTCACACGGCAGTCGAAATCCTCGTGTGTTTGCAGAACGCCGGTGCTGACGAGGTATATATTCACACCAAAACCGTTCCCTACACAGAAAAAAATATCAAACTAATTTTGAATACAATTTAAGCAAGCTTTGAAGTCGATACTGATGTTACCTGTAATCCAAAGCCATTATATATTTAATGACAAAAATGTGATACATCTTCTCTTAAGGTGAACATTACAACTATCTGGCTTCTCTGTTATTTTTGCCCGTATTGATATGAAGAAAAAACTCTCAAAGATGAATCGGTACCGGCAAAGGTGAGATTCTGATCAGGTTCGAGTTCTCTCTGGTTGATTCTATCCAGCCCATAAAACGCCCCTTGGTTAAGCTCGAAATCCTCCTGAGTGAAACGCTTGGAGTGGTCTCGCTTTCCCGCGGTATCGATTCCTGACAAGTCGAACTCGTCCAAATCGGCATTGTCATCGCTGGTGATTGGACGTCCGTCCTCCTCCTCGACGAACTCCACCGCGGGGTGCTTGCGAACCTGTCGAGAAGACAAAAGCTCGATTAATCATAATCGTCGTCGATACCAAAAGCAGATATAAGGAACACATTTTATGGAACTGCTAAGCCGAAAATATTACTAAGCAAACTTATGTACATAATAGTAAAGAAATAGTCAAGAACTAGTAATAAGCTCTATACATGTATATGTTTGAACTTTTAGCCGGTAAGCAGTTTTTGTTTACCAAATTTCGTTTTTCATACTTTTGTACAATTAAAGGCACTTTGCCGATTTCAGACGCAGCGAGCGTCTAAAATCGGCAGTTTTGAGTTCTAACAACTACTGAAGAATAAATAAATTTACAATTTGGAGGAATTGGAAGTTAATCTTTTAATCTCCTTACCGTATCCAGGGATTTGTAATCCAGATCAACATAGAGGATTTTCAGGTACGTTCCGTCCATCTCGTTCAGTATATCGATGTGGCCGAAGCCGGGAGCGGTTTGCGCATTGCGCTCGTTCTCGGCCAAAAGATCGTCCACCAAGTCGCTGAAGACGTACTCATTCTGGTTTCAAAAATAGAAGTAAAGATTATATTAGGTCATACGCAAGTCTCGCGAGAATTTGTGATTTCCAGGTAAAGAATTCTGGGAACAAAGAGCTCCATTTCTTAAAGGTTATTATCTAATAGTAAAAATTGAAGTTATCCATATAAGGCCTTTGCACATACGGGAAATCAGAATCAGTATTCCATCAAGATCAAAATGACGCTATAAAAATAATCCCCCTGTTTTCGGCAATTCCCCGCTAGAATAAATCTCCATTTAAACTTAATTTGTCTGGAACAAAGATCTTAGGCGATATATTACAAAATATACCTTGACTTTCAACAAATACCGGTTCGGTATGGGCTCTTGTGCTGTGTACAACGGTGCCAGGCTTCCACCACACACGGCAGTGATGAGCACGAGAACGATCAGGCTGCGGAGGCACATGGTGATCTATGGCGTCTGTGAGAAGGAGGTAACGTAAAGAAGTTCGGCATAAAAAAATACCCAACGAAGAACTTGAGCGCGCGATGGTCAGACGAACAGACAGATTCAATTAACACGTATCATACCATTAAGCTTGTGGAAGTTCCGAAAAGATTATTACCCGTGGGGTTCGAATATCTTAAAAACTGGTTTATTTGAGACTTTAAAGCATATCATATCAGAAAAAGTTGGGAAATAAGCGAACGTTTGTTGAGGTGTAGAGGACTATAGTTTCCAGAAATCGGAAATTTATAAACGGAAAAAAATCGGCAAACTGTGGTAACGATACGCTTGTGGTCCGAAAAGGGTGTATAAAACATAAAAAAAATTAAGGAACCGTTTTCTTAACAGAATGAGATGTCTACAATATCTTCAAACTAAGTTGGTTTTTTTTGTCTATACGAGAACTACCCAGAGCACTTAAAGCATAAGGCCTACAGTCGAAACAAAACAAGGAATTAAATGCATTTGTAATATAAAATGGGGCATTAGCTTACGTACTTCAAAAGTCCAAGTCCACAAATCAAGACGAACATCTACTTCAGACGAACATCGGAAATACAAGAAATAGATGCCGGCACTTGCACTTGTAGTTTTATAGTGCGGAAGGCGGGACAAATGGCGAGACAGCAACGTCATCATGATTTCATTATTAACCTTCGTTTTGAATTAAGCCACATTTGATAAATTAAGCTCAATCGATATCGCATCCGTTGGAATCAATTTTTTTTTTTGAGGGGAGGCTTGATGATGGAAATATTGGCAGATCGTGATTTCGGAAAATGAAAGATCACCACTGTCGAAATAGTATCGATTGATAAAGGAAGTATCGCCAAACAATCAGTCATCAATCAAATGCCTTGATATGAAACGGAGGGAGAAATATGTGGTTTTGTTTTAACTCGCTTCTTATCAACTTCGAACGAATCAATCCAAAAAAAATATTTTTCTCATTACAGACATTTCCCTTAGCGCAATCAATCTTTGTCAGGTAAATTTGATCACGCCAACTTTTTGAATAATAATAAAGAATGTCATGAACTAATAACACTATTTTATAGGCTGGCTCACGAGGTAGGTATAATAAACTCTGCCTTCCCTGGTATGGCTAGTGTATCTACTTGTAAAAAAAAATAGTCACAAAAGTACATGTACTAGTTATTTAGCTCTAAAAAAATGTATCTTTATTTCAAAATTATTTTAATCATTTATTTCATTTAATACATAGGCACATTTGTTCAAGAAGTCTTAAGCACTAGGATGTCTTTTTTGCAGTCTCATTTCGATATTTCATTTCCAGCACCTATTATCAATCACATCAACTTGTACCCAAGTTTTACAATGAAAAGTAATATCAACAATGAAGTGTATACTAACAGTCCATCTGATACACAGTTGTTAGTTTGTCATACTTGTCAAACTTTTAAAAACTTGATTTAACAATGCCTTTTAGATTGTTTGATATGTGACTACTGTATTTGTCAGTCTAAAAATAAAACCTCAAATGAACCACGAAGGTAAACTGACTAGGTGAATTATAACAATTTTTGAAAAGTTGAACAAAGAAATTGACTGGAGCGGGGTTTGAACCCCTAACCTCTCGGATAACCGTTCCGGTGCTCCACCAACAGAGCTCTCCAGCCTTATGTTGGCGGCTCCCCGTTTTGTCAACGTCTTTGTTCAAGAGGTGCTAGTCAGAAGCCATAAACCTGTAAATGTCATGTAGCCATTTTTTAAAAATCTAGACGAAAATAAAATAATCATCGCCTTAATCAATTCAATAAAGTTTGAGGTGCAAAATGGATTTACAAGGCAATATAAATTTAATTTTTGATTATGCAAGAGAGAGGGGGATGCAGGACAGCCCCTCCCCTCCTAAAATCCCACTTCAAATCACATCACTGATGTCATCAGGGTCTAGCGCAAGTGTCTTTCTGCTTTCAGTACAAATATCCACCAAGGTCCGTCTTGGCAAAGTCTTGGGAGGACCTGGTGAGTTGCTCCCTGTAGTCCATCAGGTTCTGCCAGTCCTTCTTGCTCTGAAGGAGCTTGTTGTTCTTGTGCAGCTCGTAGGTGAACTGCGGCGACTTCAGCTCGTACCTTCAGGACAAAAAAGGGGGGGGAAAAGAGGCAAATTAGGTAAAACTTGGGTCCGTTTTTGAGTGGACGGGGAATTCGAGGGCTTTTTATGTTTAACTCACATTTGCTTTCTGTAAAGGATGAGTAGGTGGAGTGGGCATAATGGGCGGAGCCTAGTAAAAACTCAGGAAAGAGAGAAGAGCGTGTCTAGTTAGTTAAATTTGTGACTTGACTTGGGAATTGATGACTTGTGATCCAAGAAAAAGTTAAACTTGAAAAAAATATTTGGTTTTAGTAATTCTGAATTGGGACACCACTCCCCCACCCCTTCTCCGTACCATTTGGGTGTTGGCCCCCGGATCCGTTCCAGCTCCTCCTGTCTCTTGGATTCGAGAAGTCGCTGCTCCTCAAGCCGTAGCCGCTCCATCTTCAGCTGTGCCAGTTCATACTGATACGGGGAAGCCGTAACCGTCTCCTCCACGAACGGCTTTGAGGCTCTGAGGTAGTTGTAATCACACAAGGCATCTACTTTGGGGTTGCTGTAAGAACTAGTGCTACTGTGGGAACTATGAGTTCTTGGTGGCTGGGTTTTCGACGCTGGAGCTGACGACACTCTACCAGTTCCGTTTGAGGTACTTCTGGATGCCGATTCCATTGACCGGGCCTGTGCGTATTTTTTCGCGACGGAGTTTGGCGGCTGTGGGGTCACAGTCCTCATAATCGATGGCATTTCTCCGAGTGTTACTGGAAAGTACTGCCGGGCGACGTCATCCAGAAGCATCTGGTGTGCAACTTTCTGCTGCGCCAGCTCTGTGCCTAGCATTCCGGCAGTCCGGTTGACTGGGGATGTTGTTTTAGTGTCTACACCAAGGCTCTGGAACACAGGATAGTCAGCTGTTTTGGTCAGATGGACCGGCTCTGTGAACCATTCAGATTCGTGTTTACTTTTTGGCTTTCCAGCGAGATCCTGCTCGAAGCGTTCATTCTCTTTGATGTCATCATCAATCAGCTTCTGTAATTCCTCTTCAAAAGTGTCTTCCAGATCATCATCATAAGCTTTTGCCTTTGAGCCGTTCGTCTTGTACTCCTCAAGCTGCTTGCTGAAGCTGACGCTCTTGTTCAAGCTTTTACTGAGGCTGTTTCCCAAGCCGGTGAAATCAAGGCTGAACTCACTATCCCTGGGCTTGCGACTCTGTTCCCTGCGCTCAAGCCGCGCGGCTGTACCACCATTCATGGACCCAAACAGGCTCTCAGCATCAAACACTGACTCCGAGGCCGAGTCCTGCAACCTCTGATACCTTCGGGGGGATTTGTCCCGCTTTTGCAGTCTCTCCGAGGCACTTGAGAAGCTGCGTTCACTGAATCTGCTTGAGCTGCGGCTGTCTGGCTGATACAGGGTATTTTGTGACAGATTTCTGGTGCTGATTGTGCGCTGAGAATTGGTGAGATACTCTTTAGGCTTGTCAATGCTGTCCAGAATGGGAAACAAAGGGAAAAAATCATTATTTTATGTTGAAATGATATATTTTGAAATTCAAACTTTAAAATGGCATGTTCATAGCAACTTGGAAATCAACCTTTTTTGTCTGTATAAATATTCATTTCTGCTTACGTTGATTTTCAAGTGACAATTACTAGCCATGATTGCAAATGTTGAGCCTTACGTTAGAAACGACTTCATTTGTTCACATTCATGGTCTATTTGGAATGTTCATACATTCATGATTCATTTCAAAAGAAAAGTGCAATATCTGTTTCTTAATTTTCCAAGCAACTTCATCTTCAAGTTCATACATGTATTCATATGTATTGAAAATGACAAACAATTTAATCCAGAGAAAAGATTTCCAACAAAAGGGCTTACACCTTGTCCTTGGGCATATACTTCCCGTATTATTTTACACAAGTTAAAGATTGAACCTATTTTTTTTTCTCAAAAATATTGCAAAAAAAATCCATTCGAACATTCGGCCGAACAATCCATGCTTTCCTCAGTAATGTAAATAAAACTAAAGCGTCCATAACAACGATATTAAAATCCCAAATTCTCTCATTTCACGGCGAACATTTGAACTCTAAATATCTAAAATGAGTAAAGGAAATATGGAAATTGGAAAACAATTTACCCTATCGGTGTCCGTCGCCCATGGAGGACAAAACCAGCATCAGGATTCCGTCTCATTTTTGATCAAAACTTCTTCGTCTAGCAACAATTTGGCGAGTAAAGAATGGTTGGTAACCTTGTTGATTAGTTACACATCAGAGAAGCCAGCGCCGTGAACCAGTTATATAGTCTGGTTACCGACTACGTTTTTCTGCTACACGTATAAGCAGTGGCGCCGTTTCGGGTACCGTGCATTCAACGTGTAACTGCGCATGAGCAGTTCAATTAACTAATTGTGTCGTCTGCTAGATTTGCTCACAGGTTTTACTCGAAACTTTCACAAATTTACTCCAAAACACAGTTGGAAACATGACCACTGTGGTTTATAAAGACACATTCTCCCCAAATAAATTGTTTTTTTTGGGTGTAAATCTCAAAAACCCGTCACGTCTATAAAGTGGGGGGAGGGTTGTTATTGCGCAGCTGCAGGGAAATTCATGTACATGTATATAAACATTTACTATTTAGAAATAAATTTGATAGGTTGACAAGGTTGAAAGATCAACAAGACCACATACTCTTCTTCAAGTCAACATTTATTTTATAAATATACCTCTGAAGTTACATGTAAAAGCACAGATTCGCAGATCTAGATGTTCACATTATATTAAACTATAAAGAGTGGACAGGTGTAAATCAAACCGAAGCTAAATTCAAATTCATTTAAAATGTGCGGCTGAGAGAACATAAACAAAACTACAATGGAAAAACCTTCCATTTTTGAACGAGTCCAAGTATGAACTCATAAAAATCGATGGCTCAGTTTTGCAGGCAGTGTACCGACATGGTTGAACGGATTCATATTGCATGCTTCCTTTCAGAAAAAAAACAACCATGCATGTCAAAACGTACCCTGATTTATAAGAAAATTCAGAGCAGGCGTCCTGAATAATTTTCAGAGACCACCATCAATTAAAACGAAAGTGCATTTTCTGAAGAATTTTAGAATATGAAACACCAGAAGCGGATATAGTTTTATGAAGTGTATTTTACATGTAATTTAAAACCTGATTTATTGCATAGTCAAAAAAATTGGCTACATTCTAATTATACATATCACCCCAAAAAAAGTTGATTAAAATTCAAAAATATGAACTAAATAGTAAACACACACACACAGATTTGCTTTTTCAATTCAAGACTTTTGGTGATCGAACTTCAGCAGTCATATCTTTTATGGAAAGGATGTTGCAATCATCATAAATGATCATATTACTTTCAAAATGAATCTCCGTGAAATTCACTTCATAGAGTAAATGCTCAAAGTTGTGTTTTCGATACCAAAGCATCCAAAAGCATTCATTTGAGAAATTCAACCTAAAAAAAAAGAGGAACAAATATGAAGGAAATATTATCCATGGCACATTACACATTATACTACAAATTCCTGATAAATCTTGTAATTTATTTGTAAGGTGATCGTGCTAATAAATTGAAAAATTCATTTGTTAAAAGGCCAAAGCTGCTTTGAAAAAAATTACTAGAAAATCACATCACATTATTTTTAAACTAAGGTAGGTTTATGAAATTTTGGGCTTGCCTTTTTTGTACCCTGCTAAATGTTAATGGATCTTAGTCACTCAATTTGAAAAAAAAAAGGCATTATAAATGAAATTACAGCAAAGTATCATTTTATGTAGCTTTCACCTGCTTTGAAATTAATGACATAAAAATGGAAATTTTCCACAACATACAAAGTTAATTTAAACCAAAACAAAAACAACCCCAAAAAACGTGAATAAATTGATGAATAAATTGACGAATAAATCCTGCTTTATCCCAGATAATCTCTGATCTGCCATGCATTCTAGATCTCACGGCTCAACCGCAAGTTCCTGGAGACTGAAACGAGAATAGAAATATAGATATCAAAAGCACATTGTAAAGTATGTCAATTATAATGGTCAATATTTTGGCCAATACTTCATTTTTATCTTCATGGAATCAGTCAGCAAAATATCTAAACTGCATACAGCATGCTTAATTGTGGTGTGACAGGATGAGCTTAAATGATTTAATTAATCTTTTTTTTTTTAAATTGTGATGTTTAAAGCTCTCAATGTTAGGACTGGTGACTGTGTTGCGAAGGAGTTTATTCCAATCAATGATGGGTGAGTCAAGGAATATTTACCATCATTTCTTGTGGGTCTTGTCCAGTTGTTATATATTGAAGCCCATTTTCCTCATGCAGTCTTTGTGAGCTTCAATCAGATCTCCACACTCTGCCTCACCCTTCTCCACTATACTGTAAAAGGCCAATCAGAGAAAAGTATTCAATAAATTAGCATAAATTTGCATAATTCAGCATTAACTTCATATTTCTCAAACCTTGCTGACATCAAAAAAAGGGAAAGAAGGTAGTATCCTGACACCACTTGCATGACTTGGTCGTCATGTACAAAATCTATGAAATTTACCTACATTTGTGACATTTTTAATTATTCTCGGTCTACAATTCGGAAAGAATTCCATCATGTCCATACCTGGACATCACTTATTGTTTCCCTGCTAATATTTGACTTTTTAGGACATGTTATCGCTTTCTGATGGCTGATACTTGGTCACTGCAGGTACAAATTTAATTTGTGATGTCTGTGAATGGAGTTTTTCCCTAAAATCATGTTTTTTTAATCAAAATATTTGCAATAAAATAAATTGTAATCCCTGAAATGCCTGAAGGTTAAAATGAGTGCCAAAAAGGAAATGCTCACTAGCCCCCCCCCCCCCCCCCAACCCGATCCCCCAGTGTTAAATATTTGATTTGCATAGTCATCATTGATAGCGTGGGCCGGTCGTAGTTTCTTACCATACATCTCTGGCTTTCTTGGTCTCTGGACAAGCGCAGCATGGCTTCAATTTCGGCTTTTCCTCGGCTTCTGTCGGTGGTGGCACGGGAACGGCTTCGGTGGGGGCTGCTACCGGTTCTGGCATGATGGATTTAGTTCGAATGACAATGCAATTCGGGATTTCTGGTGTATTTCGAGTCGTTTTTCGTGCTGCTTGTGCGCCGGCTTATTTTAGACTCGATAAATATTACATCATATAGATTGACTATATTTTTTGTGCACGTGTGCGCACGTACGCATGATTCGTGCAAGTTAACGGTGTGATCAAAGGGCGCCCTCTCGTGTTAGAGCAGAATAAACAAAATGGCCGAGCCGCGTGAGGTGAGGAAATATTTTGCCGATTTAACGTCTTGATTTTTGGTGTCATCCAACGTACTTTTCATTAAAATTATATTTACGGTAAAAGATGAATCTATACAGTGTATCTTGCCTCTTGGAAAATGGATGATTGTGGTGAATATGGTGGGTTTTTAAGGGGAAAGGAATGTTCCCAAAATCAACAGACGGTTCCATGAACAGCGCCCTCATTTGTGAATTTGCATACCATCAATGGGTAATTTAGAAAGTTAATTTTGTCAGTTTCCCTTCGTGTATTTTTCTTGTTGCTGATTTCAAAGGAATCAGATGAAATTTTTCAGGAGAGCAGCGACCATGCGTCGGCCAGCGAGGCGGAACAAGGGCCAGACGGCAGAAAGAAGAGAATGTTCTCCAAAGAATGTAAGTAGGGTTGACCTTTGCCCTTATTAGGTCAGAGGGCATTCACTAGACTGGAGCCCCTGCCCTCATAAAACTTAAGGAACAGAGTTTTTTGCTGTTGGCGGCTCGCATTTTTATAAAAATGTACTCGACAATTGTTCTCAACTGTATGTTAAATGTTGGTTCTGTTGATTTTGTTAAACAGGTTTGCCAATCATGCATAAAGTAGGCCAACAAAATGAAAATGTGTTTGTCGTAAACCGTTTTCATTTTCAAACATCGTTCAAAATCTGAATGCATCCTTCATTGGTCTTTTGTAAGGCCTGAAAAAGAAACGCGATACTGGTATCAATTCATTTTAGTTAACACTGCAAATTTTAATTGTGCTTCAATTTTTTTTCTCACAGTAAGATGCATGATGTATGGATTTGGCGATGATCAGAACCCTTACACAGAGACAGTAGACTTGTTGGAAGATCTAGTGCTAGACTTCATCACAGATACGGTAAGAAATAAGAAATAAGGCGATATTATTAATAAAACTGAAAGGTGAAAACTGATTTATTTAAAAGTTAGTTTGAGGCACACAGATGTGAAATGTTGGCGGTCTTTAGAACCATTACTATAATAATCCGAAATCATCAATATTGTTTAAATTTTAAAAACAGATTTCAAGAAATTGAAACACATGCCCCCACTGACATCCCCCTTCAAAATTTTTTTTTAATTTAAACGAGAGCCTCACAACTGTCATTTGGATTCAGAAATTAAGTGAAAAACAATGTGCAAATCCTGATATTCAGTAATTTTGACACTGTTTACGAATTCTGGATTAAGTCTGTTTTCCTTGGCTACTTAAACAGAATTTATTTTACTTCATAATTTTTGACGAAAAATTATCTTGCCTTTGCTGTAAGGTTCCACCTTTCCTTGTAGAGTTTTATGAATTTTGTCTCTTTTCCCCCTAGCATTGGTTGCATAATTTGCATCTTGTTTTTAGTTTTGTTTCTCTTTTCTTTGGCCAGACGTTGAAGGCCATGGAGGTTGGCCGGCCGGGCCGGGTCCAAGTTGAAGACATCATCTTCCTGATCCGCAAGGATTCCCGTAAGCTGTCCCGAGTCAAGGACCTGCTGATGATGAACGAGGAACTCAAGAAGGCTAGGAAGGCGTTCGACGAGGCAAACTACTGAAATGGATCGTTCAAGATACAGCCCCAAGCTCCGCCCACCTTTGGTTCTTGGACATTTCTCACGGTGCTTGTGAATGAGTTTGACTGTGGTCACCTGACTAAAAGATGTGATCTAATTGGTCAATGGACACTATTTGATGGACTGAAATGGACTATTCCAGATTTGGCTATAAGCTCCGCCCACATTTGGTTGATGCACATTTCTCACAGAACTTGTGACCTATTTTCAATGTCACCTGACTAAAAGTAGTGATGTAATTGGTCAAGGAAAGTTCCATGTGAGGACTCTCTAAAGATGAGTCTTAGAACTTGAAGGCCATCAAAGTTGAAGAGCTTTTTCCTGATCGTGTTTATTGTCGAGAACGAGTTCAACACAAATCCCTTTTTACACCGAGGGGCATTTTATAAGCAAAGATTCTTCCAACCATCAAGAATTCTCAGAGGCCTGAGATCTGGAATGGAAGAAGGCATAAGGAGCAACGCACCTGCTTAGCAACTGCTGATGCGTCGCCATGGAAACTGATGGCATGGACGGGGGGCGGGCGTAGTAACATTGATGCTCCATTTGTTTGAGAGACAGTGTTTGAAAATTTGTTATCACTGAACAATACATGTATGATGAAGCATTTTGTAAGTCGTAATGACTTTAATATGTCCTTATTAGTCCTTTAGGATGAACGCACAACAAGGAACTCTGTAGTTCGTTCATAAAGAAGTTGTTACAGGAATCTATTAACTTTTTACACAAAGTAATTAAAAATGTTACTGACAGTTTTAAACGTGGGTTACATGGGTTTAAGGCAGTTCACATTCCTTCCTGGAGTCTGATATCGCTGTTGCTGCAACACGACCATTTTTCTGCCTTTTAGAAATCTCCACTTTCATCGTGACTGTATGCAGTAAGTGCAGCAAGAGGCAAATATATCAGGTTAGGCACGTTTTCTCTGCCACATGTTAAGCTGCTCAATGAAATCCTCCAATTCCTGTTAGCTCTGTTGTTTTTTATGTACTATAATAAAGATTTATAAAGAAAATACAAATAAATAACCGTTTTAAAATGGTCCTTACTTAAAATTACACTTGCAGTATCATTTCAAGACAAGCAAACTGCCTTGAAAGTTGCTTTTGAAAATAAAATTCTTAAAAGTAATTATAATCTTTAGTTCAATATTGTTTTCATTCATTAATTTACATTTCGATGGAATAATTGACAACTTTGACATGACCACATGTCCAAAAAAACAGACATGTAACAGGATTATAAAGTTCAATGACGACACACTTTTTAAATGTACATATTTACAAACTCGGGTTTCAATCGATTTTTGTTTTAAAGAGGGAATTACCTTTTTAAAAAATCAAGCTTAGTGAATTGTGGCCGTGTAAGGAGAGAAACAAAATCTTGACTTGCTTGGCCTTGGTCTTCACCTAGCCAGGCAGTAAATCAACAAAACGCTGTTAATCATTGTCAACATCGCATCAAATTCAACTTGCGCGCAACTTGACATATTCAGCATTAAAGAGGTAGTCTCTTCGAGATTACAGTGACCTTTATGAACGGAAAGCCCTCTGGAAGGTCCAAAGCAGCTCTGGCAGGAATCGAACCCAGGCCATCAATGGTGGAGGTACAACAAAAATAAGCGTCAACATGACTTTGAAAAAAATGTTAATGCAATTTCAAAAACATTTTATTTAAAAGCGAGCTGTTTTGATGGAGTGGAATCCCCACCTCTCCCCCCCCCACCTCTTCCCCCCCCCCTCCCCCCTTCCCGCAGGGGGTAGCCCCTCCTCCTTCCCCCCAGGGGAGTAACTAGTATGGAGAATTGATGAAAGATTGACAGTTTTAATTATCTGCTCCCATTCCATCTATTTACATCAGGTCGGCAAATTACTTCCGAAGGCCAGAGAAATTGACGGGATGATGGAAGACCCGACTTCCTTCAATTTTCTGCTCCCATTCCCCCGATAATCAGATTGGTAAACTATGCCTCTAGGACAAGACAATAAGCAAATCCTCCCTGCCAAGGTGATGAATGAAAAAAATAAACCAGGACCGACCGGGAGATTTGCCGACAAAATTACACCCTTGACAGGGATGAAGAAAAAATCGATCTCTTTCTTTGACGCAGACAGCTCAACGCTTTAATTGGACAACAGAGATCTGTGTACAAACCAAGGTCTCTAGTCATCGCCGAGGGTCGGCGGAGCCGATAACATGTTAATACTGTTCCAGATTTTTCTGCGGATGAGAAAAAGAGAACCTTTTTAAGTTTATCAAATTCAGCACCGGCTTAAAGGTAGCGTGTGCACAAAATTGGAGCATGTGATCACTGCCAACCTTTTTTTGGCAGAGTTTAAATTGCGTCATCACAATTCATCATAAGACATCACAAGTCATCAGAAGTAATCACAACTTATCATAAGACATCATAAGTCATCCGAAGTAACTGCAAGTCTTGGCAAGATATCGCAAGTCATCACAAGATATCATTAGTGATGACAAGCTATCGCAAGTCTGCGCAAGATATCACAAGTTATCACAAGATATCACACATCATCACAGTTCATCAAAAAGTAGCACAAGTCATCACAGTTTATCAGAAGTAATCGCAAGACTTCATCACAAGATATCACAAGGTATATCACAATTCATCAGAAGTGATCACAAGTGTTTGCAAGTTATCGCAAGTCAATCACTAGTCCTCCAGTCTCAAGCCAAGTGGGATGCTATTCAAATGATCTGTTAGCTGTGACTGACTGGATTCCAACTCCGCCCCCCTCCCCCTTCCCACCTCCCCCCCCCCCCCCCCCCCCCCATTATACACTTGAAGCCCCACCCACCTGGATTCTTCGGGATCCGTGTTAGTTTTCTGCATTATTTTCTCCAGGTCTGCTTCCAGTTGCTGTAAAAAAAAAAATTTTTAAAGGAGGAAATTACAGGAAAAGCTGATTCTACAGGAAAACTGGTATTACAGGGAAAGTTTGACGCTCGCTTGGAAATCGGTTTGACAATGAACAGATAAGGAGCCAAATTTATAATATCACAATCACAAATCAACACAAATGTTAATCCCAACTCAAAGCAAAATGGGCCTGCAGAGTACCATTTATTTTTAAAATCAACGAAAGGACGATTTTGGCGGCTTCTTCGCAAAACCATTAAGGTTACGACCAGTGGCCGGCAGTAGCCAGGCTGACCACTGGGGACTTTGTGGTCAATTTTCTGATCTGACTGTTGATTGATAAAACAGTGGTTTATAGTGTAGGGTCTGCATGTGTGTCCTTACACAAGGCTAATTCCTCCGACTGCTTTACAGACCAAAAAAGCTCCACGAGAGACCGTCTTTAAAATTGTCAACAAAGGCACATACTGGACATAATATGCAGATACCAGGCAGGCAGGTGTGCATAATTTGTCACTGTGGAGTTTATTTGCAATGTCATTCAAAACAATTTTTTTTCAGTAGAATGATTTTTCAAGTTGTCATTAAGAACAGAAGCCCCTGTAACAAAGAATTGCACTTCTCTGGCCAGAACTCACAAACACATGTACTTTTTGGAATCGTTTAAATAGCTTCAGTAAAAAAAAAAATAATACAAAACCCCCAAACCAACAGAAAATCAATTCCAAGCTATCTGTCGCTAATTTCCCAGGGGTGGCCGTATTGTCGCTGCGTTAGCGTTGAATTGAATAAAAAAGTGCATGTTGTTCACTGTGGAGTTGTGGAAGCATAGTGATTTAAATTGCCTTTGCGGCTGTGGGACGACTATGATAATGACATGAAAACACGTGAGTTGTTGAAGTGGCTCACCAGTTGTTTACATTCAGTTCATTGTGAGTGACTTTCTGAAGTGACAGAGGTTCGGGGCCCGATTAAGGGCCCCGAAAATTCTTGGGATTCTAGATGCTCAGTGGTGCGATCTGAGGCAATTTCTGACCACTTTAACCAAATTTTTTTTGAGGAAAAGATGGTGGTGTACGCAGTGCCTGCCTTTATTGCGACGTTACTTAAAAAAAAATTGGTTCGTTTTTTGGGGGAGGGACCATGGCCCCCGTTGGCCCCGCCCTGGATCCGCCCTTGGCCCTTGCTTGAACCATCCCATCAAGACTGACCTGGATCGTCTTCTCCAGATACTCGTTGGTGCTGAGGACTTTTAAGACATCAGCTTCTGTGTCTCTCACGCACTGGTCCAGGTGTTGGACGACTGAGATGGGAACGTAGTTCTCCTTAAGATCCTGGCGTAGGTCTTGCAACTCGTCCATCTGGGTAAGGATGCCGGCGTGGAGCTCTAAGATCTGCTCCGCGATGCCTGAAAAGATGACGGAGGAACATCATAATAGGGATCAGAAGGGTTATGATTGGGTTTACACGACTCATCACAAGACATCACAAGTCAGTAAGATGTACATCAGAAGCAAATCAGAAGCAAATCACAAGACATCACATGTCAGAAGATGTAATCAAAAGCCAATCACAAGCCAATCACAAGACATCACAAGTCAATTTTATGTCAATAAAGTTAGTCACAATCCAATCACAATCCAATCACAAGTCGATCATAAGTCAATCACAGGTCAGTCACAATCCAATTACAAGTCAATCGTTAGTCAATTAAGCTTATCACAAATCGTTCACAATTTCTTAACAGGGCATCGAAAGCAGCCCCGTCGCCAGCTCCAGGCATTGGGGGGAGGGGACAGTACAAATTAGGGGGGGGGGGGACACCACAAAAAGAACAAAAAAAAACACATATATATAATTTGTACGCTTATGGTTTATGGGGCCAGTTGCTCGTCAGGGCCCCCCTGCCCCCCCCCCCCCCCCCCCCTTGGCGAAGGGCCTGATCTGAAGTCATCACTAATCACCAAATAACAATCACAAACCATCACAGAGCCAATCACAAGTAAATCACAAGTCATACCGAATCAGACACACGTCACAGACATCAAAAGTGAACCTAAAGCTAGAGAAAAACCTGTGACAAGTGGCAAGATCGAACTGCAAAAAGTGACAAGAACTGCAAATCCTATGCAAAAAAAAAAATGTACTGCCTAAAAAGTTCAAGTACCCTTGGGTTTTTCTTCGCGGTGCTGCCGGGAGTCACGCAATGCCTTCTGAGTCGCCGTTTCTGGCTCCGGGGTGGGCATGTTGGCCAGAGCTTCCCGCTCTTCTCGCACTTCTTTTCTTAATCTTTCAAGACGGAAAAAAAATTAAGATTGAAAAATTATGATGTGGTATAATATTATGAGGCTGTGAAAGATAGTTTAAGAGATCAAATTTACTCCAACAATTGAATTTAATCAGCGAATTGTCCATTCTTAAGAAATATTTTTTTCCAAGCCAAGAAACTGCCCATGGGCGCGGCCCAATCAAAGAATATTTAAGACAATTGTTTTATAAATCTAAGATTTTTACACACACACAAATCTTGTGATTGTCTACAGAAGGGACAGTGAGGCGACGATAAACACAAATTTATTTTACTGGGGCCTCAATGTGTGCAAGCTAAATCTGCCTGTTTGTCACAATATCATCATTTCATGTTCCTTCAGAGTTTTCCATATAATTTTGATATCGATATCGCCGATAGCAATTTTTTTTATCACATCGAAATATCAAAATTTTTGATATTGAGGAATGATATTGAAAACATCAAAAATGTGTCAGATTATCGCCAAATAAATCTCCCGTTTGTGCCTTTACTTTGTGTTTAACGTAAGTGAATAAAACTCGGCGGCAACTTGTGCTTGAGACTCAAAATAAAAAAAATCGCAAAATGCCAAGCGGCGTCGCTTTGTGCTCTGCGTTCGCTGGAATTTATGGTCTCGCCAATGAATAGCCCCAGAAGAAACTGCCCGTTCTGGACAAACTGTCAGTGCTGAGATTTGTTTAAAAAAAGTTGAGCAATATGCTCCAGAGAAAGCCATGGAAAATTGGGACTTATCATTGCTTGTTTGTTTGTGTTTTTTTTTTAAATCAAAGTGTCATCTTTATGGTCTTTAACTTTTACATGGGATAAGATCAAATATTCTCAATACTGGATTTCCGATACATCGATTATTGAAAATTCTGATATCGACGATGCTTACTTCAGACCTTTGAATAAATTTTTAAAACAACTTTAAGAAAAACTGAACGATTTCCATTTTTTTCCAATTTTCTGTCTGAAACTGTAGTCTTCGTTCAATTATAATGGGCAAACAGTTACAAATCCCTGAGTGTTATGCAGGCAAACAAGTCGTAATCCTGCGACCATACGGTAATGCATCATAATGCACGTCCTTCACTCTTGGTCACTGACATTCCACAAAGACCTTGATAAGATCTGACAATACTATATGACATTTTCTATAATACTCTTCTAAAAGAAAAAAAAACAACATAAGGCCAAAACAAAAAAGTCTCCGGTTTCTGGTATGGAGCTTGCCCAAAAAGTGGTGCGGCGACGCGTTTTTTTTTTTTTTTTTTACCTGATTTGTTTGGCCTCAAATGTCGGCTGATGACTGCAAATGGTGCCCGACTAAACTTAGTGCAAATATGAGGGAGCTCAGAGAGGCCACATAAAGCTTATTCTCGACCATAACCCCATCCAAAAACACGTTGAAATTGTGCAGCAGCAGGATTCCAGTGAAACCAGTGAGTTTGGCGGTTTTGAGACATCATCTTTCATTGAAAAAAAAACGTTTTCATTTTGCCGACGCGCATGGCTACGGCAACGCGCGCGCATACCAGAAACCAGACACTTTTTTTTTTGACCTAAGGAAAAACTGAACGATTCCATTTTCCCAATTTTTGTCTGAAACCGGACTCTTCATTCCATCATACTGGGCAAACAGTTACAAATCCCCAAATGTTACGCAGGCAATTTTGTTAAGTTTTATTATAGTCATATGATATGATTTGAAAACTAAAGAGAAAAATGTACTATTTAAGTGTACTGAGATCCATACCTTTTTTTTGACAGACTTTTACTAACGCAAATTTATTTATTTGGAAACCAATTGCAAGTGCGCAATAAGCTCTGGCCGTGTGCCAAGAAGGCTTGCATGAAACTTGAAAGTCTTGCATGAAATCGATCAAAATGATCCCTGCCGGAGCTTAAACATGCGATGCCGAAAAATCCGACGCCAATGGCACACACGGAACACCCATACTTTTGGTCAATTTTCGGGACAGACAGACCGACCGACCAACAAGTGACATGTACATGTAGAAACTCCTGCCAGAGCTTAAAAATGGCAAAATGTAAAACAGATCCTGAATGCAAGCATTGTCAAAATAAAAAACATGAAAATAGACGGCCCTGTTTTCTTCAATATTCATTACAATTCAAGATTTTTTTTTGGTATTTAGTTGCCCAAGAAAAAGCGAAAATGGCTGGATTAAAACTGAAACCACAAAATTTGTAGAACTTCCCCGCCAAAAAAAAACAAGCTTTATTAGCAAGTTTGAAGCCTTTGGAAAACCTGGTAACCCTCAAAATTGTTTTCTCACATCCCCTCTTAAATCACCAAGATAGCGCTAATATTATTACACAGGACTGTACGTGAGGAACAGTGATTCTTTGCTGGCAATTTTCATCAAATAAACCACGGAGAGAGATTGCCATCTGCCGTTTCCAAGATTTGCGACATCGCTGATGTTGCTAACATCGTGACTTTGAGGCACGACGGTGTTGTATGCCTGGGGTGAGGGCCAGTTGCCAATCATTAAAAAATGTATAAATTAATCTTCCAGGATGCGATCAAATACTGGGGTGTTTTTAATGCTTTCTATATTAAATAGATTTACAGGCATGCTTGATTCTTTGTGAAAGCGAACTGGAATGAAGATCGTGTGAATACATGATCCCATTTTTTAAAAATTTCGGTTTGGTTTTTCAAATTTGGGAAATGTTGTAACAGATTTTGAGATACGTTTGTTTGTTTGTAGGGGTGTTGGGATTGTTTGTTTGTTTGTTGGGGTTGTTTTGATGTTTGTTTTGGGTTTTGTTTTTTCGTTACATCCTTAGCTAGTATGGTATTCTGAAGGTTGGTGGTTCGATTCCCACTTTCGTCACTTATCCAAACCAGAAATTGAATTCTACAGTTTTACCTTGTCACAAAATTTCATTTTCTATTTAACATCACGATTTTCTACCAGATTTTGAGTTTAGAGAAAGGGCTCTCCTGGTGACTAAATATTAAAAATTATCAGCCAATAAATGTAATTCTTGTGAAAGTAACTGTCTTGTAAAAGCACTCCCCAAAAAGACTGAAAATGTCAAGCCTTGATTAAATCAAGTTGTTGACACTCTCAGAGGTACGGCATACTCGATAAAAAGAAAGTCTTTAGACAGTTTTCCTACCTGGCACAACCTTCGTTAGACCAACAATCTGAATTAAATTTCCATATCTATTTTTGTCTTTAAAAGTTAAGGAGTTGAGCCAGCGGGAAATAAAAACCATGCACATGCTTGAATGTTCTTCGGATATTAGATGGACCTTGTTCGACATGGGTGTATAGACTCTGTAGGCGAGGTTGTTGATCTAGGCAATCACGACTCGTTTCCTTGCTCCGAAGTGATTTCCGTCAACGAGGTGTGGGACTGCCGCTTTTGAATGCGCAATTAAGGACGCATTTCGCAGTTAAAGGCGTTAGTATTGTCAGTTTGGGGCTAAATCAATTTCTTCGAGAAATGGACGGATGTATGTTGGTAAACAGGGTTGTGAGCGTTTGGAATTTTTTTTGCAGGAAATTTGAGGAACAGAAGAGCATACACACAAGTTTGCCATTAATATTTTTTTCTGCAATTTAAAAAAAGTTTGAAATCCTGCAATTGTGGGAAGATTTTCATGTAACATCCTGCGTTAAAAACACGAGGACTTTTTATTACATGTAATGCTCGCTCTGTGCTGGGGAAAAAAACCTGACTTTCTTTTTTTCTTATTCACCTATTCTCCTTATTCTTGTGGGGGAAGGGGTGGTTTCAACTCGTCTCCTCCTCACTTTCTAATAAACCATATCCCCCCCCCCCTTCAATAATAAAAAAAAATTAAGAGGGAAAAAGATAATGAGGGGAAGGGGGGAGGAAAGAACTCAGTACTTCTTCAAAATCCACATTTAAGCTTTTCAGGTACGACTTCTGCGCTGGTATTAATTGCAAGACATTATCCAAGGCTTTGAAACAACAATTATAGATGTTTAAATCCACTTAACTAAAAAAATTGTTTAACAAGGATCTCCTTTTGCTGATGTTGCTCCAAGGACCATGGTAAACAAGTAATTTCTAAGATACTGAAATTTAACTCGTGCTCATCAAAGGCGGAATGTGACCCACGCGTCCCGCGTCGCAATATCTGCAATTCGTAAAATTCCCGGAATCCATGTACAATGCAAGCCAGAAACCAAAATGCGAAGTTCATATATAAGGTTGAGCGTCGGATGTCCGCTGTCCGTTATTTGCATATCAATCTCAGAGTTTGGCCAAAGGTCAAGACGGAATAATCTGCATTATTGTTAGAGTCAACGCAACACAAAGGATAACTGCGCAAAGAATGAACGGTTGTCCGTGCAATGTATGCTTTTACCGGTGGTCCTACACTTAATGGAAAATTCTCAAATTCTCAACTGGCAGTTTTGTTGCCAGGATGCAGATGAACCTTTTTATATATTCGGCTGCCTTTGAGGGCGATTCAATTAAAATCAGAGATACGAGTTCCGTCCACATATTGTCCTCCAAGGAACAAAAAATGCTAATTTTACTGTTAAGCGGGGCTCGTAAGTGCAATTTTCCATTCCCATTTGGTAGAAGAGTGCATTATAACGAAGGTTTTTGTGGGTTTCGCTAGGAAGTCAGTTGCACACAAAAACAGCCGATTGCACTTTAAAGCAATTATCTATCAAGTCATGATGCCTTTTCTTATTGCTCATAATAATAAATATGACGGCTAAACTGAACAAATTATACCAATTTTTAAAAAATTGAAATATGTGTAATGAGCTGCATCATATTTATTATCATTTGGCATTCGGGCGGAACAAACTTTGACTTTATCCAGTGGGACAGAAATTGAGGAAGGAAATTTAATTTTTGAATTCGTTTTAACTTTGAATTCTCCAGACCAAAGACACTGTTGCTATATCACATGATTCGGGGCAAGCTCTTGCATAGTTACGTATTGCTCAGCACCAATACATTTTAGAAAGGTTCCTTAGAAGCAATAAACTGTTAGAATGGGGTTGATTTGCAAAAATTACTCGGCATTAGCTTGAGAGCCCATCTCGGAGGACACGTACCACGGGTCGGTGATGCGTCTCGTTTCACCGTGGGTTAATGTTTAACATGTGACCTTAATACACCCTGATAGGGCGCTGTGTAGTTTGCACACTTTTAGTTCAAATTATGTACATGAATGACATCAGGGATTTTTTGTTCATTACACAAAATGGTATGAGATTTTTTTTATTTTTTAACCTAGCGATATCATCTCGATCAAATATTGTCCAATCGAAATAGCTTAATTTTCTTAGAAACCCCAGCAAGATTTCTATTCTTTTCTTGTATCTAGAATGTGCTTGCGAATCCATACAGCAGCATCATATTACGCAAGATGTGTATTACTAAGTACATTTCATAATGGCTTCTTAAAAAGTCAAAAATCCACAAAAAGAAAAAAGACGAAGAAATGCGAAGTAAAAGAAAGATGTTATGACAAGAATCTCTGAGCCTTTTTTGTTGAAAAAATCTTGCTATGACCAAAACGTCAAGGCTGATTATCGTGCTAATTGAACAAAAAACGTTCAGGATGTTTTCGACTGTGCGTGTAGGCAGTTTGAGGCATCCCATTATGTTGCATTGGTCGTTCATTCTTTTCATTTAAAGGAAGTCATCCATTACAAGACTAATGCCAATTGTGATCCTCCAGCACAACAGCAGTCGGAAGTTGCACGGCCATATTATGAGATACAGCCTGTAAATTATCGAAATTCAGATTTATGCATTAGAAGCTAGAATAATGAATATAATTTCCTTTCCACGAAGTTAATTTGTAAAATTTCTAAGGAGTTCATTTTGGAGTCTTTTGTGGCGACAAATTTCTGGATTAACCTGTTTGCGCCGGGTTTATGTTGACAGTGACCAGACCCAGGTGCGGGATTGTTTTTCATGAACCGTGATGCCAGATGGGTTCAGGCCGTGATATGCGGGTAGCACACCCTGATATTTGCGGCCTTGCCCGCTGCCTGCGTTTTGCTGACAGATATTTCCAGCCTTGCATATTGCGGGCTTATCAGTCATCCGATCTGAATTTCGGAAACTCTTGCGTGTATAAACGTCCTCCGGCGCGAACTGGTTAAAATTTCCAAAAATTGGGAACTGAAATACTGTTACTTCGTCACATTTTGTCCGATGCATATATTCTATATATCATTGGAAAGCTGACATGTGTATTCAAAGTCCTTTCCAATGAGCTCAAAATCCCAGTTTTCAAAAAAATGGTCCATGTGAATGGTTTGGTACTGGAGGGACACACATTTTAAGGACATCCAGTCAGAGGATTTGGAGGTGGGACCAGGCAAGACGGACCACGGTTTCTTGGGTACAGGGAATCAGTGATATTTTTTGCCTTCCACATCTGTGGCCCGGGTTCGAATCCTACCCAGGCTGTCCAAAGGTTTTTTGGTATTTTTTGTCGCTAGCTGATTTTGCGGGACGTTGTGAAATATCCCTAAGTTTTTAAAATAAAAAAAACAAGAACAAAATTTTTTTGAAAAGATGCTGGTAATCACAGAAAAGGGAATGTCAAAACGTAGACTTAGACAAAGAAAAGCCATTGCTTGTTACACATGTACAAAAACATTTGGAAATTTCCATCCTTTTAATTTTCTTTTCTTTTCACAGTGAGTGAGGATGGGCAAAATTCAATCACACATTTTTTTTTTAATGAGATGAGCAATTTCTAATTTTCCCCTTTCTTTTCCCTTTGCTTGAAAATGCTATTAATGTTGACTATAAGTCCGATCCTATAATTGACTGATTCTAATCAAAGTACAAAATGGAAATTGGCTCCCCACCCCTAAAAAAAAAGAAAATGTAAAAAAAAACACAAAAAAAGACTGCAAAATGTTGAATGAAAGCAATAGTACATTCGAACGTTGAACTGAACATTCTTAATTTTCTTCTTCTGTGGTTTTTTTTTCTTTTCTTTTTCTTTCTGTTCACTTTGTTGATACAAGAAAGGCAATAAACCTGTAAATATTCATTAATCCCCCTCAATGGAGTCTGCAATGCATCGGATAATAGAGTTTTTCACGCTCGGCTTCGCAGCATCCCTGCAAAACAACTCAATGAAAATCCCCAAGCCTCGTCTGGCTTGCAATAAAAACAAACAATAAACGACGTCCTATGTCACACTTCAACAACATCGGTTTTGGATGAGAGACCAGGCCTTATCGCCCAGCCAGAACTCTTCATTCAAAATAAGACAGGAAAAAAAAATGCACTTCAGTTTGTACATTGATGTAATTTGCTGTTCAATGTACTTTGGAAGGCTGTTTTAGGCTAATAATTACCGGCCGATCACGATAAACGCCTAATATCTACCAGTCCATACAGTTATGTTTAAAAATTCAATTTTTAATACCACAATGAAATCTGTAAGAACCATGTACACAAATTTCTCGCCAAATACTACGAGGGTAATATATGATCTATTACCACGAAATGAGCTTCAAGTTGGAAATTGCCGTTTTGCAGTACAGTGGAGCAAAGCCAAAATTTGAAGGAGAGCTCAATTTTTTGTACTAAGTGAACTTTAATCTGTAAGTCTCCTTATTATTATTATTATTATTAATTTGACCCAAACGACATTACAAGATTACAACATAACAGGAAATGGGAAAATGCAAAGGCATAAACACTCAAAATGAAAAAAAATGGAAATGGGAAAACACAAAGGCATAAACACTCAAAATGAAAAAAAAATGGAAATGGGAAAACACAAAGGCATAAACACTCAAAATGAAAAAAAAATGGAAATGGGAAAACACAAAGGCATAAACACTCAAAATGAAAAAAAAATGGAAATGGGAAAACACAAAGGCATAAACACTCAAAATGAAAAAAAAAACAGAAATGGGAAAACACGAAGGCATAAACACTCAAAATGAAAAAAAAAATGGAAATGGGAAAACACAAAGGCATAAACACTCAAAATGAAAAAAAAAAAAATAAATGACCAGAAAACAAAACAAACTTTCTGTGCTACCTTTCTCCAATTTTTTTGTTCTGTCAAACATCTTTAAAACCTATTGTCATCCCGTTTCATTAGTTGACTGTTCATTTGCTGCAACACAACTGTGGGGATTTTAAATGCCATTTTCTCGAGATTCAGTTTTTCCACTTCAAGTTGGTGGTCTATATTTCCGTTACTGAAACTCAGTACCCCTTAATGTTATATTGGAAAGCTCTTGTAATGAAAGACTGAGAATTTTTTATAAATTATCCCTGCAATTCAGTATTCTCAACGGACACTTAAAAACAGCATCAACTTTCTGATGAAGGGGGAAAACGTTAAACAAAAATTTCTAAGACTACATGGAAAATCTTTACAAATGGAAGATAAGAACCACTTCCTTTTAATGGTTACTTAGAGTCAAATGGGGAAGATAAGGTCATATTCAGCAAAAAGCTGAAGTGCAAAGTCTGTTATGAAATGACGCGGAAACTGTAGTCGTGCGAAAACACAACGCTGTTGAGCTTTCACTGCCAGTTATCGGTGTCATAATTTATCACAGCGTGCTCTGAATATTGGCCTCCAATTCGGTAGATAAACCCGCAGTTATTCGCTCACACTGCTGGAAAGTTTTTTTCAACAGTTCACTGCCAGTGATAAATCCAGTTATGATAAATTTCATGGGTTTGACCATTCAATCACAACCCTCAGTTTGCACAGGTGTCCGAGTCATCTATTTCATGCGCCCCATCCATTACTTCTGCAATCAAATGTACGGCAGGCACTCCATCAAAGTGAGGAATGAGAAGTAGGGGCTATTTGAAGGGTTCACCTATTTTGTCCTTTTTCTTTTTTTGGACTAAAAAACACATAACACGGCCGGTTCAAGGCGCCAAAGTTCTCAAGACTAGATTTGATTCATATCTTGTTGATAGCGCCCTCTATTGCTTGAGTATAGCGCTTGTGAGGTACCGGTATGCGCAGAATTTCCTGGGTCAAGGTGCCAAAGTTCGAAAGACTAGATTTGATTTATCTTGCAAACATACTGACTGCAGTAAGGTATAACCAAAATAAAAATCCAGCCTTGAAGCGAGACTACACTCTGCCTGGATCTGCCCCGTTGTACATACCTGTCGTTCTCCTCCAGCAGTTCCTTAGCCTTCGCCTCCAGTTGTTGGACCTCCTCCCGTGCCCGGTTCACCTCCCCCGGGGCGATGGGGGTCCCGCTGGCCAGGCTCTCCACCTGCTGGGCCAAGACCTGGCTCTGGGTCTGACTCTGGCTGTCCAGCAGGGAACCCATGTACTCCTCGTAGCCATTCTGGAAACAAAGACAGAGAGAAGACAGAGTTTACAGTGAAGTCTGTCGTAGTACAAATTGCAAGACCATCATGAGTCAAATAACAAGTCCGTCATAAGTCAAACCACATGTCCATCACTTATGATATCACAAGTTAAAGCACAAACTTCCATCACAAGTCAATTCACAAGTCAAATTGCAAGTCCATCACAAGTCAAATCACACATGTCAAATCACCATTAATATCACAAGTCAAATCACAAGTCTATCACAAGTCAAATCACAAGTCTATGACAAGACAAATCACAAGTCAATTCACAAGTTCCTCAAAGGTCTATCGGAAGTAAAATCACAATCATAAGGCAAATCGCGAGTCAATTCACAAGTCCATCACAAAACTATCTCAAGTTAAATTGCAAGTCCATCACATGTCAAATCCCAAGTCAAGTCACAAGTCCATCACAAAATCACAAGCCCATCTCAAGGCAAATCGCCAGTCCATCAAATTCATCTATAGGTGACAGCATTAAAAATATATTTTATTAGAAATAATGAAAATGCGTTTATGTTGAAAAAAGCGTCAACAACTGTCACACTTCATATCCGGCTGTAAAAAAAACAACACGCTTTCAACAACAACAAAATTTGGGTTACAGCACAGAATCCAAATAAAAAAAAAAATACATCAGTTCCTGTCAGGCTCAGTTTGCTAGATGCAGGCATAATTTTTATTTGATGTTCCGTCTGAGTGGGGCAGTCATGGGGGGGGGGTTTAACATTTGGAGGGGAGAAATGCAATCAAGGTCTCGTCAGCGTGTGTGCCTGATCGGAATTCGATAACGTCAGCGGGGCTTTAAACGCGCCCCGAGCACACGATTCTATTACGCTCTGAGAGATATTGATATTAACACTAACCCGTGGGGAGGAACCCTACAACGCGTGTTGCATTAGCCTCGAGGGAAACCGGTTTCCGTGCGGGGCACCGGGCTCGTTACCTATCACACCGATTGGCCATGGCGACAAGAGGGACGGGAATTGTAAAAACAACTTTAAGGACCTGTCTAACTGGTTGATCGATAGCCCATACTTTAGAGAGAGACTTTTTTTTTTAAAAGGGGGGGGGGGGGGGGAGGGGTTGCACTGGTAACTTAATCGTGACCACAATTTTCCCGGGATAAAAGACTTCCACAGCATTTCTGAATGAGGCAAGTTTAAATTTACACAAATTATGCAGATATTGGAAGCTACTTATAAACAACATATTTAATTAGTGTAATGTGTATGACAATGAAACAAAATGAAGACTAATTCAGGTTTTAAAATTATTAATTAGTGCTATTAATAAAAAAAAGTTGTTCCAAATGATTCTTCATCAAATTTTTAAAAGAAAATCCCACCTCAAAAAAGATGAATATACTTTCCCTTCGTTCAATAACTCTTTAAATAGGAACAAAAGGCAGCTATTTAAAAAAAAAATTAAACAATTGGAAAAAACAAAAATGTTTTCACAATTTAAAAACACCTTAAAAGCTTGTCAGGAACGAACCAGTTTAATTCTAATATTGATTACATTTATATATTTCTTTCTCCTATGTATGTTGACGTATGTTGATAAAATTACAACAGTTTTGGCCTAAATTAAATTACCAAGATTTTCATGTCTGGGAAATTTTGAATCTATCTCTTGAAATCAGATGTTTCAAACAGGCACATGACCTACCCAGAAAGCTGACCAAACATTTTTTCAACAATAGGCAACGCATTTTTAACCTACTGCCCTAGTTTCTGACAATGTATTACTTTCTCAAAATACTAAAAATGATGTCAACATGAATTCACTGTATTTCTTAGGGTCTCTATGAATGTAATTTCCTTTGTGAAATATCTAGGGGTGGGCATAGTTAGGCCCCCCAAAAAGGTTCTGCTTCCGATTACATTGCATTCGAAAAAAGGGTAGGTAGGTAGGGAATTTGAAAAAAAAAAATTTTTGCCATTTTTGTGAGTGTACGATCATATGGAGGCGTCTGCGTGTAGTCAAGGGTAAAAGGTAGAAATTGATGGTTTGGGGTGTTTTTTTTAATTTTTCCAAAATTAGGGTAGGGGCTGTCAGAATAGGGTAGGTAGGGAAACCGGAAGCAGAATTATTATTTTTGTTGGCCTTATGGGTAGAACGGGAACCGGGTACTCGGTCACAAAAAAAACAACCCAAAAATTCAAATCTTAGAAGTTGCTGTTCCGATTGTCTGCATGATAATACTAACACATCGGTGCATCATTACAGCAGAATACAAGTGTGTACAGTGAGCTCTAAAGCTTCACGGTGAAAAGTAAATGTGAAATCTGTTTTGCTTTTCCATGTAGCCTGGTTTCCAGTGATATCTAAAATCTTTCAATTTCATTGTTGAGAAGTTACAACAGGGGTACGGCACGCGACTACCTGGTTCTGCTGCACAGCCTGAGAAATATTGAGGCCAAAGTACTCATTAAAAACTACCTTTTCGCTCTAATGTCACTTCGCTCGTACCCCCCGCCCTGCAAACAGGACGCTGGGATACTCTGATGATTTCACGCTCTGATTGGTTGGATTTTGCGTGACCAGTGACCTGCGCGTCATCAAGGTCATGACTCATTTAAAACAACCTTTGAAAAAATAAGATCGCTAAATTTAAAATGAATCAACAGAAAAGCTTCAAAAATGAAAAAAGTCAAGGTAATAAAGAACAAATACATGTACAGTAATATTTACCCAAATTTTTTATAAAAATTAAAAAAAAGAATTGTTTAAATTAAAGGAAACAAAAGAATTACCTGTATTGTGACCACACAAGAATCGCACGGAACACCCCGATTAGTCCGATTCCTCGATACCATAATAAGAAAAAAATGAAGTCGACCAGGAAGAAATCTCTCCAAACAACATGTACTGCTCCTTTCACATTTAGAACCCAAATCGTGACTGCAGTCAACGTGTGTACAAATCCGGAGGTAAACACAAAACCCTCGTTATTAGGAGCACACTTTGCAGTGACTGTGTGTCTGTGTCTGGACTAACGAGCGAGCAGCAGAGAGCGTGTCTGTGCGCGTGCATTAAGACGACCGTCTCCGCCTGCAATCACGACAATAACGAACCGTTCCCTGAACTTTGTTTTGGGGTGGCCAGAGTAGAAATAAATTGCGTTTTACATCCTCATGCAATTTTTATGGGAAAAAAATTATTGACAAATGATTGTTCAATTCCCTTTGGATTCATTGTGATGAATGCATTTTACTTAAAAATTCTTAATTAAAAAGTCTAATTATTTAAAAACATTTTTTGTTTAAATATACAAATTTGTACCTAATTGTAAAGCTCAAAATATTAGATATGACTTCTATAATGTAGTTAAAACTGTAAAAAAAAACAGCATGTCAATATTAAAATGTATTTAAAACGAGGATCTGCTAGAATTTTAAAACCTAAACAAGACTTTTGTTTCATTTCGTTACATAATTTCAGTGACCACTAACTCTTTTACAGAGTTCGCAAATTCACTTTCATCGCATGGCTTAAAAAAAAATTCATAATAAATAAATAAGTAAATAAACAAATCCAGCATAATGTAATCTTCCCTTCAATCAAAAAAAGGTTAAAAAACAAGTACCGTCAACAATCATGTTTGTCAGAGGATTACTGTCATGCAGACGAACAATACATGTACGCTCAAACACAACCACACCGTTTCCATTACGGACTCAACACAATACGACCTATGCAATTACAGAGCTCCGTGGGGCGTGCAAAAACAAGAATCAATCTGTTTAATTTCACAGTCTCAGATCTGCGGGGACAAGCCCTGCAATTATCTCGCCGATTCCTCGGGAAAAAAAGAACGGCGAGTTTCAGGGTCAGCGTTATATTGCTCACTCGACGGTTAAAAGGGTTGTGCGCTTCTGAGGCGGTGCGCGACCTTCTTGAAGCGTTTCAGGTTTTCTCGACTTAAAATAATCTGTAATTGAATGACGAATGGACGGATGTTGCCGCGGCTGACCGGACAATATTTTTGTAATAAAAAAAGCAATGATGTTATCTGTCTTGGTTCAATATTGGACGGATGTCACCGACCTTTAATGTGATTTTTAATAAAAGGGTTCGGGCAGATTTTGTGTCGGATTTTACGGGATGGCTCGTATATTACAAGAACGGTTGCATAGAATGAATATATCATTGAAAACACAAGAAATTGTCAATTTAATTCTTGATTAATTTGTGGGTTGCTTTCATTATACATCAGAACAAATGCAAACCGATTCCGATCTCTGTCAATCTTCTGTACCTTTCCTCATTTTGTCACCATCTGTGATTATTCCGAAAATATTTTATGGTGACTTCAAAAAAAAACCTGATTTAAAAAATCATTTTAATAGGGGGAAACCCCTTATAAAGGCGAGGGTCATTATCTGCGTCCAAGGCCCCTAGCCAGCCAAGTACTTATTTATTTCCATTCATAAATACCTTTGGGTCAAGGCAAAAATTCACCAATTTCCAACAATTTTGTTAAACAATTTTATTTCATGTTTTGTGCAACACCACTCAGGCCAAGTCTATATGTGCGTCGCATGCGTACATTGTGTAGTGCTACAAAATCTCCTTATGTCGAAATTGGGACGCGATGTGGCACAGAATGCAGTGGTGTTATGGGCGTCGCCAGGATTTTTTCCGGGGGGGGGGGCAAAGCAAATTTTTCATTATATTCTAAATTTAGCATTTTTCCAAGCGTGAGCAGGGAGCATTTGCCCTACCTCCCCCCCCCCCCCCCCCATCAAATTAACAACAATATGGCTTCGCACTTCTTTTTCCTTTTTTTTCCGGGGGGGGGGGGGGGGGGGGGGGAAGTGCCCCCCCTTGGCCCCCCCCCCCCCCTCGCGACGCCCATGTATAACAGCGGTTTAAAACTACCCGTGTGACGGGCTCTCCACCAATAGGAATTGGTAAACTATCTCAGGAATTTGTGAATACAATTCAAGTCTACTCAATGCAAATTCCATTGTGTGAAATGTTCATGTAATATTTGAAGCTTTTTGTATCTTTTTGACTCCATCAAAAAATTCAGAACATTCAAAACAACGTGAAATGCACAAAAAAATAAAAAAAATAATAACTTAAGAATTCTAAAGATGCAAAATCTTAAGTCACATCAAATTTTGCGTAATTTAATATTAATAATAACTTAAGAATTCTAAAGATGCAAAATCTTAAGTCACATTTTAATTTAATATTTTCAATTGATTTATATAAATTTATGAGTCAAAGGACATAATATACCTTGATGTAGGCTAGGGCCTCCCCAAAATCCGGCGAAGCCTTTATCAGATCATCCCAGATGTTGCTGTAAACTTGAAGACGTTGAAAGTTGGGACCCGACAAACGATGGGCATCGTCCAATTGCATCAAATCCTTAGAAGGAACACAAAAGACCCCAATTAACACCTCAATGGGCTTTTATAATCAAATTCCCGCTTAGCCCACATGAAATTAGTTGTTACTTTATTATTTTCACTGATACAATTTTGAATTTTTCTTCCCCCCTGTTGGCGCTTGTTTGGAGGGAATGTTTATTTTGTAAATTTTGAATGGAGGTGGGGATGGTTGGGGGAGGTGGGGATGGCTTGGGGTGGGTGGGGGAGGGTGGGGGAGGAGGGTGGGAGAGGAGGGGTGGGTGGGGGAGGGGTGGGCGGAGGTTGGCTAGCGGTTGACTGGGGGATGTCTGGTAGTGGCTGGGGTGGCTAGGGGTGGCTGAGGGTGGCTTGAGGGTGGGCAAGGGTGGCGTGGTGGACTCGGGAGGTGGGGGTCTGATGTAGAAAAAAAAATACTATTGCAAGGCCATGAAGGCTCAATAAGCAAATAAAACCAGCAGTATTTCTGCAATAGGGGACCTATACATGTATTTAACCGATTGGAACTTACACCTTTAAATATAGCACATAGTTGAATATGAATTTGAATGTGAACAATATACAAGGTGAACCGACGTCCAAATCAGCTTCTTTTATGCATAAATCTGGGATTGAAAAGCATGGCCGGGGTTGTTTTCTTTGAGATTTTCATCTCCGTTTCTTCTTACTTGTGAAGGTAGCAACACTCTTTCTGCCAAGACTAGGGTTGGGAATGTGTTCCCCTCTGCAACCCTGTTGTTACCACATTGGAAGCTTTAGTATAGAATAAAGATTAAATAATAATAATCAATTTTCTTTGTCCGTACCTCCTTCAGTTTCCTCTCCAAAGGTTCAGCTATCTTCCGTCCCGACAGTACGTTCCTTTCATACATCTCCGGTGTCTTCATCACGTTCTTCTGAAAGTCCAGGAATCGTTCAAATTGTTCCTTTTTGGTCACCCCGCCTAGGTGGCTCTCGTAGAACTGGTGCTTCGTTGGCGGGGGAGGGGGCGCATTGGCGGATTTCTTGGCATCTGCGTTCAGAGGGGCGAGGGATTTGGGCGAACCGGTCCGGAGCGGAGTTTTCGGTCTCGCGCCGGGGAGCATGAGCTCTGGCAGTCTTAATTCTTCCACGTAAACGCTATCGCTGACGTACGATGCCACCGTGTTCGGTCTCTGCTCGGTTTGTAACGATTTATCAGGACTCGCTTGAGGAATCGGAGGAATTGGTCTAGGGCTCTTTTTCCGCAAAGGAGCCTCCTGTGTTTTTTTGACTGACTTGTGTTTCGGCGGGACGTGAACGCTCCCCGATGTCCCAACGCCGAAGTTGTATACAGCGTCCCTCATCTGATCGTGGTGGTCCGTGGAGCGGCGTGGGGACGGTAGTTTCGAGGGCTCGTATAGCAACGGAACTTCTTTTCCCGAGCTCTGCCATGGTGTGTGGGTGGCCTTGTCCGGGGGCTTCCATAACCGATTGTGGTTTAGGTGACCTCGGGTCAAAAGGTCAATGTCCTGCTTCTGTTCTATAAATAACCCTTCCAGGATGTCATGTAGGGGCCGTTCGCTGACCTTTTCAGCCATCGTTCGTTACAAAACAAATTAAGCTTCAGGGAACTGACTCTGAAAACAGCATGAGATGAAAGATAAAAAGTATGCCTATTGTCTTGTCCGATTGAGAAAAAAAATGTAAAATGGGTCACAAACTTCAGAACTTACACAACTTAATAACATTCAATTCCATTTGAATAGATAAAATTTCTAGTCAAAAATTCCTTTATTCCAACACATTTGCAATACTGACCATCACTGCGGTTATAAATATTGATAAAGTGACTGCAGAATACTGAATTCTTCCCTCAAAAGAGACTTGAAAATTGATCCTTTTTAAAACTTAGAACGCATGGCATGTTCTTCTTCAATTAAGTTCTTGCTTAAACTTTGGTACGGTGCCCCGTCTTCATGTATTAAAAACCTACGCTGACGGAATCCAATTTAGTCAGGACCCCTCAAAAGTCAAAAGTTCTTGCCGGTACTCCGAATAAACTTAAGTTTCTTGACATTCCATTTCATTCCAAGTCAAAAGTGCTTGAAATATTTTCATTTTGACATTTTCATATCTTAATAAATAGCTATGGGAACTAATTTCTTTACCACCGCAGAGTAGTAAAAGCGTAAAAATCAACAGTGCTCCATTCATGCACGTTGACATCGACAAGTGGTTGACGCTCCTGTTGCCGTGCTGTCATCATTTGAACAATGAGGGCGCTATTGCAATCTGCCGGTGTTTAACTTTTTTGGCGCGATTGGCACCAAATTAATCGGCAAAGTTTAACTCCCCACATTTCTAAAGGCTTTAGATTTCTCTATTTTTCAGGGAGGGAATTGAGATTGGGAAAGAAAAGTTCCAGGTCAACTTTGAAACTTTCCTTCTTTCCTTTTTACAAATGACAACGCTGTGCAATGACGATATAAAAATGTAAGACAGCACCATTTTGTGGTTTTCATATTTGCATTTATTTATTTATCAGTGCATTTTCTCTACTGACACAACCTTATTTGTCTTCGAAACCTTTATTAATATGAAATATGGTAATTTGTTCTCTCAACTTTAATCGGCCTACAAACTACCCACCAAGCTTGCGATATGTTGCGACGAACCTGCGTTCGTTTTTGTCTTTTCCTACAACTTCCAAAGAAAAATCATAAAAGATATGTGTCAAAGGCCCTCAAAACATAACTTCTGACATTATTATGGCGTTTGACATTGAACTTTTAATTTAAGAATAACTAAGAGATCGTCTTCCAATAATTACAATTATGTTATTATTCCTATCCATAAGTCGTTAAGACAGCACGGGTCTAGCTTTCAGTACATTGGAAACATTTTGGGCGTCGGTTGTAGCTTGAATCACATATTGTGCAATAACAAAAAGGTAGCCTTTTTAGTCCATGTTTGTCTATCTGCAAATAAACTTTTATAATTTCGAGAATAAGGCTATGTTTGTAATTATGTGGATTTTCGCAATATTGTCGCAATGCTTGACTTAAATTCGAATTTTCGAAATAAACAGTGATTAAAAGTCACGTGACCATTCAAGCCTCTCCCTCTGATAATTTTAATGATAATATGACTTTTGCCATGGACAAATCTCTTCGTTAGAAGAAATGTATTTCCTTGTTTTGTGTTGTGTTAACTTCTCCACAGATAACTCTAAACTAGCCACCACCCAAGTTCCCTTAACTTCTTCAATTTAGCGTCATACCCAAAAACGTATGTGAAATGCATTACAGTTGTTTGGTTCATGTTTTGCCTTTTCCCGCCATGGATACGAAGCCTTCTACCGTCGGGGTAGTTGACTGGACTAAGGGTCTTCATTGTCAACCCCCCTGTAACATTCCTATCAAGCTCTCTATTTATCAGACGGTTAAAAACCTTTTGATCTAAAGTGTTCCTATCTGTTGTATTCAACAACTGTATCCATTCCCTTACCAGACGAAATGTGTTTTCTGTTGGACGATAGTAAGTAAAACCGTCGCAAAATACGGGTTTTCTTGGAGGATTGACCTCGTTATGTGCGGCAATATCAAAGTCGCCCTCGAAATCTTTGAAGGGATCTCTAACCCAAAAGGTATCGGCATCTGCAAAGAGCACCTCAAAGTCCGACTCGAGAAACTGTAAAATATAACGTGGACGTCTTCTGACGAATTGGTTGTAATTACTCCTGCCCACCAAAAGTCTTTGGGAGGTAGTCAGTTCCTCAGTAGTCTTCTGGACAATCAGGAATGGGTAGATTTCCGTCTTCTTGGCCAAGTAGTCATAAGATTGCTGATCTTCGGTGATAACGGTCACGTTGGGAAAAGATGCAGTTCTGAATCTCCTGATGCTTTCCAGCATGTTTAAGGTCATGCTTAAGAAGCCTGCGTTGGTAGTGGTAAGCACCATGCTGCGTGCCTTCTCGACAGCTGCTCGGTTATTGCTTGTTGACGACTTTGCTGACGTGATAACTGCCATCCTATGTACGAACTGGTTGGCTGCGAACGGGACACACAAAACAAATATAACCAGATGTTGTTCCCACATCTGATATGATGCACCTGCTGCCCGTTCATGTTTGTTCTTTTCACCGTTCATAAATACTGCACGTACGAATGCACTTTTACACTCTAATTTAAAAATGCAGGCGGGTGGATCCCCCAAAAGCAGGGTTTGTCGAGTAGGGATCCCTTTAATTGAGTGAAGGTCCCCTATGTAGGTCCAAAAACTTCATCCGTCACACGGACGGGGAACTCACAGGCCTATCTGCGAACTTTCTTTGAACCGCGTTCCGCTATAGGGTTTGCATTTAATTCGCCTAATAATACTCACCAATAAAGAGAAAACTGACGCAACAAGTGAAGCACCAAGCAATCATTAGTTTTCTTTGACGACATGCCATCGCGACTTGTAAACTGTAAACAGTTGAGAGGATAAACAAAACATTTTGGGTGTTATACTTGGTATAAGCAGGCGAGTGAACTGTTCATATCGCAAAAGTGAAAGTGAAGTGGCTTCACGACGTTAAGATATCCGCCCCTGGTCATATATTTACCATTTCATGAGCATACACGATAGCTCCGAATACGCTACAAAGAGGAGAGTAAAAAGTAAACGTATGTGAAAATGTGTGGTTTACATGGATACGGAAAGTGAAATGTCAACCTAATTTAAATGTATATTCCTCAGTAGCAAAAGTTAGTTTTATACCAACTCCAAAAATATGGGCTTAGGCCAAAAAAAAAGTCTCCGGTTTCTGGTATGGAGCTTGTCCAAAAAAGTGGTGCGGCGACGCGGCTTTTTTTTTTTTACCCGACTTTTTTGCTTCAAATGTCGGCTGATGACTGCAAATGGTGCCCGACTAAACTTTAATAGTGCAAATATATGGGAGTCCAGAGAGGCCACATAAGGCTTATTCTCGATCATAACCCCGTCTAAAAACACGTGGAAATTGCGCAGCAGCAGAATTCCAGTCAAAACCAGTGAGTTTGGCGGTTTTGAGAAATCATCTTTCATTGAAAAAAAAACTTTTTCATTTTGCCGACGCGCATGGCTACGGCGACGCGCGCGCATACCAGAAACCGGAGACTTTTTTTTTTTGGCCTTAAATATACCAATTTTATTTTTTCTTACCGGTTGAGTAGGATGAAGCAAGTACCTGAACGCCTTGCAGGTTGGAAGAAAACGACGGTGGTCCAAGGAACGATTTCGATCTGCTCGCTAAGGTTTTAGAGAAAGTATTAATCACACCATCCATTTGTGTAAAGTGGAGATCTCTGGTACGGCACGTCTGTTCACGTACCATTCAAACTCAAGTGGAATTTAGGGTGTGTGTTTTTTTTCTAAATGCGCATGCGTCCCGGCGATGTCGACGAAAAAAGACCCGTAGTTAGTCTCTGTTGCACCGTGTGCTTCAGAACGACAAACTTTTCACGTAAATTACATTGGCGTCAGTTGTTGATTTGAATAAGCAAATTTCTGATACAGTTTGCAAAAAAAAATTCCTCTCGTTTTCTTTTTAAAACAGCTGTGTGAAATAAAGTGGGAGGGTAACTTTGGACGTGCATGCGGTTCAAACCACTTAACGCCGGGAGGAATTGCACACAAGCAACGATTTCCCCCGGGCAAATACACGACAAGTGTAAACACGTTTTGGGATTTTTTTTTTTTGGTAGTGGCGGTTCACATGGTAAGACGTCACGTGTGAAAGAGTCAAGGGGCGGGACACGGATTATGGCGCAGGCCAGTAGATTTGCCTACGCCGGCGCGGCCAAATCACGATTTGCATGCACTCAAAATTTCATGTGTTCTGGATCCGGCTTGCAACCTTGCCACACAACCGTCCGACTTTCTAATTAAAAAGGGTATATAGCAATGGCAGAAAAGCTGCTCCTTAAACATTTTAAATTTATAAATAAACTCTCCTTCTTTCCTTTTTACAAAATTAATGACAACGATATGCAATGACGAAATGAAAATGCACGACAGCACCATTTTGTGGTTTTCATATATTTGCATTTATTTCAACGAAAACTTCAGGACATGATCAAAACAAACCGTGGTTTTCCCTGCATTTCTCTACTGACACAACCTTCTTTGTCTTCGAAACCTTTATTAATATGAAATATGGTAATTTGTTCTCTCAACTTTAATCGGCCTACAAACTACCCACCAAGCTTGCGATATGTTAAAGCACGACGAACCTGCGTTCGTTTTTGTCTTTTCCTACAACTTCCAAAGAAAAAAAGCTTGAAAATTGATTGCCAATATCCCTTTGGAATCATAAAAGATTTGTGTCAAAGGCCCTCAAAACATAACTTCTGACATTATTATGGCATTTGACATTGAACTATTAATTTAAGTATAAATAAGAGATCGTCTTCCAATAATTACAATTATGTTATAATACCTATCCAAGTCGTTAAGGCAGCACGGGTCTAGCTTTCAGTACATTGGAAACATGGGCGTACGGTTATAGTTTGAATCACATATTGCGCAATAACAAAAGGGCCGCCTTATGACAGCGAACACAGGTTGCCAGACCAAACTTTATAGACTTGGAAATGGTTCCGAATTACCGGTTACTGTTTAACCAATCACACATAAAATAATTGCTTGGCAACATTTTATGCACTATTTTTTGGTGATATTGGGCTAAAATGGTGTATTACGTGGGCACTGACTGCCGGTGTTGTATGAGATTTGGTCGGATTATGGACTATCGACCTCATGTGAGTTCTCACTGTTCTGTGCAGGCTCTGAGACATGCACAATTAATACGATAGGTTGAGTTCATAGGGTTAAAATCTCACACTGCACCGGTGTTGCGTGAATTAATTTGGACTTTAGACAATATGGACACATTGGTTCTATTGCGCATACCTAAGTGAAGAAAATTAGGACAGTGACGGGTCACGTGAGAGAGTTAGAGGTAAAAAGACCAAATTAAGGAGTCATAATTTCATATTACACCGGCACCTTTCATAACCTTTTATGCCGTTTATTTTCGATAACTCCTGAAACAAAATCTGATTTGAATTTTACAATAACAGACGCCCATGATGTTTGGATGACTTCTCCTTGTACTGGATGGGTTTTTTGGTTTTTGTTTTTTACATGATATAGAGCAAGCGGTTCGGTGTACCCTCGCCAGCTTCCATCACATTGCAGGTGGAGGCATCTTTCAAGATCCTCATTCTAATCAACTCGTTGACCAACTGCGACGGTAGGGTATCCGGAGCCTCCATCACACCATCGGCAAGATGGATGGCTGCAGCACCTTGGTGGAGAACACAAACAACATATAAACAAATACAATGAGAAAGCAAACATACAACAAACAAACAAACAAAATCACCATGGTAAATACTATAACCCTCTTCACTCGACTAAAAGACTGTGAATGTTACCATACCAACCTGCGACGTAGGCGGTGGCCATGGCGGTGCCGCTGGCGTACAAATAGTCATCGTCATTCTTAAAATTGACGGTGTAGATGTCCTGGCCGGGCGCAAACAAATCCACGCAGAGGCCCGTGTTTGACCAAGAGGGCGCCGCGTCGACCGAGTCGGAGGCTGCCACGGTCATAACCTGCATGTGTAGTGAGCAGACAAAGGTGTTTTTAATAGGAAAGGACTGAGTCTGGTTGAAATGTTAGCTGAAATTTAGTCTGGCATTTACTTTATTTTTCCTGAACCATGAGGCCAGCCTACTGTCTTTCGATTGAGTCACTGACTGACTCTGATCTCGAGCTGCTTCACAAAAAAATGGACGGACTGGTGGCCTGATGAACAGGGATAATACGTGTGAAACACCTATAAAGCACCTTCGAGACCTTATATAATCATCACCACATTATTACTATTATTAAAGCCTAGTTTATGCCTCAGTGGACGTACATAAGGCGATCTAGCTGGTGATCTCCTGCAGGCTTCATGGAGGAAGTCATCCATGCCGGCTTCGGGTGTGGGCCCGGGTGCCGAGGTTGCTACTGGAAGGGGTGCTCTCAAGCCCCGGCTCCATCCCAGGACCGGCCAGGACCTTTCTGTCTTGGCCTGCTCGCTGGATCTACCGGCCGCTGCTACCACCACGCAGCCCGCGTCGTGTAGGGTCTTGACGGCCTCGTCCAAGACTTGCGAGCCGCCCGTGGAGAGGGCTAGCACCACCACGCAGGGGGAGACTTTGTTTTGCAACACCCAGTCCAGACCTGCCACATAATTATGAAACATTTCAGATTGACGAGCGATCGATGTCGTAATCGTCATTGTCATTGTGCACCTTCGTGACTGATTCTTCCCTTTTTCCAGTTTATGTCAATGATGTGGTTTTTGTCAGAGGGGCTGACGTTTGGCTATAATTTTCAGGGTCTATAGTGCAAATCTGCAAAAAGAGGATCTCACCGAGTTTTTTGGATAAAAATTTGAAGGAGGAACTTTTTGGTGACCAACAAAATCGGAGTAACTGACACATTAAGCAAAACGGACAGCACCTTGCAGTGCGTTGCCTGCAAGGACGGAGTGGTTCGCTTTTGGTCAAACAGTTAGTTGAATGAGTTATCACCGTTGATTCGGCTACCATCAGATTATAAACATTAGGCTTACTGAGGTGGAATCATGCTCGCGCACAGGTGGTACGCGCACACACAATGCTCATTCGACAAATAAGGCTAGTTGCGCGCGCGACTTATTGACTTATATATTAAGAACGCGTGCGACAGGTGTGCGCGTGATCCCACCTAAATTTGTTGGCCGGATTGTTCTTATACCTATCACGACGTAGCTGACTGCGTGGTTATCGTATCGGCCAGTCTCCGACTCACAGCCCATGACTTTGACGGAGTGCATGGTGGCTCGCTTAGCCACCCCGTAGCTACTCCCTGCTATGATTCCGGCCACCGCGGTCCCGTGTCCCGTGCAACCGTCAGTACCCTGTACCAAATGTACGAAGGACGAGAGTCAAATATCTCATCAATTGGACAAAATGAAGTTCTAAATTAGTTTTTTTGTATACAAATGATCCTTTTCTTTGATCGAACCTGCGCCAAAAACTGATGCGAGTCGACAGCGTTATATTGTACTTACGTCGCCTCCAAACGCGTCATATGCGTGCCGGGCACGGCACTCGAAATCACGGTGAAGGTCCTGGATACCGGTGTCGAGTAGGTATATATTGGCCCCGAAACCGTCCCCTGTTTTTACAAATGGCATAAACGGAAGATACGAACTCAAGGATCCCAGTAATGCATTGTTTCAAACAACCTAATACCAAGGTGGTTATAATGTACACAAATGATAAGACCTAGAAAAGTTCTGAGCCAATCATTGGTGGCCTTAAGAAGCTGTGTATCAAATTCCTTTAATTATTCTCTATCAATCACAAACTCTTCCAAAGCAAATTGGAATATGCATGAATTTGAACATGTAGGAGAGTCGTCAACTTATATTAATAGTCAACTGGACATTAGGCTATGAATATTCAATAATTCAAATTTGCCTTTGATGTCGACATTGCCATCTAAACCGCTATCTTTTTGATTGATCCGATCCAAGCCGTAGTCTTTCTGGGTTTTGGTATCCTTATCCGTAGATAGGTCCTCCTCCTTGACTATACCATCTTCTTCAATATATTCAATACCCGGAACTTTCTGAATCTAGAAAAAAGTAAAGATACAGAACGTTTATAGCGAGGAAAGCCACACCCACAAACATGAAGCCCCTCCCCTTCCTTCCCAAAAATAATATTGACAAAGTATTACAATGCAAAAGCTTGCTAGTCATTGCTGTCATTTATAAAATTTAAAAAAAGTTCGTAAAAGCGACGATTTAGTTCTAATTATTTCACTCCAACTACAACATTGAGGTTTACACTTCACTGAATTTGTTTCTTCAAAGACGTCTGAACTTAGCAGGAGGTCGTCGGTTCGAGTCCAACTTAAGGAAAATTTGATTTTTTTTTTCTGACAAACTTTCGAACAGAATTGAGTAGGACCCATACAGTGCTTAAGATATTACTTCGGTGAAGTGCAAAACTTAAAGGTAAAAATGTATTATCTCCCTTGGCGCAGCTATTCAATCAAAACACATTGTATTTCAAAAAATAACAACAAAAAGTTGCACAGTTTCAAACGATCGGGATGCTCTTACCTGATCTTGTGCACTGAAATCTAATCTCGCTACGATGACTGGAACCGCTTTCTTGATTATATACTTGATTTCTGCGTGAACTTTACCGTCTTCATCTGGTGTGATCAAGTTCTCGATTGCTTCAGCAACTGCATCTACGTCGAATCCCGCCTAAAATTAAAGGGGGAAAAAATCACAACCCACTGAAAAACGGGGCAACGAATTTCACTGTTTCCCAAGCACTTGGTTCAGTACATCTTTCACGTAATTTTTATGTTTAAGACATGGTTATAAAAGAGTGTATACAGATAGTCACGAAAACATTAAAAGCAAAGTTGGCGACGACAACGATATAACGGACATCAATAAACTTTGCGTTTTCTTACCTTGACTTTGATAAGGAACTGGCCGCCGACAGCCCCGTCTTCGTTCGGTACCACGGGCGGGTACCCGGAGCCAGGCTGCAGCAGCGCCCAAAGAACACCAGCGAAAAAGCAGGGCACTAACTCACGACCACGCATGATTACCAACGGACTAAGTAAATACACACAAACAATCAATCGTCAGTTCCAGCCCAAATTGTGAGAAGTTGTTAAGTTGGGAAAGTGAGTGAAAGAAGTCCTCGCTCTTATCATGTAATGAGTGGACGAATTTTAAATTAGAGGAATTTTAAGGGTAAACTATCTTCGTCATTCTACCAGAGTTGTACGCTAATAAATTGATACTGTACATTCTTCTCTCGAACATGCACCATACCTTTGAAACGTGGACGAACGGCAACGACTTCCTCTGTCGAATTTCACGTTAGGAATCTGTGCACTGACTTCGAAGTGCCGCCGCAAAACCGCCTTTTAAACCACAAAATTTAATCAAGTCGTCAGATTTTAATTAAGTGATCACTTTCCGGACTTATTTTTCTCTTCTTATCAATGAATCGATACATCTGACATAATCGACCCTTCATTTCAACCGTTCGTTCGAAATCCATTCTTTTTAATTTCGCTTCAGAAAAAAAATCTGACATTAAATCCATATCTTCATGTGAAATACATCTGTTCTGTCTGATCATTAACCCGCATTAAAATGAATTAATTTTGACCTTTTTTTACCAGAGAATATCATCATGTGCATGGTTGGAATAATCAGAAAATAATAGCACAGATCTGCCCTAGAAAATTAACTGTATTCGAGGAGTAACTGTTCTAATCCTACTGTAGCACCAACTGTTTGCGTTTACCTTTTACTCAATCAAGAAATATCTTGATTATAAAGGTATACAGCATAGTTTGTTTTCGTTGTGTGTTGATAGGGTAAATCAACCTCGTTCCTTCCATCTATACGCCATGATAATATTTTCAGATATTTCATACATGGTTTCCAGTAGGCCTATGCATTGCAAACAATTGTGTGAGAGCGTGCACGCGGATTATGGGGTCAAGGTTGAGTAAAGTAATATAAGTCAGGATGCCGAACCCTTCCCAGGGAGTTGGAAAAGAACTCAGCTCGAAAAGGCCCATCAATAATGATGAAATAGTTTTAACTAGTTTCAATCTTCCTGACAAAATAGCTTTTCCGTGAAACGATTAATTGATTTTAGGCTAAGATAATTTATCTGGTCAATACTTTTAATATTCGAAACATTTGAAGCACTGTCGGAGTCAACTTACAATTTGACAAATGACAATTTCGTGATAAAGACGGTGAAAGAGCCTCTCGTGCATAAATCATTGATCCTCAAATCCATTCATCATAAGAATCAATATCTCATTTTTATTAGTAAATGATAACAAACGTATGGCAGACTATTAAGTGGTTACAGCTCGTACCGGTAATTAAGATCGATGGTGTATTATACTCGTCAAATGACAGGCGAGGGCGCCCTACCCCTCTAACAGCTCCCTCTTTGGTCGAAATACGTGACAGGCAGTTTAACACTAATTGTGTGACTCTTGTTAGCTAGATACACAAGGGAGTTTATTCCTGAAGTGGCTGTTCTTAGTCTGCAAACCAGTCGTCTTCTCCCTAAATCTCAATAATTATGAGAACACGTGGAGTTGTGCCGTTGCTGCATGTCACACGTCTAACATCAAAAGTACACCAAACAATAAATAAATCCCATCCGCAAACTTGGTATACTTCTATGAACATCGCTATGATTTATTGCACAATAACTGACACCCATTAATTTAGTATCGTTTCGCACATCAAGTGACAGTTCAGTACATTGCTATATTTACAATACATTATTATAATTACAAGAACCACTATGTACGACTGTTATGTACAACCCCTTTTATGGCAGTTTATAAACGGTGGATACACATATTAACTAATTACATTTTGATCATCATCATTTGGGATGCTCGCCATTTAGTTTAATTTTTGTGTTGCGCAGTTTTCTTGTGTCCTTCCCCAGATATATTTCTCGTACTTGCAGGCTCCCCTCATACACTAATTAATCAGTCTTTTTGTCAAGTTAATTATACTGCTGTTCGCCATGCTCGTATAATTGCCCTCCCGGCATCATCTATATTGTATATAGCCATTTTGTCTGTATTTTGTGCTGCGTTATTCGTTTTGATGTTATTTCTTTTGTGTTTCTGGTTTTCCGATTTGTCTTGTATATTTTTTTTTAATATATATGTAATGTTGAGGTCATGGGCGTTGCGAGGGGGGGGGGCAAGGGGCACTTCCCCCCCCCCCCCGGAAAACCAAATAAAAAAAAAAGAAAAAAAAAAAGAAAAAAAAAAAAAGAAAAAAAAAGAGGCGCGAAGACAAAGTGGTGTAAATTTAATGAGTTGGGGGGGGGGCAAAATGTCCCTGCCCCCCTCTAAAACTGATAAATCGAGAATGTGTTGAGAAATACAAGCCATTTTTGGCAAAAAAAAATTTGCCCCCGTCTCGAAAAAATCCTGGCGACGCCCATGGTTGAGGTCAAATAAATAATACTGAAAATCACAAAGTGCGAGAATACAACATAAACAGTGCTCCTATGACTCTTACAGTAATACCAAATTACACTCATTAATGAAGTATCGATTAGATTTAATGTCTGATGTGCATAATTATCCTATTGTCTTTTCTTGCTCGTATAAAGTTGGCATATTTACAGTCCAGCTTTATTACAGGTCGAAGAACAAACACATTGCCTCTTCTGCAAAATCGCCCGAATCGACTTCCTTGCTTGTCGCGTCGTTGAGTTGGCAAATCTTGGCCGGGCTTCCCTGCCAGAGATTGAAGGATTGGCAACGGGGTTCGGCCCAGCAGGCCTGGCCGCACTCTATGACTCCCCAGACCGTCAGGTTCTTGATATCATGCCCGAGCAGACACCGACGTTCCACGCGGCCGTCATCTCCCAGGGACACGCAGTAACTTGGTGGGACAACGCGTGGCATTTCGCACATCACAAGCAGACTTTCATGGCAGTAAGTCAAGAAAAGCTTCCCGCCACCATGTCCACCCTTCCTAAGGCAGTGTCTGCCGGATGTAGTAGCATTAACGGTTATCGAACCCCAGTTGATGTACACGCTGTTTGTGCTCTGACCGACACACCTTAGTTTCCAGTCGACAAAGTCACAACCGATCCAAAGCTTCCTGACGTCGTACTCACTGAACAGTTTGTCACGAAGAGCCATGGTGAACTCGTGTTCCTCCCTGGAGTTGGGCACGATCAGACCGCCCCCTGGAAACTGCTGACACGCCCCCAAAGCTCCAGACCAGCTGAGGCTTTGTGCCATTCGGTTGTAACACGAGTCACGCCAATTGTACCAGCCTGGCGGGCACTTGGCACTGGCGAATTCGAAAATAACCACACAAGACTGGATAACAATCGTTAACTTGGCAAAGCGTGCCATTTCAAGATCAGTGTTATACTTTGCTTCGTTGACACGAAAATGCTAATCGAGTTCAAACAAGCTAGACCGTTGTCCGTGGGCCTCGTTTACCAAGTCTCAACTGTAGTCCAGCCGGAGATTTAATAAAAACTCTTGAGCACAATTATCGTCAATACGAATTGAAAACAAACCTGGAATACAATAAAGCAGTCCATACAACGTATTATGCTTTTACGACTCCTAATACCGTACTTCACTGTCAACAAGGATACTAGCATTTGCTAATAAGCGTAATTGAGCGAAACCGTTATCCTTTATTCAAGGAAATAATTAGTTCATTAAAAAAAAAACAAGCTAAACCCAAAAGAGAAAGTAATTACGAAAGATAGGCCTATAAGAGCCGTTAGGTTTAAAAAAAAAATTAAAATTGCAACTAATGTCATAATTGGTACCACTGAAGCGGAACCTCTGCTTGGTCGTCCTCCAAACCATCGTTGCTGCGGTACGTGCATGAACTAATCATAACACGAGCTGTGTAATCATGGATCCGTGATCGTGGTACATGTTGTACCACGGGTTTTGATCAGCCAATGATAGAACCAAAAAAATGAAGGCGGAGCAAGTGGCTTTTGCGTACGATATAGGTACGGTGTATGCCTAATCCTTGTTAAATTGTACTCTCAAATAAGCTTTTGCCCTTCACCGACGTATAAACACTGTATACTCTGTGTGTTACCTCCCGAGTGAAAGTTGGGGGGGAACAGTGCACACTGAGTATACAGTGTTTATACGTCGGTGAAGGTTAAAACGTTATTTGATTAATCGCTCCGACGCAAAAATTCCATCTTATAAATTGTATTTCTTCAGTAGAATGACACTGACCCCCATTAGGCCTAACTGCATACCATTATGGGAGTCCCTAATGGTCTGCAGTTAGGCCTATTTCGGCTCATATTCGGTGATGACGTTGCTGCCATACTAGCGGCCTTTCAGATTGATTGGGCTGCTCTCTTCACTGCGTTTGCGACTTTTCTGCGTGTAGACCAGCGCCAGAAGGGCCGGGATAACGAGCACGTTGACCACACTCATCAGCACGAAAGCTAGCGTGTAGCTACCTATAGGGTGTCGTAGATTAGCCCTGGGGGCAATAACAAAAACAACATCAGGGAGTTGCTAAGCACGGTAATTTGCTCATTGCAAAACAAATTGCTTAGCAAAAAACATGTCACCAGCTAAAAAGCCATGCAATAATTATTATAATCACTTGTGGTTGGTTTGGTGCATATTTTTGCTTATCAAATACCTTTCTTTGTGATCTTTTGGACAACATGTGCGGTACTTTGTTTCAAATGATGCATTTACTGTAAAAGCTTTGAAAAATAACATTGATTCCCATTATGCAGCTTACTAATTAATTATTGCATCAACATTTCACAAAATGGTTGATGAAACGGTTGCATATGTTGTGTATTTTGATATGGCGTTTATTATGGAAAATAATGAAGTTATCTTTCTGGAAAATACTCAACTTTTGCCGCAGGTATTATAGATTTTTGACTTTTGGTGAATGTACGGCTAAATCCGCGGCTAGCTGAATAGGCGACCAGAAATCCGGCCGAATCCGTTTGAAAGCTCATGCACGCGCACTCGCACACAGTTCTTATTCCTCCATGCTCATACACATGACTCGGGCGTTTCAAACTCACGCACACGACATTTGCCCGTCCGTTTTAGAACACCATACCAACCACTTGTCACTTTTGAATCGTATATAAAGCTATGCCCGTATTAAAGTTACTATTCATAAATATATGAAACAGTTTATCCATTTCTTGGTTGAGAGCCCGTCACGTGGTAAATTTGAAGCTACCGTCGTTTATATGTACCCGTTCTGCTTAAGAGCGCCACCAAGCGACGGACAGAGCACGTGGCGCGCCGTATTCAAGTCATCAATGTCTTGTACCTGTACTTCAACCTTTGCTTACGCTATTGAAAGTTCAGACGAAGCTAACTAAATCGTGCACCGCACGAATGCAAACAAGCGCTTGATTAATAACATAATGTTCATTTCCGCATGGGTGAATGCACGGTTTTTGGTTTGTTTTGACGTTTAGCCTGACGATGTCCTTGGATCACCAAAACAAGTACACTTTTATGTTTATAGAACTTGCAGTGAGATGCGTTGACAGTTCTCCAAAATGGTGTTTACTGTGATTGAAATAAGGAACCGAGTTGACAAAATTGACATGACAACTTACGACCAACAAGTTACAACGTCAACAACAACATGATAAACATTGTCAATCACAATCTAGCTTTTATATGAAAGTTGAAACCCCAGCGCAAAATGATCATCGGATTTCCACATGTACCTAAGTATAAGTAGGCCTACATATGTCAAATTTCCAATGAATATTTTGTGCTGGGGTTTCCAAAGCTAAATGACATCATGACAATTAAACAAAATTTACAAATGTGTGCGTGTCTTCGTTTTTTTGTAGGGCCCACCCAACCCACTGAGTCAAAATGTCAGAGGTGTTGATATCACTTCGCAACTACTGCGATCACCTGGACTCCGACAAAGTAACTGAAAGAAAGGTAACAAAGTGATGCATGGTAATTTTTGTATCATTTTGATAATAGTTTTTCTTGTGATGTGATTTTAGGAATTGTACAAATCTCTTTATAAATATAAAAGGAAACACCAAAGAAAGTCACGTTATTTTCTCAGCATGCAATAAAAATCTAAGTTAATAGGAAGTTGTAATAATATGCCTACTCGCATTTTAAACGTTTATTCAAAAAGCAATCTAGTGCATGAAATGCTTGCTCATTAAATTAACATTTTAATACTTGTCAATCTTCCTAAGTTTTGGGTTAGCACTGCATTTCTTTTTAGCTCTTGCCTGACTGAAAACCCAAACTTAAACATTAGAGGCCTAATTGAGAAAAATGCAACCAAAGAAATATGAACAAACTAAGAAGCCGTTTAGAACTTCATCATATTATCCAAATATTGAGTTTAGAAATTTGACCTGTTTCATATAACTTTTGGATTGTTTTGAAACCTTAATTTCCATCAGAAACGCATCGAGTCCCTGAAAAGGGAGTTGAATCGACCATTGGTGCAGCGTCAGTTGGACCACAACAGCGATGGGGGGCGGGGCTTCACGTGGAACTCCGCCTTCAAGGCGGTGAGCGCTTACATGCTGAAGGAGGCGGAGTATCTCAAGAAGAACAAAGGAGGTGTGTAGTCCCCTGAGTTGTGTGTCCCCTCCTACTCGTCAATCAAAGAGTAGGCATTGACCAATCAGATCACAACTGATAACAATTTTGGTCAGGTGACCACATAGAGCTTATGCATAGCGTATTCATTAACAATGAATGCACAGATAGGTTCACACATACATACCCCAGAAAAGAAACAAAGGCGTTGCCCTCTAAAATGGCTGCTACGCATAAGGTCTGTAGCTTGGGCTAACTTGGTCACAAGCACTGTGATAAGTGAACACAAACTAAAAGTGGGCGTGGCTGATCTGTAACCCTTCTTTATTCTACAGCCTAAGATTAACCCATAAGTACCTAAAAGTGGTGGGCAGCCGTGGTAGTCACACAAAATCAAATAAGTCAGGTAGCACTTAAATGACTAACTAGAGAATAGAATGGACATGAGCTGAGAATAGAATGGACATCTACAACTGCTTCATCAGATGCACAAATACCTATACTACATTGTATTACATTTTACAGGGTGAGTAAAAAAGGAAAACCAAATGGGAGGACCATTTTCTTAATAAAGTTCTGCATGTAGCACTTCCAAAATCTAGGATATGAAAGCCCAATTAATAAGCTTTCTTTTAGTACAAGAATCATTCAAATCACCCATGTACTTTTCGAGTAAAGGAATTTTAAACACTACCACCGTTTTAAAGTTCTGTCCACGGATTGCAAAAAGGTGTGTGTTCTTTCAGCGAAAAACAATTCACACACATCCCTTTTTGAATTGTAGCAAAGAATTCATGAAACCGTACACTGCTGGGGTGGTTTTGGGCAGTACAGGGAATAACAGGCAGGGCAGTTAGGGGTAGTACAGGGAATAACAGGCAGGGCAGTTTTGGGTGGGTTTGGGCGATACAGGCTTAAATGGGATAATCTGTGTCTTTGCTATATTCCGCAGCCTGAGTTTTCGATATACACTCACTAAGTTCAAGTATCTAAAAGCATAGTTGGATTTGTGATCTTACTTTGTTTTGCAGTCTCCAGCACGAGCACCAGCATCAGGGATCGCAAAAAACAAGAAGTGGGGGCGGTCTTCAAGTGGTTCGTCCGCGTTGCAAACCAACGTATGTTTACCATCTCTAACAAAATTGCCAAGATTTCTGTAAACTATTCCTTGTTACCGGAATATATCTTTTATGAAAATACTGAGTGTGATTGTCGAAAATGAAAAATGATGTAGTATAGTTTGATTGGTTGTTTGTTTAACCTCGTCCTAATTTCATGAAATTTCTGAGCAGATTTTTACAAAATATTATACTTTGGCTGGTAAAACCTGCAAATTTATTTTCTTACAGGCGGTGAGTGTCTGAAGTGCAGCAGCGTGGTTCAGCATATTCTTGAGTTGATGAAAGACGAGTTTACGGCCAGCGCGTTTGGCGTCGACTGCTGCAGCGTGCTACAGAAGGACCTGCTGCGAAGTCGCAAGTACTACTGCGAGTTGCCGCAGTCTGCCTGGCACGGTACGTCTTGTAGAATATCTAATCATCTTTTTAGCCGAGTACAAATCTAGTGGCCTGAGATGAATGGAATTATTACCCCTGACCATCAGGCGATCAATTACTCCTAAAGACAAGGGGCCATTTTCCTGGAGTTGCCAAGTACAGAATTGTGCTTACTACAAAAAAAAATTGCTTTGTCAAAACCTTTTACCAGCCAAAATGTCATGTAATTATGTAGTATTTGACTGGTACCCTGCTCATTATTGCGTAAGCACATATATTTTTGCTTAGCACCGAGTGCCACAAAATTGGAATTCTTTTTTTTTTTTTTTACAAGAGAGGAATAAAAAGAATTTTTGACAGCCAAATTTTATAATATTTTGAAGATTTTTTACTTTTTCCTTACAGAACTTTTGATCCAGTTCTGCAAGGCCTTGCACAATCCAAGTTCGGGACTCAGTCAGGATCTTCTCTCGCGAATCGTCAGATCCATCTTAGCCGGTGCCACGGTGCAGAGTACCGTCCGTCGTTCGTCCATGTTGAACTTCTTCACTCGCATGGTCAGCAAACTGAGGTAAAATATTCCAGGCGTTGCGGGCTCAAATATCATTGTGAACTCTTTTGTTTATCCCAAGTTTCAAATTCATGCTTGCATTTTATTTTTTTTTCAAAAGATTGGAACGGAGTGCTACGGTGATAGAAAACATTTTGGCGGCGCTGAACACGTTCTGTCTGACCGTGGCCAGTGATTGTCGCAAACAGCTCTGCAAACTCGGCGAGGAGTCCCTGAGCAACCTGATGCACGTGTGGAGAAACAACTCAGCTGCCCCTGTCAAGGTTGATACATCTTATTGTCTTCTCTGAAATGATCTCAAGACTGTCAAACTTGCAAAACACTACCATCTTGAGACAGGAGTGCAAGCTATTCTTCAGTGAAAACACTTCAAAAATGTTATTTCCTAGAAGTACTTCTAAGCATGTGGGATCTATGAAGTACCATTTAGAAATTTAACTTATGATCATTATATATTATTATTATTTATTTCTGCAAATGAAACCAAGGAATCCTAAAAAGTGCCCCCAGGCACTGTAGCTCGCTAGCCTGTTGGAACCCGTAGAGAGGAGACAGTGAGAAGAAATGACAGTTTTAGAAGTGGGGGGAAAACCTCAGAAAAATATTCTAGGGGGAAACCCACGGAATCAGGCAGGGACTGAATACCCAATCCACAGTGGACCAGGGCAGGAATTGAACCCGGGTCACAACGGTGGAAGGCGGGGAAAAAACAGCTGCACCAACCTGACTCTCCAGTTTCTTTGGTTGAACAATTTTTTTTGTTGAACAAAAGTTGAGTGCAATTGGATTTGAACCTTCTACCGCCAGAAAAAAATATTTAGATGAAATTTTCTGATAAGCCTCAGCTTTAGCCTGGCTTGGTAATGGTTTGAATTTTTTTGGCCGGGACTAGACTGAACAGCTTTTGTTTTTGTTAGGATTGTTATTTGAATTTCTTTTTGTTTGTTTGTGATTTAACAGGATGAGGTTATTGATTTCTTGCGGCTTCAGATGAGGCTGCACCACCCCCAGGGGGTCCTGAAGGAGGGCGATGGGGCGTATGCTGCCGACCTCGCCGTCTGGAAGGTACATCTGAATAAACGGGCGCCCTGACCTAATTGATATGAGAGGATTTGGGAACATAATCCTCTGCTCGCACCCTTAATCACATTTGATTTGTCAACCTAAAATAGTCACTCAGTCTCTTATGTTCGCCCACTCTAATTTTTAATCAGACATAACCAGCAAAGACTAATTCTTGCTTAAAATTCACTTTAACCCTAACTCCCCAGCATAATTGACCAGGAACCGTACCCATTCAGGCTAATTCCAACACCCACATGGGAAATCGTACTCGCACACTGTTGGACTTAGTTTCTGGAGGTATGCCAAACCCAATGTAAAAGACCATCAGTTTAGGGGTACTGTACCTATCCTAACAGATTTAAACAATCCTGCTGTTGGGCTTTGATGGGTTGACTTCGGTTAGGCAATGAGCCATAGAAGTCACCAGAGAAGAAGTGTAACTAAATGGGATAGTGCCATGATTTTCATAAACTTAGAGCTCCTAGTTTTCATTGACTGTTAATTTATCTTCCGTGTGGGGTGAATCAAAGCTCAGCTCACAGAGAAACAAGTTGTTAGGCCCCCCAAAAAAATATTCGGTCTCTGGTCAGACCAAAGTTCCGGAATTGACGCGGCGGTGCAGCTTTTTTTTTTTTTTCTTCAAGCTTGGATTGTACAGACAAGGTGGGGTACTATTTTGCTTTTTTGGTGTCCTCATGTACATTGGTGTCCTCCATAATTTGCCTTGGTGCTTTCGATCATTTGCCTTGGTGCAATTTCCCATTCCTTGGCGCTCTGTGGTAAAACAAATTGAGGAGGTGCGGAAATAGAGGGCGCTGTTGGAGCTACCGCGGAGCGGAACATTTTGGAAAAAAAAAGATCGACGCGCATGATTAAAATCGACGTGCGCGCTGACCAGAGACCGACTTATTATTTTTTTTGGCCTTAGAAAGCTGGTAAGAGACCGACTTATTATTTTTTTGGGCCTTAGAAAGCTGGTAAGCTGTTCTTGCACAAATAAATGACGGATACATTGAAATTCAACCTTTTCAGAGCCACTTGCAGCAACTGTACGAGTTGATATATGATGAATGGAAGCAGGCTGGTACCCGAATGAAACTGAAAGGCACAGGGTAAGTTCAAAAGAATGTAAAGCCGTGTCCGAATTATTTGTCTGCGGCTTGAATTTACACACGTGTCTATGGTAGCGGCTGCAGCCACTTGCCATAGACTCCTGTGTAATTTGAAGCCGTAGCCATGTCATTTGGACACGGCTTGAGATTCTAGAATCTTATTGTTAATTGTTCATTTTTATCTTCGGTAGTGAAATGTTTTTAGTCTTCACTCTTGTGGAAAACCGCCAGAAGTTTATTCAGGTTAATTTCAATACCAGGTGGTTATGCTCGATAGTTTTTTATACTTTATCTTTATTTAGAAGCCGAGAAATCGTCTTCAAGGCGGCCTTGGTGGATTTAGCCGCAGATGTCTGTCGTCAGGTAAGACAAGAAGATAATTGTGAACAAACAAGCTCAGTAGAATTCAACAATCACAGTGGACTCTATTAGTGAGACAGTGTTCAGTGAAGTGGAATTTAGATTTATGTTTTGGCTTTCAGTGTAATTATACGTAACATTTGGTAGTCAATGTGGATGCTTGTTGTCGCCAAAGGCTCAGTAAAGCAGTATTTGTTATAGTGGCATTTTACTGTAGTATTTTTCCCTTCGTAGATTTCACTCAAAGTGATGTTATATTCTCCATTTTTTTTTAAGGTTTTCTCTGAAAACTACTCTTCGATCGAAGTTAGCCAAGTTATTCCTGAGTCCAGCCAATCATCAAGCAGCTCCCGCCCTTTTCCTCAGGGTGGGGGCGGGGCCAAACGTCGCAAGGTTGAACCGGGTTGGTCGATGCTGCGTGACACAGTGGCCACGCTCGGACAGAGCGCAAATGTTACGCCATGGTATGCCTCTCTTAATTTTTTGGCCTGACGTCACAACTTTTTCTGAACTATTATGTGAAATTGGTATTTAGCTGTCAAATTAATAAACAATTATTTCATTCAAACACAGCTATGATGAATGACAAGTATTTTTTGGGGGGGGCCAGATTTCGTCAAAATCTAATTTGTTTCTGTTTATTTTCTTATCCAGGCTCCAACTCATGAGGGCGCTCTTGCATAAGTACCCCACTAGCCTACCCGAGGACCAACTTCTTCCGTTAGTGTCATCACTCCAACAAGTACAGGCCGAGACAAAACGGTATATCTGAAAAACAAAGTGACGTAAAATCAAAACTTATTTTGAGAAGGTACTTCAAATTTTTATGATTTTGACTTTACTTAATTTTTCGCCACTTCTGATTAATTTCCAGAGCCGAGATACAGACCTGGATTTTGCAGACACTGCAGGCATTAGTCGTGTGCAAGTGTGAACGCAGGAATTTGCCCACTGGAATGAGAATGGCGTTGCACACAGAATGGACAAAAGTCTGGTCGTGTGTCATTCGGTAAGGACATAATGTACCATTCTTTAAAAAATCAAAAAGTGTTTTAAAATTTAAAAAGTTAGCTTTCTGTGAGTCCTCGTTTTAATGTTTTTAATAAAAATATTTATTTCAAATTTATGTAAATTTCCAATTTTTTGATATCTTGTAGAACCATCAGCCTGCATACTGCCGAGTCTGACGGATTTGACCTTTTGACCTGCCTGTTGCATCATGGGATTGCCAACCCAGATAGGGAACATTGGCGACTGTTCATGCCAGATTCGACTCCACCAACAAGGTACTGTGTTTTCTCGATTGAAAACAAGTTCTTCATTTTTTCGTCATTTTCTTCTGAAAAATTAGATCAAGAGTCATTACTCTACCATTTTTTCTTCAGGAATTCAGTCCAGTTTTTGGCGACGTATCTCAAGCACCATTCACTACCAGAAAACTACATTTGCAAGGGCAGTGGGATACTAGTCTCTGGATCAGCCGTCACGAAGGGTAACTTCCCTCTGAGACACCAGCTACTAAGCTGGCTGCTACCGACGGAGGAGCAAGATGAGCCTGGAGAGAGACTACAACTTGTAAAGCTTCTAAAATGGTGAACATTTTTGTTTAACAAGTATCGATGTACTTGTTATAAAAAGTACCAATGTCTACATTACCATTTTTTCAGGATTATTTTTCGTGAATTTAAATTGCCATTAAAATTTGAATTTCTTGTTTCGTTTTCAGTCTTCCAACAACTCTGGTAGCCCACGTTTTGGGTGCCCTTACCCAATGCACCACCCAGAGCATACCCTGTGTCACAACCCACACCAGACCCCCTGCTGCTACCCTCACAAAGACCGAGAGAACACTTCAAGAAGCGGAGACGTTGTACCTTCGGTCTTCCTTTGATTCCTCGGAAGCCAAATCGTTGGAGGGCGTGAATGACGTCGGAAGATCTGTCGTTGGGTCGTCCAGCGTTGTGTCAAGCGTGAAGCAAAGCCTCATGCAAGGACTGGAGAAAGTTGGGGTGCAGGTCTTGGACTTTTCAAGCAGTGAGGCAAGTTTTGAAAAATGTTGATTTTTTTTATACCCCAAAACGACACGATTGATTATATTATTGGAAGGGGAAACTTATCCTTTGAATGAACAAATTTTATTTTTGGCTTGATATTGCAGGCATCGTGTGTGGAGGCATTGATCCACTACGCCAGTCTACTGTGCAAGACGCTAGCGGTGTTACTTGAGTTGGGCGTTCTCTCGGAACGAGAGATTGGGCAGTCTAAACTCACAGAAAGTTTAAAGGTAAGCTTTGTTTCATCTGCTGTAGCTTGGTGGTCGAGTGGTAAGACATCGGCACTAGCAAGAAGGAGGTTAGGGGTTCGAGTCCCACCTGAGTCAGATTCTGATTTTTGCTTACAGCCCTCGGACAACACTAAGTGACTGTACAGTGTTAATGAAATTACAACAGTGATGGGCAAAGCCCAATGTTGAATAAAAATGTGAAATTTTACTTTGTTTTTTTCCCGACAACAGACACTATTGAAGAGGGTCACCACAGCTCTCCGAACCCTCTGGCACAAGAGCGACGCAACCACCGATGCAAAGATCAGACTCCAATCCCTCTCATCTCTCATCACAGCCCTGGACGGGATGCTAACCTGGAACCACTCATTTGCCAGTCAGGTGGCTGAGGGGTCGGTGAGCTGGCTGGCTGAAACATGCAGGGCCATCACGTCAAATGAGCTGTTGGACACCCTGTTTGAAATCGTCCAGAAAAAGGTAACTTTCGCAATCAAATAATGTTTGTCTGATCGGCTGAATGCCATTAGAAGTAAATGCCATTCGAATGCACCAGTAAAGAGTCGTGTAAAATTGTAAATTTCCCCACTTTCAGTGCGACTGTTAAATATTAGAATTTTATTTTTAAAATTTACTTTTGGAATGAAATCTATTTCGAAATTTTGCAACCATCGTCCAAATTAAAAAAAAAAATTATATTCTGATATTTCATCATAGGTGATTGAAATAAAGTTTAGTTTTTGTACATTAAGATTTACACATTTATGTCTAGCAGAAGTTGGAGTTAAACGTGAGTTGTCATCAAGTTTGGGAAAAGCTCCAATTTGTTGACAGAAAGTTAAGGAAAGAGATATAAAATGCTTTCTTCTCGTTTTTGAAAAGGGGAACAGCAGTACATCAAGTAAAAGCACTGCATCCAGAACACCTGCCAAGGATCCATTTGATGACGAACACATGGATACGGAGTTTGACGACGAGTTTGACGGAAACGGCAAGGATGATTTCGACGAGAACAGTAACCTTGCCGATGACAGCTCGGGTCACAAAGGTGAGATGACATACAGTGTCGAGTATAGCAGAGTATTCGTAGTATTCATAGTATAGCAGCAGACTGGGACCTGGACTGCTCTGAAACGTGCAACACTAAATCAGGCCCACTTTACTCACTCTTTCGCCTGCACATTTCTCCAAAAATTCCATTGGGCAAAGAAAAGCTCTTCAGTATTTCACCAACCAAGTTTGCAGACTCAATTTAATTTTTGAAGGAGACAGTTCTTCAATATTTTGCACATGAGATGGAAGTCAAGTGATTTCAAAATTAGGCTAATTACTAGACTGGTACATGTCCGACCATGGTCCAACTGTTTGGAAAGTTTTTAAAATTGCTTGGCACATAAATTGGCTGAATAATATTTTCTGTTATTCAGATCTAATAAATTTGTTTTCTGTCAGTGTGTGTCCAAAAATGTTAAAATTTCCTCAGCAACAGTTTTGATTTTATAAAATTGTTTTATTAAGTCAAATAACAAAATCAAAATGATGGTTTTTTCCCTGTCGTATCAACGGATTTTAATGTTATTTTCCCTCTGCCATCATAATGCCAGCATTTTTCACAATGTTTTTAATATCTTCTGTCGAAAAACAGCTTGCCAAAGTCTCCTTTCCCCCGATGCCTTGAGTGAGGCGGAGCACCTGGCCCTAAAGTCGGCTCAACTTCTCTGCTCATGGTGCTTCACCGGGAGGTCAAGCCCTCAGGGTCAAAGGTCAGGCAGAGGTCAAATGCCACTCAGTACATCTGATGTGCAAGACAAACTATTGGAACTGGTGGAACAAGAGGTTAATCAATGATTTTTGTCCTACATGGCAAAACATTAAAATATAAAGAGGCTTTCAAATATTTTTTTTTATTGTTTGTGTAATCTTTGTAGAAAGGTTCATTTTCTGAAGAAAAAAAATTATTTTGAAAAATTGGCAGGACACAGTAATTTCTGTGGAGATGTGTGATATATTTTTCAAAAATAATTTTTAAAAATTGATAAATTGGGTAATATTTTATTGATTTTTTGGCAGGCTTTTGATGCTTCTGCAGCGTTTGATGTCCAGTTGGTAAGTTTGTTTTTTCATTTTGAAAAACAATTAATAATTTAAAGTTATTAAAAAAAACCCAAAATTATGTATCACTGACTTTCTTTGAAATGGTGTCACCTCTTTAAAACTTTCATAAAAATCTGTAGTAACTTTTACTCACCACCTTCGGATTGGAATTAGAGTTTATAAAGTAGTTATTCTGTTATGCTAAGATGGCTATTTTTATTACTGTAGGTGTAATTTTCTAGTATGCCCTGTATTTTCATTATTATTTATATCCATTACAGTTTTTCACCATCGCGGAAGCATTCATAGCATCAACGGAGAAACAACAAGATGAAATCCTGTCACGTCTGCTTTATTCCTTGCGGTAATTATACAAATTTTTAATTTAAAGTAAATCCTTACCACTAACCAACAGCATGCTTATAACTTGTGTGCCTCAAATTTAAATATTCATAAATCCTTCGCATCTTTGATGAATTTTAATTTGGTCTTAAGGTTTGTTACAGGGTACTGCAACAATATCTCCCTAATCTCCTATCAGGATTTTTCATTGGCCAATTTTATTTGTTTTTCATTATAGGACAGTGGCATCCACCAATAGGAAGGACCAAGAATTGTGCGCTTCAATCCTTAGTCTCCTCTCCAGGCTGGTACCACTCCTTCAGTCTGACACTCTTGTAGTCTCCACTGACTTGAAAGAGTCGAGGGATGTGACATTACGTCTCCTGGCTGCTTTTTGGTAAGCAACAAAAACGAAAAAAATTCTCTTTTTTCATCAAGACAGTATTTATCTGTAATTTATAAGTTTTAATAAGCCAAAGGAATTCACATGGACAATTTCAATATTTTTTTCTCTCTGATTTTTTTTTTTTTTTTTTGATACTTTTTTTTTTTTTTTTGATATACTTTTTTTTTGGAGAACTTGATAAGCAGAAATAATTGCTCAACAAATTCATGTGCTCAGGAGAAATTTACCGAGTACCAGCCACAACCAATATAATTAACATGTATTTTGGCTGGTAACCTGTTTCTGCTAAGCACTTTTTTCTGGGTTTGGCAAATATCTGTGATGGCAGAAATTAGGCCCAGATCTTCCCAGTATAGGCAGGCGCGGACATCTGTAAAAATTTTTTACATTGGCTTATCTAGCTCCCAGACTCATGTTCTTGAAACTCAATGGTTCTTGAGTCTGGGGTGCTGAATGGTAACACATAGTAACCGATGAAAACTGGTGTGCAACTTATAGAATGTTTTCGTCGGATGACGTCAGCCCGCCCCCACCTATAAACTAAAAATTTTTTTACCCCCATCCCCCCAGGAAACTTCAACGCGAGGGCGACTACACCGCCCCAGTCCGTCTTGCCATAGCCAAGTGCATGCACGCCCTCGTCCTCATCGACCCTGCCAGGAAGTGGACTGTGCTGAGGTCAAAGGGCAGAGAGCGAGGTCAGGGGGACCACGACCCCACCGTGTCCGGGGAGTTCTGCTTGCTGCTGACGGACGGCAGTCATTCCGTGAGGATGCACATGGCATCAGCAATTAAATGGTTAGTAAAACCTTTTTTTTTGCAAAGTGAAAACAATTGTTTCGACTTTGCACAAGAAGTGGAGAAGCACTGACTTAATTTCCTGTGTTTTTTCCCTTTTTTTTATTTTCCAATTTACAATTTTACAAATGAGCCATGAAACTTAATGATTCTAGAAGTAGATGATATTCTAATCTATAATGAGATATTAATTTTAAAATTTGAGTTGTCTAAGCAAAGATTTGTGAAAATTCTCATTGAAACATCAATATGACAATAAAACTACATGTTTATATACAAAAATCCATTCTTTTCATAGTTTGTACAAATCACAACCATGCATGCTCTGCAGTTTTAAAATTAATATTTGGCTGGGCAAAATATTTTAAAAAAATGTTTAATTCCTATTGCAACTGAAAATAATACAGAATTACAAACGTCAGTTCGTATTTACAAACGAGCTTATAGTGAGGACAACGTTTGAACAGTAATTCACAAATGTATGTGAAAATTATTCAGCTTTTGCCAGGAGCATTAGACAAATATATGTACATTTTGAGAATTTGATACAAGTAGTCTAACCCAATTGTATAAGATTAAGGACTAAAAGTATTTACAAATGCAGTAGAACATCAAATATAACTTGCAAAATCTTGGCTAAGTGTTAGCCAGTGAACAAACATTGCAGCCAATATCTTTAGGCCTTTGATTGTCGCTTCATCATGCAATTTTTATTTTAGCACTTGTACCTAGCACTTGCATACTGCTCATTGGAGAATTTAGGCAACTAGTTTGTATAAAATCTCAGATTCACCCAAGTGCAATGACATCGTTTGCCGTGGCAACCCTGTGTCTTCTGTTAAAACACCATGGCAACACCGCCTCCTTGACCCCTCTCTGAAACTCTTTGTACTTGAAAGCGTAGATTACGGGGTTAATGATGGAGTTGATAACTGGCAGGATGGTAGTCCATCTAAACATCTTGAACAAGAACTCGTTGGCTGAGCCAACATCAAGAGTTATAAACACATTGCCAAGCAAAACTGGGAGCCAGAGGATAATGTAAGCGGTTGCGACAATAGCCAAGACCACTGCGACACGTCGCTGCGCACCGAGCAGCTCGTTGGCTGGGGCGTGGTTGCGATCGCGACGCTGCCTGTGGGCGCCGCGTCTGAGGTTCAATATGATCTTGAAGTAGCAGTAGAACAAGCAGCTCATGGGGCATAGGTACATGAAAGAGTTAATGGCAACACCGGCCCGGATCACCGGCGAGTGTAGGCCGAGTTTGCCCGGAAAGAGGCAGTCCGTTTGCGCCAAATCCTGAGATGGCAGCACAACGTGAAGCGCTGAAAACACGGTGGCTGAAAACCACATACCCGCTACCGCCAACCACAGCCTGCGAGGCGTTGAGTACCGTGGATAGTGCAGCGGATGAACGATCGCCAAGTAGCGCTCAATAGTCACGCTCATGATGCCCATCGACGACAAGAGAATGGAAAACCACACCAGAATTTCGCGGCTGAAAAAGATGCAAAGAAACATGCTCTTGGTGTCGGGAAAGAAACTATCTTGAAACGCAACTTGGGTTGAACAGACCAATAAATCAGCAAACGCCAGATGGATGATAAGATAGTTGGTAGGGTTGTGCATGAACCTGGCTCGGTAGATAGTCACGCACACCAGGCCGTTACCCAGAATGCCTATGACTCCTAGGCTTATCGTCAGAGGCAAAACATGCGTGTTGTCAAAGTCATCAGTTCTGTTGGCTGCTTCCATTCTTCAGACACTTTTAACACCTGCACAAAAAATTAAAGAAATCCATGTATGTTTAACGTTGCATGGGAAAGTAGTTAGAATTCAAGATGGAGAAATTAAATTTAAGGAACAGTTTCATGGATATATGAATATTTTTTTATTACCCCATATCCAAATTTGAGGACTGCTGCTTGCTTTTAAGATAGCTTGATAAGTGAATTTAATATAAGTACCCTATGTAAACCTTCTTTTAAAAAAAATACTTACCTTTGAAGGCGTGTTCCTTTCTTATCTGGCAACTTTCTGAATCAAAACCTTATTATTGAAGGTTCAAAATGCAACTTTGATAGAAAACTTCACCGGTTTGCTCACAAAATTCTGTCCTGGAAATTTTGTAGACGTTACGCTTCCGTCACTGTTTTGTATTAAGATCTTTTAATATTTCAGACCATTACTGCAATAAATCTCGCTGCGTGGCCTTTTTTTATTCAGGTTTAAATGCGATGCGCCTCACTTTATATCTGATGTAATTACAGTTCTCGGGCATGGCGAGAAGATTTATCCTGTCTAACGATCGATGCCAAATGACCTCTCTGACTAATGGCCATACTAATGAGAAAAACGCTACTGCACCCAAATTGAAGGCTCCATTTTCATTTAATGAACCTGCATGCGCGTGCAGGCATTTCTGTCCAAAAAAGCCATTAAAACGAATTACCGTCAAACGATGATTGACAGGCTTTTGTTAAATGCACAATATTGCATCCGTTACCGCAGGTTATCGCCCCAGTTACATTTATACTCTAGTCAGCACGGTTGTCCATATTTATGACCTTGCAAATTGAAAGGGGCAACAGTGATTGCATAAAAGCTTCATCTGTTTCCCGATAAAGCAGACCACATTTTGTGGTGCCTTTAGCATTTTTGGTATGTTGATTTGGAATAAAAAATAGTTAACTAGCATAGTCAGTGTAAATTATCAAGACTAATAATGGCATGGTAGCATGTGTGTTTTTTGTTATTTGAAAATAATATAAATGTTATTGAAAATAATATAAATGTTATTGGAATCTTGAATTGAAATTGATGTATATTCCGTTTTCAGCTTGTTTTGTGGCAACGGGAAACCATTTACTAAAGAGATTCAGAACCAGTCATTTGACACCGTTTACCAGATGGTGCAGGACGCTATGGAACTCCAGGTAATGGCCCGAAACAAAATGACGTCAGACGTAATAGCGCATTCTTTAAATTTACAACTTTCAGGGGGCCTTTAGCCCCAAGCAAGGTAAAAAGGGCCAAGATCTACCTTCTTCAATCCTGCAGATTCCTGCAAAAATTTCTGGTGGTAGATTTTGAAGGATTGGGGGTGGGGGATTTTAATCTGGTAATATGTTAAATTGGCTCCATGCTTAGAGAGTTGATGGCATTTTGTGACACTGTGAGTGTGTACTTGTTCTACAAAACCCCCGAGGACAGACGCACACAGGCAGAACAACAGATGCTTTCAGTCCTCGGGAGTCGGGTCTTTTGTTCAAAACGGTCTTCTGTGGTTGGTTTGTGTGCTTAGTCTTTTTTTCAATGTGCACTAAGTGCCACAAACCAATATCGTCTGTGTGTGAGCGTTTGGGTCCCTCTGACTTTCTCTCTTTGTAGTCTGGGGGTGCCTGTGCACGGAGCTATAACTGAATTATTTTGTGTCGCGGCAGGGAAAACTGACTCCCGATGAGCAAGCAGAGGAATCGGCCAATCGCACGGCTAGTCTACTGGCCACCCTGTCCACCGTGGCTTGCTGCAGCCCGGCCTGCGAGAAGAAGACCGTCTTCGCTCTGATGCAAGCAATCCAGCTCAACGGCATCGAGATCTCCCTCATGCAAAAGGTGCGACACGCCCTGATTTGTTATTCTGAAATAATTTGCTTCTTTTCGATCTTGTCTCTCATGGTATGGCTTAGGCTTATCAATTGGAATTGTTATGAACTATTTTGGGTTTGGTCATAAGCCCCACCCACTTTTGGTCAAAAGCCCCACCCACTTTTGGTCATAAGCCCCACCCACTTTTGGTCAAAAGCCCCACCCACTTTTGGTCATAAGCCCCGCCCACTTTTGATTTGTCTACATTTCTCACAGTGCTTGTGATCGTGTCGGACCGAGCTATCGTGGTCACCTGACCAAAAGTTGTGATCTAATTGGTCATTACGCACTGTTGATTTATCAGGCAGGAAGGGTCGGAACTTGCTTTATTTTGTTTGGATTATCTTCAGGTACTTCAGAGCATTTCAGACAGCCTTCTCTACAGCTCCGTCACTGCCTTCCTTGAGTCCCATCTGAGTTACCTCATTCACCAGTGGCTCCTGGAGAAGTATCTCCTACCACAATTCCCTTATCAGCTGCTGGCATGCCCGACTGAGGTAGATTTCTACAGGTGAGAATGTGAGAAAAAAGTCTTTGTTCCAAAAGGCAAGTGGTGTGGATTTTTAAAAAAAGTTTGCCATTTTTTTTCTGCCTTTTTTCCTGTCATTTCTTTTATATTAAGTAGAAGGAATATTCATACCACCTTGTCCCCACTAATCATTTTGAAGGCAAGAGCTTAGCCAATCAGACTACGGAAAAATATCGCTAAGCAACCAATGATATTCTAGGATCTGTGAAGCCACTGCCTGTCCTTATTTCAATATTGGTACAGGTCGCCAGTCTAATATGGAGGGTTACTTCAAGCTATTTTTAGAAATGCTGAAATCATGAATCAGTTAAGACCTTTTCTAATAACATGTAACTTCATTGGACTTTTAGGCCTTAAACTATCACACTTTATCAAGTAGTCGGGGTTTGATTGTGTCCAAAAAAAAAAAAAATTTTTTTTTCTTCTGAAAACATATTTTCCACACATTTTGCCAGACGGTACCACGGAGCGGTCATCCCCCACCTGGTCACCTTGCAGAGCCTGGACACTTTACGCGACATCGCGCAGGCCCTCGACAGCGACTGGATCCAGCTGCTCAAGGATGCCTTCCCACAATCCATTGCTCACATCCTGCCTCTGTTTGGTCACACGAGGGCGGCAGACGAGGATGTCGAAAGTGCTGAGTACAAGGAGAGGCGTATCTTGGCGGTGTCGTGCTTTGAAGCTCTCGAGAACACCCTCGGAAAGGAAGTGAGTTTGGGTCACGTGACTTTTTAGGTCATGTTAACTTTTTGGTCAAGTGACTTTTGGTCAAGTGACTTTTGGTCATGTGACTTTTGGTCGTGTGACTTTATTGTTCATGCAATCTTTCTTAGTTGAGTAAATAGTATCATCCTATGTCGTCAATATAAACTTTCTGGATTGTTCTTTAGACTATCAACAACATGATCCAAGGCCATTTGGACAGCATTGTCGTGGAGCTTCTTGCCATGTTGTATGAACCTCACACAGACGATAGTGACGTGGCTCAGTTCACCAGGTAGGTTGGCTCTCTGTGTTGTTTTGTCAACATGCTTGATTGGTTGTTAGTCATTCTGTTTGTCCTCCATCAAGTGTATGTCTGGCTGGCTGTCTGTTTGTCTGTCTGTTGATTCTAGGCAGATCCTTCCAAGTGGAATCAGAGATATGGAAAAATTCATTTTCAAAATCCAAGGGAAAACTAAACAATTGTCTTGGAGCTGAAACTCCAATTTATATAATGTCAAAACAGGACTCAAATTTGGTTTGTAATAGTTTGAAAACTAGAAAAGAACCATACTACCACCATGCATGCCTGCCTTTTTTGTTCACATAGCTTTGATGCCTATTTATCTGCTAATTCATTTTTACCGAATCAGGTTTTTTGTCAATAAATTCTTCCATTCTTTGGTGTGTTTTTGCAGTGACACTGATCCAGAACCCAACCCTCCGTTCTTCACCACCTACACCATCAAGGCAACGCTGGACTACCTAACAAAATGCCACGCAGGCAGCAAGGCTCTGACCCTGGTCTCACTGCTTGCCAAAACACAGGTCAGGTGGTTGCACAGACACTGTGACAGACAGAGTGACAGACAATCACTTGTCCCAACCCTGATGACAAACACAGTAACAGACACATTGATATGCATGTCTCAATCAAAGCAAGTGTGGCCACACAGAAGGAGCTAAAACTGGTCTCACTGCTTGCCAAGACGGTGGTGATTTGGGTGCAAGACACAACGACATACAGGGTGACAAACACTGTGACGGACATGCTGATATACAGTATGTACTGCAAGATACATGTTTACATTGAATGCATAATCACAGTAACGAATACAGTTGCTGACAAGATGGCACACATAGTGACAGACACATTGGTACACGCAGCGAGAACAGTGACAAACATGGTGAGACACAGTAACAAACATGGTGGCAAACGTGGTGGCAAACAAGTGAATATTATTGAATTAACTTGATACAACGATGTCAGTTATTTTAAGTTCTCCATTTTGATCCACTTTAGGATAATATTCAGAAGATTCTCCTAGCACTCCACATTAAGATCTCCAAGTCGCACCGCGCCCATGAGAAGCATCGCATGGTGCTGGCCTACCGTCTCTTTGTGTCTCTCCTCCTCGCTGAGCTGCCCACCGGTCTGGGCGGATCCTGGGCCATGGTGCTGCAAGACGTCATCTACACGTTGGTGCACACTATCCAGGAGGGGGCGGAGTCTGGAGAAGGGGAGGGGCTTCGTCTGGCCCGGCCCTGCGTCGATCTGCTGCACGCTGTCTGCGTCACGGGACTGGAGAACTGTCATGAGGTCTGCGACTTAAGATTTCTTTCATTTACTCAACTTCTTGGACAGTTTCTCGGCCAAATGTCATGGGGCTAAGCAGCAGTAAAGATTTTGGTTGCGTAGAAAAATTCAGTCGGGAACCAGTCATAAACAATACAAATTGCATGATTTTGTGGCTGCTAACCTGTTTCTGCTAAGCAACTTTAATACTAGATGCCCGTGAAATCTGGCCGTGGTTTCGCTGTAATAGCTAGGTATATATTTCAAAAGACTTAATTTATTTTTACCCCTTATTGTTGCATTTTATGCAGGAGCTTGGAAAACATCTGCATGTTATTATGGGCGCTTTGGTTCCACTGGTGGAGAAAAAAGACAAGGTCGCCAAGGAGGTAAAGCAGAATTGAATTGATAAATATGTGTTTCCAAATTAAATAGGAACATATTTTGCTGTTTGATAAGAAATTTGGCATCTGTGCCAGTTTTTCCTTCAAAACGCTCTTTCTTAAAACGGAACTTTGCGATTCTTTTTGGATATGCATGGTTTTAAAGAAGAACTAATATTTATTAACTCTAACCTTAAAAAAAGATTGTCAAAACAATATCACAATTTTTTGGTTAAAATTTTGGAAATAGGCTCTGTCATTGATCAACCTGCTGGTGATTGACAATGCTGCCAGCTTGTCCGGTGCGCTGAAGTATCTGGACCCCCTGCCGGATTCACCCAGGCTTGCCCGAGCCAAAGCAGCCCAGAGGTCCAACAAGTACACCAAAAGCCAGTTCACTCTGATGGAGGTACATTTTCTGAACAACAGTCTTTAAATTTTGCAGTGAGTCACAAATTTGTTAGTTATTTTGGTGACATATTTTTTCCCGTCGAAACTTTTCTCCTTTTAGGAGGTGAATCATTTCTTGATGTTGGGCAGTCAGCAGGCGGGTATTCTGAGAGTGGAGGGACTCAAACATCTGCATCACCAACTTGCCACGAGGAAAGAGGAATTGTCGGTCATGGTCCAACAGTGTGCAGGTAAAGAATCAATTTTGGTTGATATTGGAGAAAAAAAACATTTTATACTTCCCACTTATTCCCTGATGAATTCATAAAATTGTACAGTGATGAGGTGTTTTGGGACATCACATGGACTAATGGGTCATCAAAATGTTGCCACGATAATCCTTTCTTTCTTTCTTTTAGAGGGTTCTGATAGGACGATCATTCAACTCATAACTGAGCTGGTGGATTTGAGCGGGAACAAAGATGGCCGCCTTGATTCCCCGGACAACATGGCGCAAGTCGTGAAGGAAGAAGCAGGTATAAAGTAAAAGATGGCAAATAGACACCCCCCCCCTTCCCCCCTTGCAAATATTTTGTAGCAAATTGTTTTTTCAGCAAAAATCAGCAGGGAACCAGTCAAAACATTTAAAATCACATGACATTTTGGTTGGTAACCGATAGCAAAAATTGTGTGCTTAGCATTTCCATGGTAATTGTACATGTTGACAATCAATCTGCTTTGAACAGAAAATTATAAATCTGCAATTATGGTTCTTTGTTCCCAGCTCGTTGCCTTGGCGACATAGGAGCGCCGAATTTATCCACGGTTGCCCTGCACTGCGAAGAAACCGAAAAGAACGCCTGTTACTCGACGGCGCTGAAAGTGTTCGCGAAGGACCCGATCATGTCCAGACATGTCGTCATCATTCATCTGCTGAAAGAGTATCTAACAGATCCCAAGTAAGTCACATTGTTAGATTATCTTAGAATCCCAATGCGGACAACTCACTACAGGGTGAGTAAAACAAAACGAGACCCAAATGTCGGGACCATTGTTTTAGTGAAGTTCTACATGTAGCACTTTCAAAATCTAGGATATGAAAGCCCCATTCGTAAGCTTTTATTTAGTACAAGAATCATTCAAATCACTCACGTACTTTTCAAGTTTTCAACAACCCAGAACAGACTGGACAACGGCCTTAAAACCGACATGATGAACAATCAAGGTACAAATTCAAATACACTTGCATTGTGTCTTGGGGAAAATTAAACATTCAACATATGCACACTGCAGTACGTGTGCATTTTGGACTAGCAAAAAGATTAATCAGTTAAAATATTTAAAACAAAAAACCCAGAAAATGAATCTGAGGTACTTTTTTATTTCTTTCAGTGTTGATACCGTCGAAGCCGCAGCGAACTGCTTGAAGACAGTCCTAGCAACGACCTGGGGTCAACGCTGCTATGATATGTACAAAGACAGAAACATAGACAAGCTTTTCTACTATTTGAATCCGTTCAAACCAAGTAAAAAGAAGGTAGTACCAAAAAAAACATTTTATTTCCCTAATTATTTTTAATTCTATAACTATCTGCTCACTGTATTTGTTTATGATCTCTCAAAAACTTTATAAAGATCAACGATTTAAAATCAGGCCTTTTACTTAAAATAATATAAAACTTTCAATGCAACGTCACAATTTTATTTGGTCAATTTGCTGGACAGGTCGTCAGCAAACAAGCGCCACGCTGTTCCAGTGCTTCCTTCGCACAGACGATTGGAGACCCGTCGCTATGGCAACCAGCTGGGGGTAACCATAGCGACTGGGTGAGGAACCTGACCATCGCCCTGATCCGAAGTGGCGGTTTGCAGGACGAGATCTTGCTCTTGCTGGAACCGATTTGCAAAGTCAAAGTGAGGACACATCTTTTTCCCGTGAAAATTAACAACTACAGCAGAAAGAAAGTGAAAATGTCGATAAAATTAGTGAAATGCACTAGTTTGTGTGTCTGTCCTCTATCATAAAGCCATACATGAACACCTAAACACAAAGATTTCCAGTGTTAATTTAATAGAACACAACCTAAAATTATTAATTGTTGATTGATATACTTAATTTGCGACAGGTGGAGTTCGCGGAAAACGTCCTGCCCTATCTGTTCCATGACATTCTGAGTACCGGGAACGACCTGTATCGACGGGTCCTGTCGCAGCGTATGGAGGCAGTGTTTACTGGACACTGCAACAGCGCCATCGGCAGTCGCGCGCCAACACCAGTGCCTTTTGCAGGTTTGTATTTGTCATGACCTTACCCGAGTTGAAGTTATTTTGTTAAGCCTGAAAAAATGTGTGTAAGGACAAGATTTTTAAAAATTTTAATTTTGTATTTGTTTGTTTGTGCTGTTTCAGATATTTCCTCCAGTCAGCTGGGTCAAAGGTCAATCCGCACCCTGCTTGACGTCATGCATTACTTGAGGACACAAGAGAGACCAACCCAGAGGTGGGTCATGAACTTTGACCCGATAGGTCAGCCACAAAGAATGTGACTTCATTTTCCTGCATTCTTTTGAAGCTCTTTTTCCAATTTGAAGTTTGGGAAATGAAAGTTGGAAGTAATTAAATTTTAAATTAAAATTGGATGACGAATTATTCTTTTTTTTTTTTCATAGCCGAACAAAGAGCACAGCTTGGGACAACAATTTCTGGCTCGACGTGAACTACCTGTTGGTAGCCAAAGCAGCCCAGAATTGCAGAGCGCACTTCACGTGTCTCCTGTACACGGAAATATGGTGCGATGTACAGAGGTGAGGATTCAAAATTGAATGATCAACTTTCTCAATTTCTTTTTTATAATACGTCCCATTACCACCCCAATCTGCCCTGCCTGTTACTCCACGTACCGCCCAGAACTGCTCCAGTACTGTATGATTTTACGGATTTATCCCGGAATAAATCCAGTCTAAAACAGTGTAGTCAAGGTGCAAATGGGTAAAAGTAAGACAACAAATTCCGACATTTAGCCCATATTTGATACCTTTCCAAGGTCCCGCCAGCTTTCATCGTTAGGCCGTGGCAGCCAGTCTTTCAGCCAGCCCTCCGACATCGAGACTCTCAGCTCGATGTCCAACGATGCGAACATCAACGTCCAGAGCCTGCTCCTAGAAGCCTACAGCAGCATCGGAGAGCCCGACGGGGTGTATGGGTGCGGGGCTGGGAGGCTGACCGACACATACGCAAGGTAGGCACGAAAAGCAAGTTCGATGAGGAGCCATTGGTAAACTTGTTACCTGCTTATAGTGTAGTAGTTGATTCGATCACAGGTCAGTCAGAAGTGAATCACATGTCCAGGCACAAGTCCATCACAAGTTCATCACAAGTCCAGTCATAAGCAAATCACAAGTCCATCACAAGTCCTGTCACAAGTCCATCACAAGTTCATCACAAGTCATAAGTAAATCACAAGCCCATCAAAAGTCCGTTCATAAGCAAATCACAAGTCTATCACAAGTTCATCACAAGTCCATCACAAGTCCAATCACAAGTCCAATCACAAGTAAGTCATGAGTCCATCACAAGTCTTTTGACAAGTCCTTTCATAAGTAAATCATAAGTCCAGTCATAAGTAAATCACAAGTCTTTCCAAAAAACCACCACAAGGTCATCACAAGTCTTGTCACAGGTAAATCACAAGTCCTTTCACAAGACCACCACAAGTCCTGTCACTAATAATAATAACAATAATTGTGATAGACTTGAGATTGACATGTGAGGGCTTGTGATGAAACTGACTACAACACCTCTTCAGAATTCTGCAGACAGTCGTCAGTTGCGAATTATTTGATCACTGTATGTTTTGCGTCACCCTCAGGATCCACACGTACGAGCACGAGGGAGACTGGAGCAAAGCGCTGAGCGCCTACGATCTCAAGCTTCACTCCAAATCGTCGCAGACTGGGACACAAGAAGTCGGAGTACTGCAGGTGAGAAGTGTCCAGAATTCGTACAAATTCGTCTTCATATTCGCAAATGGGACACAAACCTCAATTGGGCAATAAACCTGGGGCCAAGTTGAATGTGTCTTCACTTGACTGAAGTTCTTGAAGTCAACTATCTAAAATATTGCATTTTCACGAGCAGGCGATGCAGAATCTTGGCCTCAGCCACATCATGACGGTGTATCTCCAAGGTTTGAGGTCAGAGGAGGTCACCTTTGGTCCGGAGATGGTACAGTTCCAGTACGAGGCCGCCTGGAGAAATGCATTGTGGGATATGGAGCTTGACGACAGGTAGAAAAAAATTGTTCCTAAAATCATTGAAGTTAGAAATATCCTTGTGGATGTAAAGTTGCAATGGTTGAATTTTGAATCTGAACTGTAAATTTAAATTAGAGCAGGGGATGTGATTCTAGACCAAAAATATTGAAATGTTTTGAGAATTATCAGGTTTTACAGACAACTTATATTTGGGGAAAGTCTTCCATATTTTGATGATTTTTCATTCTTTAAATAAAACAAGTTGCCAAATGGTAGGGTGAAAAAATAGCATAAAATAAAAAAATACATAAAATACGTTTACTTAACGCCGCTCATGTATCAGATTGTAGCTGAAATGTAAGTATTGAATATATCGGTATTTAAGAAAAACATTTAGACAAATAGGTTTGAATATTATTTTGTTTACTTTAATGTTTGGTCCAGGAACCAGACTAATTCCAATGGCTACCACCAGTCACTGTATACTGCCCTCTCCTGTCTGCGGGATGGAGAGTCTGAATCCTTCACAGTGGCCCTGCAACAAGCACGAAAGGACACCCTGCACCAGTTGTGCCATGTCAGCATTGAGAGTGCCTACAGTGTGTACCCGATGCTATCCAGGTTGCAGGGCCTGGTGGAGATGGAAGACTTTGGCGCCATGCTACTAAAGTAAGAATAGACTGGATACCCAACCTCATATCTGTATTAATTGCATGTCCAGCAAACATCTAAATAAGTTGACCTGGGTCAGAGTTCATAAAGACAATGATGCACTTGCTGTTTTCTGACTCTATATTTGTATGAGAGCCATTTCAGGTTATGTTCTATCTAAAGTTCCTCTGGAATTACGATATTATATGTGTTTTCTGCATTAAAAAATCACAGAAGTCACTGTTTTATTTAATTTTGTAATTTAGAGTTTTCTGTAACATTGCGAGTTTAAATCAAACTCCATTTTTTTTCTCAACCTTTTATAAATAGAAGTGAACTTAGTAAGTTTCCCTAAATGGTTTATTTTATACGAAACAAATTGTGCGGAACTTTTTGTAAATTTCAAAAAACTTTCAGGAACCAGCAGCCGAACTCGGTCCTCCAGAGCTGGACCTCCCAACTGGCCCTGATGGACAATGACTTTGAGTTTGCCGAGCCCACCCTGGCCCTTCGAACCGTCCTGCTCCAGCTGTTACTGGAGAAGAGTGATGCAAACAACCGTACCCAAGCCTACGAGGGACTCGTCGCTCACCTCAAGAACCACACAGAAATAGCCAGGAAAGCTGAAAGCTTCCAGGTTTGGCAAATTTTCAAAATAGACTTTTAAAAATAAACATAGCTTGACAAATTTGTGATTATCTCCTTATCTTGAGTCAATTTTATGCTTATCAGTAAGCAGTAAATTCATGCTAACTTAAGCACATTTCACAATGAAAATGTGCCCAAATTTTGATTATCTCCCTATCTTGGCAAATTTTACGCTTAAACAGTTAGCAGTGAAGTTGTGCTAAGCTTAAGCTTATTTCGCAAGGAAGACATGCCGACACTTGCATGTGCTTGAATTTTTAAAATATTTTTTTTCCTGTCTCTGAAATTAACAGTTTTTTGCTTACTGCTTACGGTCTCATGGAAGATGGCTCTGTAAGCAGAAAGTTACGTGCTTAGCAGCGCCATGACCTTAGGCCTTGAATCAAGGCCTCAATTCAGATAACTTTCATGTTTGTGCAAAACATTTGTTGTCAAGCCATCAGTTTAAAAATCTGGGTTTTTTTAATTTTTTTTTTAAATATATTGTATGATAGATTGCAGAAAAGGCTCTGGCCACCTTACATGATCTTCACAGGCCAGAGGAGCTCCAGACCGATCACTCGTGGTGGCGGCTGATTGAGGAGGCTAAGGTGTACTGGACTCGCAATGAGAAGACTACCGCCATGCACCTCATGAAGGCACTGCTGGACAAAATTAGCAGGGTTAGTCTCCATCTCAAGTCATTTTATAATACTCATGAAACTTGAGCACTCACTGCCTTCAGCAATGGGTTTTTTCGGTAGTGTTGCTGATTGTGGAAAAAGTATTTGGTACGGGTAAACGTTTTAAGCTTGTTGTGAGGAAGAGCGCCCTCATTGCTGGCATGTGTTTACTACATCACAGGTTTCCATGGACGATCCCGTTGCGGAATCCCTGCATCCGGAAGTCCTGACCATATACGGCAACTGGCAGGCCGAGACCAACTCCGACAGCCCCAACGTCATCATTGAACAGTACTTCGAAAGGGTGTGTATCCATTGGTCTGGGGTTCGAATCCTGACAATTAAAATTTCTGTGGCCTTTCAAATTGACACTTGACATAACACCTTTTCACATTTTGAAATTTCAATCAGTATGTATTAGAAATGCATCCCAATGGTAGACGAAATTCCAGCCCACATTTCATTGGTCTTGGGTTCGACCAATGGTCTTGGGTTCCTCTTTTTTAAAACAGGCTGTTGACATGTATGACCTCCGGGACGACACCAGCCCACCGGCCATCGAGTCTCAACTCTCCCTGGCCCGATTCGCCGACACCCAGTACCAAAATATCGTGAACTATATGAAGTCCAGCGAGTACGAGGACAAGCAAGCCTTGATGAAACAGGCAAAGAAGGAGTACGAAGAGCTCCTCGCCATGGGTGATAGGGTCAGGTAAAGCTACATCATTAAGAACCCTGCTCACTGGGCCTATAAAACATTCCAAAGACCATCTCAGCTCCCTGAGGAGTATACAGCTTGATTCTGGCGTTTCGGTGCGCAGAAGCTGAAATAAATTATAATAACCATCTCTGCACTCGCCCATCTTTGTAAACACCGGCAATCGTGGACCCCATATTGTCCCTATCCTCATTCCTTTGTTTGTACTAACTTTTTAACAACAGCTCTTGTTGGTTTTGTGCACGAATTTCAATCATGGACTATTGTTAAATCGTGGACCCTTTGTTTGTGCCCTAACCCTTTTGTCCCTAGTCCACGATTGCTGGTGTTCACATACTCATAGGTACCTATTTACGCTCGGAGAAGAACGACCAATTGTGGCAAAGTGTCTTGCCCAAGGACAAACCCGCTACAATTTAATCGTTGCTATGCATTTGGACAACGCTGCCTTTCCCTGTTATCTGATTGGCCAGTTTCTCAATAATGTGTTCAAAGTATCTTCACATCTTGTGTGGATATTTAAATGAGTTGACCTCACATCAAGGTCATCATGACAACACAATGTGTTGGATGTTGTCAGACTCTATATGTGAGTGTGAGTATTTAATCCACTTTCAGACTAACAAGTTGGTTTCATTTTTTTTTTTTTTTTGATTTTGGACCAACAGTCGTTACGCCCGAACTTTAGAGAAACAATCAGAGATCGACGAGCGGGAGCTGGGCTCCATGATGCAAGACAGAGAAAACTTCCTGCATAGGGCCGTGGAATGCTACCTGAAGTGCCTGGAGTTTGGCACCGCGGAGCACGACATGAGGGTCTTCCGGGTTTGCTCGTTGTGGTTTGACAACTCCAATGAGGACGAAATCAACCAACTCATTCAGGTACAAGGACTTTTATTTTGCGGAGTTTATGTAGGAAAATTCAAGTCTAGGGTTCAACTAACAAACTTGCTTTTTTTCGTGAACAGTCCTCTTTTGAGCGAATTGCAAGCCGAAAGTTGCTCCCGCTACTGTACCAACTGGCTGCGAGGATGACCACCAAAACTCAAGACAAGCAACTCTTCCATGACGTCTTAAATGAGGTGAGGCCATTAAAAAAGTTTATGATATTTTCGTTTTCACTGAAAATTGTATTTGACCTTTTAGGTCGACTTACAAAAATTATCTGACTGAAATTTCACACATGAATGCTGCATGGAGAAGCAGGATGTATTTGACCTCACCTTTGACCCCTTTTTATGGAGCACCTCATCTTACAAAGATGATCAGACTGATATTGTGTTTATGGATGATGCATTGATATGGAGGGCCTTACCTAACAAAAATAACCAGACTTGAATTTCACTGTTGCTTATTTGACCTTCTCTCCACCCCTACTTATGGAGCACCTCATCTAACAAAAATAACCAGACTAGAGTTTCACACTTTCTATTTCTGTCTTTCCACACACCAGCTGATCGAGAGAACCGCCCAAGACCACCCCCACCACGCCCTGCCCATAATTCTTGCCCTGGCAAACGCCAACAAAGATGCAATCATCACCTCCAAGCGGACCGGCCGACTTGCCCGTGCCAACTCCATGAAAGACGACACCAGCCATGCCGACGAAGTCAGTACAACATTTTAATTTTTCAGATCAATTTTTTTTTCTTTTTGGGAATCATGGAGTCAAATTTTAAATGCCAAACCAATTTGTTTAATTCACAGTCCCGAATGCAGGCAGCACAGCACATGCTGGGCAGGCTGCGATCCACACGCTGTCAGCAGATCATAAGGGATTTGGAGAAACTCTCTGATTCTTACATCGAGCTTGCTTACTGGGACGTCTCAGATCGCAAGAGAGAAATCGGTCAGTATTGCCCCATCCCACCTACTGGTGTTCTGTAACAGAATCAATTTTTTAGTTCATTTATTTCTTTTGAATGAACTCACAACAATTTTGTTTCTGTCTTTGTTTTTCCCAAGGCCCAATAAAACTACCTCCGAATCAACCACTGACCCAGCTGAAAAATCTGGAGCATGTTGCCATGCCGACCATGGAGATTCCGGTGGATGCATCTTGTCGCTATGACAACATCGTCTCAGTCAGTCATTTTGAGGGGACCTTCAAATTGGCGGGAGGAGTAAACCTTCCGAAAATCATAACTTGCGTTGGGTCAGACGGCATCAGGCGAAGACAACTTGTCAAAGTTTGTAGTCAAAAATATGAAATTTCTTGAGTTTTGGAAGGTTTATATTCCCTTGAATTTCCTCAAAAATATTCACTGCATTGAGGGTATCACATAATGGCCCCACCGGCCTAAATGATCTAAACCAATCATTTAACAAGTCAGAATATTGTAACCAATCAGAATCTTTCTTATTCAGGGCAAGGATGACCTCAGGCAGGATGCTGTCATGCAACAAGTCTTCTCATTGGTCAACAAGCTTCTCCAGAGGAACCAAGAAACAAGGAAACGGAGACTGCAAATCAGAACATATAAAGTAAGAAACAGCCTTAATAGAAAAATAATAATTCTTTTTCTTTTAAAGAAAATGGAAAGGAAATAATGAAAATATGAACTGAAAATATGTAGCTGTCTTTGTTTGTTTGTTTGGGTTTTTGTTGTTGAAAATTCTGAATCTCATGTCTGGTTTCTTGACTCATGTCTGCAGATTGTGCCTTTGTCTCAGCGCAGCGGCCTACTGGAGTGGTGCGAGGGTACCATGCCGATTGGCGAATACCTCATCGGAAATCAGAAGACGGACTTCGGAGCTCACAAACGCTACCGACCGCAGGACAACACGTCCATGGAATGCCGGAAAAAGATGGCAGTAAGACAAAATATCAACTGTATCCCATCAGTAATTTCGTGTCATCTTAACTCAACTATTGGTAGATATTGACAGTTAGTTCATTATTTTGCAAGCTAACAGTCTTCAAATTTTATCTTTGATTTTCTTTATTTGGCTGTGATGCCTCCTTTCTTCAGATGGCACACAGCAGTAGCGAGCAAGGAAAGAAGTACAAAGAATTCCGGGAAGTCATGAAGAGATTCCAGCCGGTCTTCCGTCACTTCTTCCTGGAGAAGTTCCCTGACCCTGCCGTGTGGCTGGAAAGGAGGCTAGCATACACTAGGAGTGTGGCCACATCTTCCATTGGTAGGATACAAAAACTGTTTATTAGTTTGTCAGTATTTGAACTAAAATTTCTCAAGACTTTTTTGTGGGGAGGGGGTAGTTAAGACAACATCAGAATTGATCCTCGTTCTTCAGAGCTTCAAATTTTAATAATGTCTTGAGCTTTAAATTTTGCACAATGCGTCTTTTAGGGATCTGAATATTTTTTTTTTCAACATGCACAATTGTTTTTTCTTTTACGCAGTTGGATATGTGGTTGGCCTAGGCGACAGACATGTACAGAACATTCTTATCGACTGTAACCTGGCCGAGCTGGTTCACATCGATCTGGGTAAGTACGCACAGTCTTCACTGGTTCCCAGTCTTAACTAGATTCTAAATTCCAGAAAAATTGGGTAGAATATTGGCTAAGTTTTTACGCTCTGAGAATGTCGGAATCTATAACTGAACAAAGTTTGCAGCTTCCAGACTTTTTAAAGATGGGTCAGGGGGAGGGGTTTAACCCACATTGACCCCTCCTCTTTTTTATATGGCCACGCCTAGTTTGAAAACTGACAATTTTTTTTATTGTGCAGGTGTGGCCTTTGAGCAGGGGCGTATCGTGCCCACCCCAGAAATGGGTTTAACCCACATTGACCCCTCCTCTTTCTTATATGACCACGCCTAGTTTGAAAACTGACCAATGTTGTCATTTCCCAGGTGTGGCCTTTGAGCAGGGGCGGATCCTACCCACCCCAGAGACGGTGCCCTTCAGACTGACCCGAGACCTGGTAGATGGGATGGGCATTGCCGGAGTCGAGGGGGTCTTCAGGAGGTAATATGACCTGCGGCCAGTTTTTCTGCTAAGCGCAGAATATAGTTGCTTAGCAAAACTGGGTTACCAGCCAAAGTTTCATGTGGTGTCTATTGCTTGTCACTGGTTCCTGGCTTATTCATGCTTATCAATTAAATCTGCTCAACAGAAAATTCTGCTTAGCGGCTCCATGAAGTTGCTTACTTTCAGTTTTTTTTACTTATTTTTTATTTATTTTTTATGCAAGCTCTCTTTACGGAGACTGTTTGGCATTTTTACAAAAAGGGACAATGTGTTAAAGTTCTGTGTTTTTCCCTGTTCATATTTTTTTTCCAGATGCTGTGAGAAAACCATGGATGTAATGCACAACTCCCAGGAAGCGCTGCTTACAATATTACAGGTAAGGTCAAAGGTTAAAATGTCAATACCTCAGGTCAGGTCAGAAGTTGAATATATAGCTGAGCCCACATTTTTTTTAATAAATTCCCAAAGATACTTATTCACTGTAACCTGTGCTTTAAGTACAAGCAAAGGCAAGAAAATACATACGCTTGGCTGATTTATAAAATCTTTACTCGTGCTAGGTTCTCCTGTACGATCCGCTGTACGTTTGGACTATGTCCCCCCACAAAGCCATGGCCTTACAGCAGCGGCGCGATCGCAACGACCCGGACGCCTCTGAGCTCAACACCACATCCACCGACCTCACCGACGGCGACCTCGGGGTCAAAGGTCAAGAGGTCAGCAGCGACGAGGGCACGGAGGTCAACAAGGTCGCTGAGCGGGTGGTGCTGCGGCTGCGGCAGAAGCTGCAGGGCGTGGAGGAAGGCGTGGCCATGAGCGTCAAGGGGCAAGTGAACAGGCTGATACAGGAGGCTAGAGACCCCAAGAACCTATGCAGGCTGTTCCCCGGATGGCAGCCGTGGATATAGACACACATCAGGGTCAAAGGTGAATCACACAAACAGTAGTCTCTTTTCAAGTTTTTTTTCCCGTGAAAATTTCAGTTCTTCAGAGGATTATCTGACATGCAAAATTGTTTAAGCTTGCTTCCCAATATAAATAGCATGCCTGCATTCACATGTTCAATTAAGTAAAAAATATCAAGAGACTTATCAGGCACGGATCCAGAGGGGTGGTTTTGGTGGTCGAAACCCCCCCCCCCCCCCCCCCCCCCCCCCCCCGCTCTGACACCCAAAACAAATATAACAAGTATAGTAATAATACAAAAGATGACATGTCTGCCTGTCCGCAACAATCAGACATAAACAAATATGACAGGCCTGACCATCCCCCTCCCCCCTCTGCAAAAATTCCTGGATCCGCCCCTGCCTATCAGTTACTTCATGCAGTATCTTTTCTTGGAAATAACAGAAAACAGTTTGCCATTGTTATCACAAATATCACTGTGTACATTTATCACAATTCAAAATTGATTCACATACAACATTAATTGAAGAACTAATTTCATATTTCAACCACTTTTTAGTACTTAAATATGGGAATTATTTTTTGTATCTTTTCCATGGTGCTGTAAAAAAAAAGACATTGCGTAGTCATTCAAAGAAATCTATTAACATAAAAACAATGAAAAAAGACCTCATTTTGTTTGCAAATCTTCAAAATACTACTTTCCAAGTGGATAATTACTACATGTATAAACAGGTAATTCTTTTGCAATGCTGTTTTCTGGACTTCAAAATAATTCTTAAACCTTCACTTCATTCAATAATCTTAGCGCACAAATCATTGAAAACAATTCAATTGATTTTCCCAAGGTAATTTTTTAAAGACACACTGAAATATTACCGAAAGTGCTAGAAGACATTGTTAGCGTCCACACCTCTTTGTCAAAGTAACCATGAGTTGTCAAAATATTGGAACAATATAGATAGAAATATCGTAATACAATTTTTTTTTCATATTTCGTTTCATGAACAATTAAACATTTGACTATTTCTACTGATCAAAGAAATATATATTACGCGATGCAAATAGTTTATTCTTCTTGCTTGTTTTCGTATTCAGAAATGCCTTCCTGCCAAATAAAAGTTAAGTTCTTAAAAACTGAGTATTGTGTATTTTTTTAATAATTTTTTTATATCAGCAAAGTTCTTATGTTTTGAGCCAAGAGAATTGTTTTTCCAAGTGATTTGGATTCAGTGTGCCTGTTTGTGTTATCCATTGTTAGGGGCCATATCATCAGGAAATTTCCTTGTTCATATTCAGGGGCCACAAGCAAGATCATAGATATGAAGAGAATATAATTATCTGTACTGTCTTTGTTTAAAACGTGTACACATGTGCTGACATTGCTTTAAATATGCGTAAGCTTTTAATCTATTTGAGAAACCACCATCAGACATTGCGCACACATGCGCAATTTGTCCCTGGTCAAACCTGGCACAAGTCAGTGCGAGCACGCCCAACCAAGGACAAATTAGTAAAGCTGACAAGTAAAACTCAGTGAATGTTTTGTCGAGTAAGAAAATTGACTGGAGCAGGGTTTGAACTGTAGCCTCCTGAACACCGTAACGGCGCTCTACCAACTGAGCTATTGGCCTTCCAATAAAAATGGGCCCTGTCTTTTCGCAAAGATAGCTGTTCAGAAGGAATATGAAATATAATTTCAAAGTAGTCGAAAGCAATGCGTTTTATATATTTTTTGTAAGAAGTCCATTTTCTGAGTGAAATTACGTAATATTATAGTGCCAAGACTCCCTCCCGTGTTCTGTCCAAAATTAGCGTTTCACGCAGCTCACCCGGAACCTGGGAGCGTACATGACCAGCCCACCCGTGGGTAGATCCAGGGGCGGTAAAGGATCGCCGTCCGGTACTTTGAATGTGAATCGCTGCATGACGGTCACCGTGAAAATGAACAGCTCCATCTTGGTGAGTGCCTCGCCCAGGCACATGCGACGCCCTGGAAAAGAAGATATTAAAATTATGAAGGAGCGATTAAAAAAGGAGATGTGTAACAACTCATGGGAATGAGGTCGTTTATCTCGACATGCAAGCATTGTATTGTATTATGTCCTGTTCATCACGCATCACGTGGCTGTATTTATATATTTGCGACGGAAATTTCAAAAACTTCAGTACAGTATTTCTGTAGGCCTATGTTGATAAAAAAAAAACCTGCCATTTGTAAATTGTATCAGTTAGCCTTTGCTAGTGCCAGTTTTATTTTCGTATAACTTTAAGACATTAATACGACGACAACAATACGATAAAAAAACCACGAAACCAGACAGATCCAGAAGATCTCCAAATTGAAACAGAAGATTACTTTCAAGGGTTTTGCCTGTGCGGCCTTCAGATTTTTCAAGAAAATAAATGACCTACTCACCGAGTCCGAACGGGATCCAGTCCTTCCTGGGTACCAGCGTCTTGCCGTCGGCAGACAGGAAGCGCTCTGGTCGGCACTCGATCGGGTTGTCCCAGAACTTGGGACTGTTCTGGATGTAGAAGACGTTACCAAATACTGGCGTATCTAGGCCAGACGGAAGAACAAAGGAAACGCCAAATTACATGATATTAGTTATTGTTTTGTCAAGTTGTAGTGGACACTTAAAGTTGTCACGGAATTAAGTCCATGCATCTGCTGTTTTGCACGGAATTGCTGCACGGGAAAAGGGCGAAGGTACACTTGCAAAGCTATGTCTCTTTTGGCGTCGTTACTATTATTGTATAGGTTACGGAATATAACGCTGGAATCTATTCAAGTAGACCTGTGCCATTGGAATCTCTTTTTAACTATACCATGCAAAATTCACACGAGTGATTCAGAATGTTCCTACAATAATTTAGAGAAAGAGATTATTGCATAAAAGCAGTAACCTAAAGTGCAGCTGCTTTTTAATGTGGGCGGGAAACAAGACGGGAATAATGGTTGTTGGATGTGTTCTTGGGCAAGACGGTTTATAGCCATTCCTTTTCTTTTCCGCGGTAGTCAAAGTTGGTTATTTGTAAGGTTAATGGCAAAGATGTCCAAATGTTGGCCGTTTATACTGTATTAGGAAAAGGACGCTTGGAAAATGCTTTTATCGTATAATTCTTGGTCTTTTGGATCGGGAAAGGTTCTGCCAGTTCAGATTTGCCGCATTCCTGCAAGTTCGCAGACTTGTGACAATCAAAGTCTCATCACAACTTTTGATCACAAGTCCAGTGTTTGTAAGTATGTATATTCATGAAGGGGGCGTGACTTTTGTTGTTACCTTTCGGGATGTTGTACCCGCACAGCTTGACTCCGGGCACCCTGAGGTGTCTGAAGATGATGGCCGCCAGAGGGCGCAGTCGCTGGATCTCCATCAGAAAGGCGCAGGTGTAGGGCATCTGCTCTCGCTGGAGGGTCGACGGGACGCCTTCTGCTCCCACCACGCGGTCTACCTCCTCCTGGATCTGTTGCCATGACAACGATAAGCATAAATTACTGATGTGCGGGAAAACTAAACTAAACTTTCTTGACTTTTCTAACTGTCCTTTGGTTTCATGTAGTTGACTGCGAATCGCAGCTTATCTGATAAGGAAAGATTAGAAGTCAGAAGATATGGCGAGCCAAAAATAAAATAAATAAAGTAGCCTTACCTTCTTCTGGGTCTCTGGATATCTCAGCATGTAGATGATGATCCACAGCGTTGTGTTAGACAGGGTACCAGTCCCGGCACCAAACAGATCAGAAATGCTGTGTATGATGCCGTCCTCCGTGTGCTGTATGGGATCATTGGTATCCTTCCTCCTCTGCATCTCCACCAAGTAGGCATCCATCATGTCCCGGATGTTATCGGGGTCAAGGGTCGCCTTGTGGTGCTCCAGATGCTCCCTGAGGAAATCCTCGTGCGCCTTGAACATGCCGCGTCGGCGCTTGTACCAACGCGAGTGCCAGAGAGGTGGGATGATGTTGGCCGGTTCCAGGAGCCGGACCCCCTCGATGAGCTCCATCATAATCGAGAGCTGCTCCCCGAAGGCCTTGTCTCGGTAATCGTACCGGCAGGCCATCCCGATTGTGCAGATGATGTTGGAGGAGGCGTTGAAGAGGAGGTTGTTCAGGACCACGGGCTGGCCGTTCAGGCGCTCCATCTCCTGGCAGAAGAAGCGGCCCTCCTCGTTGATGCGGGACTCCAGACTCCGCTTGCCGAAGCCGAAGCCCCGGAGGGTCTTGAGGGAGAAACGACGGCGCTGGCGCCACTTCTCACCGTTCTCCCAGAAGAGACTACCTACATGGACAAAGAGACAGTCACAACTATTACCTCTCTGGAAAAAAATCAAGTGCGCCTCCAACTGAGCTCATTGCTAATAGTCTTGTCGTGTACTTCTCTCTTAATAAACGATTATTGCTACTGGTATCTCGGTGATTTTGGATTTGACTGACTGTAGCTACATGACTACATAAGGTGTCAATAATTCAAATTAATTCTTGTTGTGAAAGACCATCGGTCTTTCTCTGTGTGATTGGTGTCATCGATGAATACCTGGGCCCATAGAGTCTTATTGGTTTGTACATTTATTATTACAAATGTATTATTTGAGGAAATCGGTTCCAGATGGACTATAATGGTATGTGGATATTTTTAGAAGAGCGTGATTTTCATCATCATGAATGGTCGAGAATAATTTTTGTGGGTAACCTTTTGTACCCTTTCTGATGCTGCTTTGACCGTTATGGTTGGCTCTCTCTTTTCAGATATCGCCAATGTTATAGAAGTCTTTTTAAACTCATGTTTAAAATTGAGAAGCAGGAAGGAATTTGACCGGAGGGGGAAGTGAACCTGCGACCTCTGGTTCGCCGCAACGGCACTTCACCAACTGAGTTATCTAGTTATGTTATAATTGGCGCTCTCCCAATGTCTGTGTCTTTGTTCATGGCGATAGTCAAGAGCTTTACCTTGTCAGTTGCTCTTCGGGATTGATGTGATCGTGGAGAAATAGGTCTTCATTTATTGATCCTTTTAAGTCCTTACCTACGTCCCGCTTGCTCTCCAAGACCCAAGACATGATCATGTTGTCTGAGAACTCATCAGCCTGACTGACGTAGGCCTGCCGCAGCGTCTCGTAGTCACTCAGCATCACCACGAGCTGCGGCCCCATACGGATACTCAGGATCTTCCCGTACTTGTCAGCCAGCTTGCTGAAGGACACCAGGGGGTCGGGGAACAGCCCCGGGAGGTACCCGACTAGTGGCCACCCGAGGGGGCCCGGGGGAAGGTTCTTGGGGATGAGAAAGTAGACCAGAAGGAAGATTGAAACGCCGATGACTACTGTCACGATATGTCGTGTCTCGATGAAAGATGGCAGGATTGCTTCCGCCGCGGTTTCCATGATGGTTTTACCGTAACTCGCAAATCAGCTCCCCGTGAAAATATCAGTCTGTCCCTTTCACAGAGTTCCAAGCTCTCGGTGAGATGTTAGCTCTACTCGGAGTTGTTGCGTGTGGTGCTGTTCTTGGCAGAGTTGACCTCGTGAATGCATTGTCTGTCTTCGGCCGACCTAAACTTAGCCAACAGCGATCTTTGGAACCGATAGTTGAGATAGTAGCGGCTGGTGTTGGGTCACGAACTTTTCTGAGCGAACTTTTTGGCTAATTTCATGGCTGATTCCTGAAACTCTTCGTTTTGATTTTGCAAAGTCCCATTCTGTTGGCCAATATATAGGCCTACAGTGAAGGTTAATTAATTGCAATTAAGTTTAAATGTATGCAGCGTGTTGGTGTACATCCCAATGAATGAAGTCAATTTGGTAACTCAGTGGTTTTTTACAAGGAAGAGTTAGCCAAAAGAGACCCTTGATTTCCTTAATTCTTTATTCTAATGAAAATGTCTTCTGATACACGTACTAGACGGTTTTTTCTGTGATTTGGGTTCAGTGTGTAATATAATATTATACATAAATTGAACATTCTGTGTCTGCTAATTTTGACTTTACTAACTTAATTTTAGAAGTGCCAAGGTTCATATGGTTTTGGACTCTCAAGTCAACGAACTTTGAAACATTTTTTGTTGCATTTGTGGTGTTCTAAATTGGTATTGCGTTATTTGCGATGTGGTATAAATAGCCAGTATACCCAACCCGAGATGATATCGTGTATTGTGTGCGGCAACCCGTTTTAGCTCGTAAGTACTTGATCTTTGAACTCCGTGACTGCAGAATATATACTTAAGTTCAAGTATGACTTTAAATATCACGAGGTTTGCAGGATACTCGTGCCTGCAATGATACATTCAAATTACGCCAGTGAATAATTATGATTTTCTCGTTGTGTAGCCTACATGACATTTAATTGCAAAATATACGCTGTCGTGAAATTGTATTGCAGCAGTGCGCAGTGTGGTTTGCATCAGACCTTGCATCGGTATTGAGAGGGTTGGGGCGAAGTTTATTCATGGGTGCTACAATATTCCGAGAGGTTTTGAATCTCCCTAAACCGTAGGTGCTTGCGATCACTAATTCATGTCTTACAGGTTCAACGGACGGCCTTGGCTTTCTATCTTACCTTATTTTGCTTTATAAAATTATCTTTGATAATTCCATTTTTGTCAAATTTTATTTGATTGAGTGGTGTTGTTATGTGCTTGTTGGATGGGAATTGGCGCACCTTTCAAAGTAATGTTATGAGAGACAGTAATTGACAAGAACAAGACAAATGGCTCCATTATCGAAGAGGTTTGGGTATAAAAAGATCCGACATTTAAATCATGTGTACAAATTCGGCATCGTTTTTAAAAGAAGTAAGTAGTCTTGGTTCAAGTCACTTTGAAATGTGTTCTGCATCTGAAGCACCCTTCCCCTAGCAAAGCTGGCAGAGGGCGCCATCAAACCGATCAACCCACACAATCAAGGAATTTTCGGACCTCCCTGACATGATGAGTGGTTACGGTTTCTAGCGCCCTCTATAAACCTGCTACAGCATCTTGTCAACTCTGAAATTCGAACCGGCTTATAAAATATGAGGCGCCCTTTATGCCTCATATTTAAACCCTTCAAATATATTGCATTTTGCACAGAAACGCTGCATTTAACACAGCGAGGTTAAACATGCCGCGAACTTTCATTTCTAAGATTCCATCTTGCCTCTGTCTCGGTGACCTTGTGCGTCCGGGCCAAAACCTTCCTCCTTAGAGGCGTTTTTTTTCAGTTACCTCGCCTCGTTTCCTCTTCCAGCATCCTGCCACCAGCCCCGATCGAAACTTTTTTATCGAACCGTGGCTTCGTAATCGAAACCACTCTCATAGCTGTAACCATCACCACCTCCTTAAAAAAGACTGTGTCCTCGAAAATGGCCAGGGATTAACCGGATTAGGCAGCTTCGAGCCGGATTAAGCCACGGGGGATAAAGGGCTTGTCTTTGATGGCTATCGATCCGTGTACAACTCTGCGTGGCAAAACACTGCCCTAAGCCACTGTTTGGGTCGTAGTGCCGCGAGTGAGTGTTTAATATTAGGAATTATTTATATAACTGTGGACAGTTACCTTTCTGCAAGATTTCAGGATATATTATTTATTGTCTGTTGGCACTGCGGAGGGACAGATATTTGGAAAGATTCAGATTTGATTTGGAGACAGTTATCATCGTCATTTGTTGCATCATCATACTAGCTACTCTCGGCTCAGGATGATATTTCGAACTGTGGGTTATTGTTCAGCCTGCCTGCTGTAATGGATCGGAAAATTCATCCTCGACAAAATCGGGAACAATGGTTGGGCGTCTGTGAAAAGGTCTTGCCCCACTCCTTGAGACACAACTGGAGATTCTGAGAAGGGCAAAGACCAGAAACGACTTGGACGCACAATCATTTTTGGAGCAGGTCTTCAGGAATTATTGCTGCAATTCTGCCGAACGGAAACTGCACAAGCTGAAGCAGTTGTATGTGGATGAGAAGTATTTTTGCAAAACTTCTACGAATTGTTTGGTCTCCTCTCGACCATCTTCTTGGAATTGTTTGTTTCTTTTGCACGTGCGGACAAAATGAGGACAGTTAATCGATGACGATGATGCCAACTGATATTTGCTGACTAAATGGATGAAGATGAGCTGTTTACACAACGATCTTCATTGGCCTTAATTTCCTCTCAGGAAATTTCTCCAATGTTTTCAACCAAGTTGGTAACACCAAACTGATACCTGGTTGGGTCAAAGAGTAATGTCTTCGTTGTAAAGGAACATACTGCCAACAACTTTCGCTGATGTTGACACCTTAGAGACTTCCTCCAGCAACCCAGAATAGCGTCTCTGTAAACATCAACAGAAAAAAAGTGACAAAAAAATCGATTTCTAATGAATCAACATTCTTAGGTATCGAACTGATACGCCACACTGTCGGTTATTTTACAGTCACTTGTCATTCACACGACACGTACGTTCTGACGCTAAATTAGAAACGCAACCAGAAGGAGGACTTTGACCACTTTCAATTTTGCAGCCGTAAAAAATAGAACAAACGAGACTGGATAATGTAATTAGATTAGCTATTAATGCGATGCAGAGATACTGTACAACCGAGAAATGTGCAACGGTTATATAACGCACTCGGCAATACCGTATTGACTGTTAATGATAGCTAATTTTCGTCTCCGTCACGACGAAGGATAGACACAATCTGTTCGTGGATTCGTCATGACGAAGCCGTATCCATCGATGAGCGGGACTGTAGCATCTCTGTCCCCGTAGTTTGGAGCTTTTCCTCGGCCTGGTTTCAAGCATCTGGCGCCGGCTTGTCGTTGTAGAAGAAACCCCGTGGATTTGGCTTGTTGGACTCCGGATCTGGTTCACAAAGCGTGGAATCGTCAATATTTTGATGCAAATTTTGGATGGACGTACGCTCAGAGAGGATGGATAACTTACGTTTTTTGTGTGTGAGATTTTATTTTCAAGCCAATGGTTTTATGACATAAGCTAATTACGGAGTTGATCATCAGCAGATGCTCATTTTGAAAGCCCATAATCGGTCTAATTAATTTGTGTGCTGAGAAGGGCTACTGGCTTAGGTAAAACTGTGTACATCAATACACACAATTTGAGATGTAGCCGTTTTTGGTGTATACTGAAATGACTTAATCTTTATTTGGAGTTGGTGACTGTATCAAACGAAGATGAGTGTCCAGACAGCAAGCTCGAAGCCCAAGGAACGCCGGCTGAGTGTCAATGTCGCCATGGCGGTGGTTCACAAGACTAACCGGTCTGAGGACAAGAAACTGGAGAGGCGAGTGGAACACCTTAAACAGAAGGAGCACCAGGATCAGGTACGACACTGCAGCGAGGTCAAGAAGCTGGAGAAGGAGCTAGAATCCATGCAGATGCAGGTGGAGTCGGCTCCCCGGACCTTCACGAAGAGGGAGATTGAGGAGAAGGACGTGCCGTATTTGTTCGGGAAGAAGATGACGGCGCAGCAGCCGAGGGCGATCAGGAGGAGGAGGCACCGGGGAGACTCGGCCGAGGCCGCGCTGAACCGAGTGGTGAAGAATGTTGAGATCACCGGGAAGAACCGGTTCCGGTCGGCCGTGATGGCGGTGTGCGTGGCCAAGGGACTCGGTGGAGGTGACTCCGAGGATGGTGTGGTGGTGCCGGATCAGGAGGGGGAAACTGAGCCGATCCTTTCCGGGGAGGAGTTGGTGGTGTCTGGTGGGCAGAGCAGATGTTCATTATCGGCTCGGAGTGGGTTGCAGAGAGGCAGAGTGCGCATACAGACCTACCCTTCAGAGCGGCCTTACACTAGCCCAGTTAAAACTGCATCCCAACGACGATCATCAACCCTACCACCACCTTCAACAACCCGTGATAGCCAGAGCCAGCCCAAACCAGCCTCGGCTAGGAGCATCAACAGTAGACGGAGCACTATTGGGAGTCTGTCGTTCCGGAGTGACTCGCCGCCACCGAGTGTAGGCTTACCGGTCAGCCTCCCGGACCTGGTAGGCGCCGCCCGGGCCTCCATCGTCCACGCCGCCGAGTCCGCCAAGGCAGCCACCGTCCTCAAGCGGCGAGGCAGCGCCGTCAACACCGTCACGGCCGCTGAGCGGGACCTGGAGAGACGCCGGTCTAGCGCCGCCCTGCGACTCCAAGGGATCAAGCAGGACCTGTCCAGGCGGGATTCGGACCTCCAGGACCGCATCAAGCTGTTCGTGAAGACCAGCATGCCGGGGGAGAGCTCGGCCAGATCGCCCCGACGGCTGTTTGCGATACCAGTTGGTGGTGAACCACCCTCCACCGATATGGACGACTGAAATTTTGTTGTACAAAAAGCAACCCCCTAAATTAAAATTTTTAAAATGAGCCCAAGAGAACCAGACTTATGTTAATCTTCTCTTTAGTGACTTGGTTATAACTCTTAACTTTGGTAGAAGATAGGCGGATAACTCCGCAAGAAAATCCTGGAGCTGAAGTTCTAAGGTATCTGGTTCGACTCCCATTCTAGCGTCGTTTTTCTTGTTCAATCGATAGTAACGAATCATTTGTGAAATACTCAAGTTGGCAACTAATGAAGATCTGCCTTTTATCGATAAAACGATCTTTTGATAAAATGTAAAGCTGTATTATTGTACACATTTCGAAACCAATACCAGCTTCAAACTCGTGTTCTGTTAGCTCTAAGCAAAAGCTATCAGAGGTAGTCGACTGCCCTCTATTGTTCGGTTGGATCATCTTTACTCTTTCGCTCGTACCCCCCGCCCTGCAAACAGGACGGGGGTACGAGCGAACTTTACTCTATTGTTTGAACATTGAATTTTAAAGAGTTGTTTTTCAAGAACATTGTTATAAATAATTATAAATTAGACTTTTAGATCACCATAATTATTCTGTTCTATGGAGAGAAATTGTAATGTAATCTTATAATCATGAACATTCCACAACCAAAAACAACTTACCGTTGTGGACAAAATAATCCAGCTGTGGTCGTGTTCTTACGAAAATGTTATAGCGCCCTCTCGCTCTTCCTCTCATCCAGACACAAAAAAAATGAATATTAAATTGTTTGACAATGTTATGAAGTTGCCATGTTGGGGCAGTTGAAACTTAAGCCACGCCTCTCTTATTTTGAGGCTCATGCACACTCTGTCGCCCAAATATTTCAACTTTCGGTAAATTTGCATTCAGTTGAGCACGCTCATGCATTCCACACCGGCAAATCGGCTTAACTCCTTTGAAAAGAAGGCTGTTGTTATTTACACTTCCCACTGGGCCTGTTTGCTGTGTAATCCGGATCAACATCAACAATGAGGATAATCCTTTGTTTGCACAGAGATATTCTAGCTATAACGGTTTACCGCTGTAGCTTTGCCTGTGTTGCTCGGATAGTTTTTATGTAAAGTTGTAATTCTGTCACGAGCCAATATGGCCAGAGTTTATCTCTGGTTTCAGTGGCATGAAACGATGAGAATATTTCTATCCCCCCCCCCCCCCCCCCCCTGGATGGGATGTGAGTCCCATGCAGTTACTCGGCCACAGCTAATGCCGGTACCCATTTACACTCCTGGGTGGAGAGAGGCAAGTGGGGGTGAATAGCTTGCCCAAGGACACAATATGTGACCAGCGGCTGGATTCAAACCCCTGACCCTCTGATCATGAGTCACAAATCCTAACCACTAGGCCACAATCCGTTATTAGGAAGTTGTACCATGATTAAATTAACGTCTTGGCACTTCGTCCCCAAAGGCAACCACATTTTACCACATTTTGTAAACTACTTTTCAAGATTATAAATTTATTTTGGTTCTGGGCCTAATACTTAACATGAATTTAACCACCGTAGAGTCCGAAAGGATTCCCACTATTGTTTATAGGCACTATTATCTTCACATAATAATTACTCTTTGTTTAGAGATTTGCGAGTCAAAAATTCTGTCACGACATCAAAACCTGTGCAGAAACAGTAGAGTAACAAAAGCAGATTTGTTTGTCAGTTTGGTAAAACTGTGGTTGAATTTTTGTATGGCAAAGGAACCTTTGCAAAGAAGATCAATTTCACCCCTCATTCAAAACTCCGAAACTTAATGCAACATCAGCAAACAAACTCGGCCTCATAGCGAAGCTAGAACGGCCTGTACATGCAGTTTGGTCATGTAATGGGTTTCTGTTTTCTTTTGGTGGTCCTGTCTGTTTGACATGCTTGTGCACAAGTCTGACTTTGTTAGGGGTAAGGGAGGGGAAAAGAACACAAACGAAGTGGTAAAAAAATAGGCATTTTCTTTGTGGCATGGTTGTGTTAAATGTTCAATAAGGCCATGGTACCACAGCTTGAAGACTGTGTACGAGTGCGACGCCATTACGAACACTGACAACGGAAGCCATTTTGTTTTGGCTCAATAAGGCTCAATAGACTGGTGTCATTTTCAATATCATATAGTGATATTAAAAATTTCGCCGGGGAACTTGACAAGATGGCAGTGGATTGACAAGAACCGTTTTAAAGAGTAAAATTTTACCTTTTCACCTTTTGAACAGTATTATTTTGACCAAATTAAAAAAAGCTTACCAAAACATTCGTACGAGGTTTTTTTTTTTTTTTTTTTTAACATAACGCTATAAGTACGTGGCTGAATAGGCCGGTGCCGTTTTCAACTTCAGAGTGTTATTTAACGTTTCTTTGGGGAACTTGACAAAATGGCTACGGATTGAAAAGAACCGTTATTTAAAAACTGCTATTTTACCTTTTTTTCTTTGCATGGTATTTGACCAAATTAAAAACTGATCATAAGATACATTTTGTTCCGGCTGGCTAAACGAAATTTTAAAAATAAATTCGCAACAATGAATATAATTATAGGTTAAAAGTTATTATTTAAAAGGTTCATTGATATTTCAAGGTGAAAGGTAAGCACCAAATCACCTTTGTGTGATTTTGTTCAGGTGAAAAACAACGCCGCTGTACTTTTCATATCTGATAGCTTTTAAATGGGTATTGGGAATTGATATTGAAATTTTAAAATGCGTAAAAAGAAGGAACGATCGGACCTAATCAAAAACTGTCCAGCTGCAATTATTAATGGCCTACGCAAACACATTTTCTGAATTCACAACTCATTAATGGATAATTTCTTTGTATGATTTTGCGATTAGAGCGCGTGTGGGGCGAGATACAATCAAGATTTTTTCGCACTAAAGACCAGCTTTCGTGCAATTTATTGTTTGTCCCGTTGATAGGTTATTCGCCAAGCTGTAAAATTTTGCACTTTGGCCCAACAATTAATAAAGATACCACACAAGGTGGTGACAGCTCTGACCTAAAGGGAAAAAAGGAAGGACTCCTCCAAAAAGAAAGATATAGTAAAGCAGTTTTTGAACAGCATAATCAGTAAATGTAGAATCAAAGCACAAATTAAAATAAATAATAAAAAATTAAAACTAGAAAAAGAATCGTTTACCGTATTGTGATCGGTCAATCGGTTGTGTATGTGTTACCAGATTGATAAAAATGAAAAAAGAAAAGAAAAAAAAGACTTTAAAATATTTATAAAGAATAAAAATGTTTAAAAAAATTATGAAAAAAATGTCCAATGACAGCCAAAAAAAAAATAACCGGCAACTTTTTTGGTTAAATTCCGATACTTTGGACAATGTCAATTCAAAGAGAGAGACAGATATGAAAGGGGAGCTATTGTTTGATTGGGCGGGGCTCATCTCCCCCCCCCCCTCAAAAAGGGGGCAGTTCGAATCGCCCCAAATGCTGAAAATACGCATGCGCAGTGACCCCGTTCTAATTACCCTAAGTTAGTATTTCTATTGTTTATCACCCAGCCAACGGAGTCATTGGATGTTGGACTTTGATGTCATTTGATTTCAACTAATGAGTTTTTGATGACGCGTTCCCTTGGCAACGGCAATACATTTTACCTCGATGGATACATACCGTGGACATGCACACAGTGAAGTGGGACTCGTATATCAACCCGGATTTTAAACAGAAATAACACGGCAGTTTTTCCCCTAGCATTTTTCTGCTTAATCTGTCACCATAAAAATATCCCATAAATGTCTTCTTTTCCTACGCTCCTTCCTGCCCAGCGGTGTTTTCGTGATATGATTTATAGGGATCGGTTTGCCGAAATGGTTGTGCATAAATTCGTTAGGAAGACACATTCAATCATTTTCACGGGAATTAATGTCTTTTGTATACTTGCACTGTGAGTTATGGTTCTTGAAATGTCATGTTGTCTGCACAGGTGTTAAAGTTTCTGTCAGTAGTTGCAGACGGACATCTGAAGAGAGTGTCCGCCATCTTGTGCAGTCATTAAGTAATAGAAATAACTTCGAAATGTGTTGTTTACGGTGCAAAATCATTTCTGGGTATAGGATAAAACAATTTCCCGAGAATATCGTGTTGAATGTACAATTTAATGGCATTAGAATTTCATTTAAAAAAACCTTGAACTCTATTTTACATGCGACTTGATGTCCCGATTTTGTTTGAAAATGGATAGAATTTGTCACAAGGTAACTCCACAATGCTGAAATTGAGCGAATTCAGGAAGATGTCATAAATGTTTCAGGAAGTGACAAAAGGGACAGATTTCCACCACACGCACACTCGAAGGCCTAAGCAGTATAACGCAAACAAGTTAGCTACAGCGTGTTTCATTTTGGTTTCAAAATGCTTTTTATAGTGTACAATGTATTCGTTTTGATATTTTGGAGAGGGTTCAAGCCCCATGTGTCTCTTCCTGGTCAACCACTCAGGATCAAGTGTCAAAGGTCAAGTTTTGTTACATTACAATGTACCTTGAAATAAACATTTAAACTTATTAAATATAGAAGAATTTGATATTTGACCTATAATTGGTACCACTTAAAGAAACCCAGTAAACCTACAAAACAGGTCTCAAAAATTCATCACTCAAAAAATATCTTTTTAACTTTTGAAGCTTATCAGCCGAATAAAGCATTCCTTTTCTTCTAGTCGAGTGTTGGGGCTAGAAACACCATTGGACGTTTGATGACACAACAAAGATCCTCCAGGCAACGGGAACGGGCCGATATCGAGGGGGACAAAGCGGCCTGTTGACCGCTGTTGTTTCCCGTAACAGCCGGGTAAACACGGAGACCAATTTATCTTCAAATCGCGGAGTCTCGGCGACAGGTTTAGAATTTTTTTCAGATAAAAAAGCAGTATATGATTTCGTTTTGGTTGAGTTGCTAGTAGACTTGGAGCATGGCTCTCGAGGGGTGAAAACGATGGGCGGATCGGGAGGGGGGCATGTTTCAGTCTTTGGAGAGGAACATGAATATGTGGAGAACGAAACACCCAAGTTTCGATTCTTGTCGGTTTCTTATTGGTAGAGCGGCCCTAGTGAAGTACCACTCACGTGGGTCTAGTTTCTCAGTGACAACCAATCAAATGCGGCGGGGAGTGGCATATGGGCGTGGTCAAATTGAGATTCCATTCCACCAAGATGAGTGAAATTTAAATGACCCACGTTGAAATCTAAATTCTTTGAATTCGTTTAAAAAATATTAGTACAAAATGCTTTCTTTTTGTTGCCTGTTCGTTTTAATAGTTCGATTCTCCCAAAGTAATGAAGAATGGGGAAGGACTGTAGGCGAGTCTAATTCTGTTAATTGACATATCAAACTCAAGATCACAGAGTCTTGTTGATAACATTGACCCAAACAAAGCCTACATCCCGGTAAACCAGCGACTTGTCAGAACCAGACGCCTGAAATCGACCATTTCAGCCGTACACCTTTTACCACCAACACGCTGACGAGATTTTTGATATTTTGTCCGATAACTTGCAATTGCTGAGACATCAGATTAAAAAATTTGATGGCTGAGCTATTTTCATGCTGATGCATTTGTAAATAGTTTTACCCAGGATCCCTTTGGACACACGTATCCATGGCAACTCACCAAGGTGATTTGGAAAAGTCACGTGGTGCCGTGAGCAATTCATCTTCGTGACTGATGATGACAATTTTGATTCGGGGAAAATATTTGGCATTGATGCAGCGCTTGTCGTCGTAACTTCATTTGGAGCGCGAACAAAACTTGAACACAGTGAAGTTCTTGTCAGCGCGCAGCTATTTCTGAGCTTCAGTGTTGTTAAAAGACTAGTTCTGTGCTTGAATAAATTTGACCGAACTTTGAAAACAGAGCCACTTCGTTTCTCAGATCGACCGGTGTACAGCGATATTAAACAAATAAATAACCAGCAAGACTACACTTGCTTTTGAAGACAACTTATAACCAGAACATCAGCGGGAACTGAGACGCTAAACACGGATACGCTGTGTTGACATTCTGATGAAAAACCTCCCAAACCACGCTCCGTTGGTAGAACAAAAATAGAATTTCATGTTTAATCGCACCCATAATCGGTGCATGACGAAACAATCTTTGAGCCATCGAGTACTTTGAGAGCTTCATTAGAATTGGAAATTACACACGCACGTTGCACAAATTTGACTTTGTACTTAGACGGAACCGCGGCACTTCAGTCACTGAGCACGGATACGTGACGATTGGCGTGGGTGCTTTCGGTGACAAACACGGTACAGACAGGTGGCGGTGTGCACGGGGAAACATCCGGTGGAGAATTTGAAAACTGGAACGGGTCTATGTAATTCTTTGGATCTACGGGCGCAATTTCCGAGGTTTTATTCAACCATTTTCTTGTCAGACACATACGACGGAAGTTATTGGAATATATTCATCTTGAGGCTTCCAGAGATGACAGTGCAGAAGTGTGTCGAGTTTTATGAAGTGATTACAACATTGAGGTAAATATTTAAAAAGATGTCGAACTTTCACAATGTCTTCAAAACAAGACTGGCCGTCAGATTTGTTCATCACAAGCGACCATCCGGAAACTGATGCAACGAAACCAATATGTGATACATGGGGAGCATTTGAAAACACCTGAAACTATCCAAAACCATGGAAATCGAAGCTGTTAGCTGACTTTGGAGATCGCCTACTTTCAACTTTTAAACAACGGGATTATTTCGATAAAAAGGAGGGAAAGTCAGTATTTTTGGGGTACGAAATTGTAGAGAACAGGAGTAAGAGATGGAAGGTCCGCTACGGTTCACGACGGCCATGGCCAACACCAGGCCCAAGCCCGAGAAAGACCCGTCTGTAACGGCAGAGGAGGACGCTACCGCATCACGCCTCCCGGGAGGAGGGTTTTACGATGACAGCGACGCCAAGCTGGCTAACCGGTACGAAGACCGACGGCTGGCCATGGCTATCCAGGGGATCAGCCTGGAGCGGTGCCGCACGGTCGCGGAGATAGAACACGGAAAGAAAACGGTGAGTTTGGGGGTAAAATTAAATATATCAAACCTCAATATCAGGATGCAGAGAATTATGAGAACATAACTCACAACAAATCGCTGTAGTAATGATATATAGAATTTAGGTACGTATAGGAGTATATTTCAGAAAATGTGGGTATTGATTAAAAATTATGTGTGACAAAGAATGATCAGTGAAGATAAAAAACCTGAGGCAAAAAAAACCCAGAAATTCACACAAGATAAATGAAAGTAGCACTTGTAAAATGTCATTCTTTCAGTTGAAAATGTACCTCAATTTTTGTCCAAAAACGAAAATTTGATGTAACTTTTTCGTCCGAAAAGAGTTTTGCCATTTTTAAACTTAGCACTATGCTTATAAATTATTGTCGGCTCTTTTCTTTCAAAAATACAAATGTATATATATTCTTTTAGCGATAATATCGAGGATAATTGTGTCTTTTCCCGTGCCGTACTCGATCATGTTTGTGCCGCTTTATGATCCCAATATCATTTTCTAATCATTTTATTTCAATAGGTGCAAAAGGGTTTCCACAATATCCTTTCGCAGCAACAGTTGCTGGACGTCGCCCGGGCAGATAACGTCATCGGGCCCCGGCGGCGACCGCCGGGTGAAACGCCGCAGCCAGCCCGTCTGCCGAGCCCTCGGCGCCCGCTCAGCAGCAAAAGCGCTCGCGTAAGTTTTGGCAAATTTGAATCTTCGGCTCGCTTTCAATTTCAAGATTCTATCTTATGTATTCAATCATTTTCTTGGCTTATTGTAATCTACAAAAAAAATGTTGAAACGCTTGAAAGAGTTAAGACAATAAAGTTTAATTGCAATTTCCTGGGGAGATCTTTATTTTAGGATGACCAAAAATGGTTTCATGTTTTCACTGCAATTTTGACTAAGTATTGTTTTACCATTCACTGTGTTCAATTCCTCAGTGTTCTCTCTTACAAAGTAACACTGAAGACGCTGACTGTCACTTGTAAACATGGGATTATTCCTTCCTTAAAATTCATTGCTGTGCAGAGCAGGATTCGAACCTGCAACCTCCTGAACTCAGTTCCAGTGCTTGTCAGTTTTCAAATGAAAACATAATTACAAGAGCAATTATTCACATTGTAGTTTCTTTTTACCAAATGTATCTCTTTTTTATCTTCTACCAGGCTTCCTCATCACCAAGACAGCATCTGTATCTCAGTCCATCGTCCCCAAATTTCAATCCTCACTCCTTGGACCCACATAGATCTGGAAGACTGTCTGATCCCGGACCACAGAGAAGGCTGTCGCCTCATTTGCCAGAGCAAAGGACGAGAACTTACGATGGGTTCCATGCCTCAAGACCCTTGACCTCAGGTGGTCGAAGAATAGGTGGTGCCCAGCACAGTGGAAGGAGCATGCAGGGGGCGGAACCTCTTGGGAGGGGAGTTGGACCCACCTCCAAGCCGTACAAACCAAGGGACAGTTACAACAGGGCAAGGACAGCTCCTGGTGTGAGACGGAGAAGCCAGAACCAGTCCAAACCGGTTCCCCCTGGTTCCAACCAGATCCAGTCCAAACCGGTTCAGCTCCACCACAGCCAGCATGCACCAGTTCAGACTGGTTCAGCCCAGCATAGTGCGGACACGGATAGCACCGACACTGATGATGACGACGTTGATGCTAGGGTGGTCAAGAGAAATAATCCCCGTCAACGTTCCAAGAGCGCCTTTGGGATTGACCAAATCCATCTCATATCTTCTTCAGATGAGGAACTGGATCAGGACTCGCTGAAGGACCCCGCACCAAGGCCACGGCAGCGAAGCGACTCAATCCAAGGCCGGCCCCACACGACCGCATCCACGCAGAGCCGGTCGCGTCGAGAGCTGAGCCGGCTCACGCACATCGACGCTATCACCGCAGCCGAGATGGCACTCCGGCGGAAAATGTGGCTGGCGAAGAAAGAATCCCAGAACCACTCTGGGGACACCGTCCTCCAGCAGAAGGTGCAGGAATTCATCACCAAGTTGGACGGAGACAAGAAGAAGGGAACGCAGCAGCTGATGATGTTTCAGAACGAAGAAAAACCAACGGAAGAACACTTTGTGCTTCCAGCAGTGTAAATACACTCAAAGCAGCCTTCGATTTGATTTGTGATTTTGAAACTCAACAGATAATAGAATAAAGTAGCTGTTGTTCAGAAATAAAATCGTTCAGAGAAACACCGGACATCAATTGACAAACTGCTGTTCATTTTATTTAACAAAAAACATTATTGTGAATAGATTAAATACTGGCTAAATGTTGTGTGTTTGCTTTTGTGGGTTTTTTTTATCCGATAGCCAAGAATTTGTGCAATTCGAGAAATTCTCTAATGATAACAAAATATAATCTGTTGTTGTATAAGGTTGAGGAAATTTGATTAATATTGCCCCTTATTTCTTAAAGCTTTCAGAGACTTTTCAATAAAAAGAGATCAATATCACAGGACTATCAATGTTCAAAGAGCTATCTATAGTCACAATTCCACTGATACTCCGAGGGGCAAAGATTTTGTTTATAAGAAAAGTGCTTCGTTGATACCAGATGTATATTACTACACATTGCATTTGGCTGGCAAGGTGTCACAGTTTATCTCCTAGTTTTCCTCATGTGAAATGTGAAATATTAATGTATAATCGCAGACTTTTCTTTTTGGAATTGTCAACAAGATAAATCTCTGGCTTGAAAGAAATTAGACTGGTCTTGTTTCTTCTGTGACCAGAATCAGTGCTGTGCGATTGTCTGGGGTTCAGGGTACCAGACAAAATATGGAAGCAGAATGACATAGTCTAAAACTAGCCCCGCCCACATGCCCAAATGCCCACCCACACCTCATAACCCAACCCTCTCATCTCCGTGCTACATGTAAGTGTACTGTATCCCAGGAATCTTGAGACAGATATTGTAGGTGTGGCCAATGACTAAATGACAAACCCCGCCCACCCATCCATCCAAAGCCCCACCCCAAAACTCCACCCTCCCCTCCCCTTCAATGCTACCTGTAGTTGTACATGTACACCTGCATCCCAGAAATTCAGAGACAGATGTTGTAGGCGTGGCAATATAGGTTGAACTAACCCTGCATGACTAACTCCGCCCATATATCCAAAGCCTCGCCCATTTATCAAAACCCCGCCCCTTTTCTTAATGCAACCTGTAATTGTACTCCTGTATACCAGGAATCCTAAGACAGATGTTGTTGTAGGCGTGGCAAATCAAGTTGAACTCCTCCATTGTTAGCGTCATCGGCCGTCGCATCGGATCGATATCAGTCTTCTGGAAAACTTCATCTGTCAGGTCGGGTCGCTCCAAGGGAAAGAGACTCCTGGAAAAAAAATGGGGCAAACATATTATCTTTAGAATCAAAACTTTCACAATTCCTTACTCGGATCCTTGCATCTCAAGCCCTGTATAAAAGACCGACTGACTCATCACTCAAGAAATTATCAAAGAACTCAACTATTGTATCCTAATACTCACTCCACTCCTCGTCTGCAGTATTTCCTCCGGAAATGGAAGACTGAACGGACTACTTTCTCAACCAGCTTGAACGGTAGATCAATGAGCGGCTCCTTCAGAGGCGTAAAGTGAACCACGCTTACATCCACCTGAAAATAAAAGTTAAAACTGCAGAATTTTTTGCTGAAAAAAAATTTGAAACTAGCCTGAGATTTTGATATTTTAACCTTCAACAGCTTATTAGGTTTTGTCGGAAGTACTTGTTAAGCACCGAACACAATGACAATTCAGGGTGTCGGAAAAAGTAATCCAAAAATATTAGGTCAGTTTAGTACGTTATAGTTTAATTCAATTCAATTCAATTTATTCTCATCATGTAAAACATGAAACTCGACTCCTCATTCTGCATTAAAAATAAACTTAATGAACTTAAAACACTGCCAGCTTGGTTGCATCACAAAGGGTGTTTTTCCCCCAGTTTGCCAAAAGTAATTTACTTGTACCCATTCAATTGTGGATCACTGAGCAACACTGATTTCAAAAACAAAATCTGAAAACTTTAATTTTGTAAAGTTGGCGAGATCAGCTGTCAAACAGTGAACTTTGCTGTGAACTGTGTGTTGGAAGGAAGAGATATGAAAACATGTTGAAGTTGTCGCTGTTTGGAGTATTAACTCACATCTGGTTTAGGAACAAAGGCTGCTCCTGGTATCGTGAAGCAATGCTTGACCTCACACAGATGCTGGGCCATGATGGACAGACGGCTCCGCTGGGGGTCCTTAACAGGTGCAACCAACCTCTACAAATTAACAAAAATCAATCAATCATAAAAAAAAATTGAATGTGGGATACATGCTGGAAGATATTACATCTAACGATATACACTTAATGAACTGGAAAGCCTAGATAATAAACAAGTCTGATTGCAAGCTTCAATGCACTCGAGGAACACTGCAAATTTGTCTCAGCTACGGTTGCCAAAAGGCTAAAGCCAAAAATGCAGGGTCCCTTCAATTTCTGAAAGTTTTTTGTTGACACAAAAATAACAAATTATGTCAAGGATTAATATTTATCACCTTTTTATTCTCAAACTGGGTTACACAATAAAGATCGTTCTGAATATACCTCAGCGACCTCCTTCTGAAAGGTCAGCAGCATGCGAGTCCGACCAAAGATGAAAGGCCCGCTGTGATTGGACAATGCCTCCAGCCAGCGGATGATCAGCGGAGTTGAAACGTTGAACGGGAGATTGCCAATGATGTGAAAACCTGGAGGATCTGATGAATTGGGATCGGAACAAAAATTAGTATTAAAATAATCAGCAACATTTCTGAAAGTTAAGTTTTAGAATTGATCTGGGAGGTGTGTGTACCAACTACAGTTGGGTCCCAACTACAGTTGGGACGGTCCCACCTATAGCTAGGATGATCCAAACTGTAGTTTGGGATTGTCCCAACTATAGTTGGGACGATGCCATAGTTGGGGTTGTTACAAAAACATGAAGGGTTCTATATGTGCCCATAGAGGGCAGCATACATTCTTAAAGGAATGAATATTCACCAACCTTCTTGCCAGTCTCTCTTCAGGTCCGTGGGAAAGGCCTCCTCCATGTTGAACTTTAAGATGTCACCGTGGATGACCTTTAACCTTTCCTCTGCTGCCTCCGATAGCATCTGCAAAAAAAAAATCCAAAGAAGTATTAAAGAGTTGCATTAAGGACGATAAATCAAACCAAACACTTTACTCTAAAAACTGTTGCGCTGTTCATATGTTTTTCCATCAGTTTTTTTTTTGAATTCTGTATCATTTTGGCTGTTTTTGGAGAAAAGGAGTGAAGGGGATGGGGACATACATGTATATAATGATAAAATTGCAAAACATGACTGTTATTGAAAACCCTTGGACATCTCACTTGAAGACTGGGCAGGAAGCGTCGATCTTTCTCCACCACCGTCAGGCTGACAGCGCCCTGGTTGAGTATGGACCGTGTGATACCCCCCGGGCCCGGTCCCACTTCACACACATGGGCACCAGCTAGCTTGCCTGCTTGCCGAACTATTTTATCTGGATCAAGAAAAAAAGGAAGGTTATTTTTGGTTTGTTAATTGGTAAAAATAATGGAAAAATTGAACATAACCAAATTAAACGCTAAGGTCTGAATTTCACATCACGTCCCAGCCCCATCCCCCTCCCCCTCCTCCCTCAATACCTGTCAATTTCAAGTCCAGCAGGAAATTCTGTGACAGTTGTCGCTCCGCCCTCAGTCCGTACAAACGAATGATGTCTCGAATGGTGGGCAGCGGCGGTAAACGAAGATTGGCCATCTTTTTTCACGCCTTCAATTTACCACTTTTTCCTTCACCAAATTCTCATCAGATAGTTCGAATGGATTCTCTAAGATTTATATTTCATGTAGAAAGTGATATTTCGATCATCAGATTCCAATGAATAATCGAAAATTGGCTGCAAATATGGGCAAAATATGTCACATCATCTGTGGACGAAACACATGGTTTTGTTATTATGAACTTTGACCTAAGACTCTCTAGCTTACTGAAAATAATTTCAGCAAAAGATTAACAAATTAAGCACAAAGTTCATCAAAACTATTATTTCATACTATCAAAAATGAATAAAAGAATAAATTAATTATAAATATTTACAAGAAAGTGTAAAATTTTGTTATATTTTGGTCCATAAATAAAATATGTTAAATAATGAGCGGCTAAAGGGTATACATGTAGTTGGGGTCGGTTACCAGCAACGCTGAGCAATCAGGCGTCCTATTGCTTGGTTACCAGGCACGCCGATGGGATACCAGACCAACTAAAGCAATTTCGGGAGTGTGAGGTAATTTTTCCTCAATAAATTCGAGTAAAATTAGGTAAAATGTAATCATAATTTTTCACAGTGCACGTAAATTAAATAATATAAGTGTTGTGTATGATGCCACATCTTCTGATATCGATTTTATCATAAATGAAACAAGAAATGTTCAATTCAAAATCGCTGACTCCGGAAACGTATTGGAATGTTCAGGGAGGGGGCGGAGCTAAATGTAAAGAGGGCGTTCTTACGTTTTTAAATCTTCGAAGTGGCTATCGTTACGGCAGCCGTTGTTTAGCGCCCTCTACGATACTTTTTTGATACGCACGCAGGTATTCCCACGTTTTAGTGAGCAGTGCGACAGCTCAGTTGATAGAGGGTAGGATTTTGCACCGCGAGGTTGCGGGTACGGTTCGCATCTTAGTTTTGCACTCGAATTTTTTTCCTTTTCTAACCCGAGGCTTTGGAGGATTTTTTTTAAAAGGGAAATAAAGTCCTTTTCCTTCTAATTTTATATTTTCTTCTCATGTTTTTATAAAAGTTGCAGTCTACCGTAACGATAGAAAATGGGAAATCTGTACGGCTGCCGTAACAATAGCCACTGCGTTAAATCTTATTAAGTTATAGGGCCTACAGTAAATATTTGGATATTCATCAAGTTGTTTTTTTTCAAATATAAATGCACTTTTCATTTAGTTTTATGGGGGTAATTGTGCCATCTTGTTCACGGCGCAAAAAAAAAAGAACATACGTTGCTAATGGAATGCTAGATGCAAGCGCATTTTGGAATAATCGCATGATGACTTGGAAGCGCAAAAGTTTTCGATGGATGTGCGTGCTCAGGAACACATCATCTTTTTTGCCCCGTGAGCAAGATGGCGCTTTATTCATGTTTTCTGTTTATTATTATATAGAGAGCCCGGCATGATTGTGAATGTGAAAACAACTTTTTCATTTTTTTTTCTCGTTTTAAGCCAAGAAGACATATTGAATGTCAAGAAGACCTTGATTTTGAAACTTCAAGTCAGCAAACTTCATGAAATGGTGGAGAAAATGACATAACAGTGGCAGCGGATAAACAACTACTAGCGACAGCCTAAAAAAACATCATCGCCATTTTGCAAGACCCTGCGCATGACGTAGATGAAGTTGATCAACTGGAGATTGCACATCCACTGCTCCTGAGCACTGATAAATTTAATGCAAGTGCTACAGTGTCCACTAGTTTATCAATGAGAATGCTGATTTAGTGTCAGTTTCCAAACTTAGTTCCCTAAAAGTTGAAGATCAACTTCAGTTCTGTGGATGCTGCAGTGGATCCACGCCAAACCCTTGTTGAGCGTCCTGTAGATGAACACCGGACACTTCTCAATCTGCTGATGATCAGCTCACAACTTTGTTGAATTTACTCTGGATCGTCGCCAAAATCTGTTGACTGTATAGTTGTCTGTCGACCAGCCGGTGCTGATAAGAGGACATGGGGGTCTTTGATTTCTTTGCCAAGATTTTTGGCAATAGTGGCCGGAAGGCGCAGGTGTTGTGTGTCGGACTTGATAACAGCGGCAAGAGCACGATCATCAATGAACTCAAACCTAAAGATGTGAGTATGAGGCTGTATTCTCAATTCCGTATGCTTCCCAAAAATTCTATTTGCAAGATTTCAGCACAATGTTTAAATTTTAAGATCAGGTCAGTTTGCAAAACCTAAGTTTGTTTTTAAATGTTTTATTCCTCCATACAGACTCAAGCGGAGGACATCGTCCCCACGATCGGTTTCACGGTGGAGAAATTCAAATCGGCATCGGTCAACTTCACAGTGTTTGACATGTCGGGCCAAGGCAAATACAGAAACCTGTGGGAGCACTACTACCGGTTAGTATCATGTCATGGAAGCTGCTAAGCACGGAAAATTTCTACTTAGCAAAAATAGGTTACCAGCCAAAACGTCATGCAATGTGTATTGCTTGTGACTGGTTCCCGGGTCATTTTTGCTTAGCACATGTGGGAGGCCGTAAACGGTGTGACTGGTTCCCGGGTCATTTTTGCTTAGCACATAAAATTTGCTAAGCGATATTTTCTGCTAGACTGCTAATGAAATTGGGCCCATGTTTTCAGAAACAGTCGTCTCATAATCACTGCATACAGCGGAAGAGTCCCAAATTGACAATGATGTTTGGAATTTTTGCAGCTGAGGGGGTACTTGTACACTGAGACATTGTCTAAACCTTTGAATTGTTTTCCTTTTTTGTGATTTTAGAGAGACATTTTCAAAACTTTGAGTTTTGTTCTTCATGTTTGTGATTTTAGGGAAGCACAAGGCATCATCTTTGTGCTGGACAGCAGCGACAAATTGAGAATGGTGGTCGCTAAGGAGGAGATGGAGCTACTTCTGAAGCATAAAGGTAAAGCCATGTCCAAATAACGTGGCTATGGCTTGAAAATGCACATGAGTCTATGGTAGCCACTTCCCAAAGACTCTTGTATGATTTCAAGCTGTAGCCAAGAAATTCGGACATAGCCTAAGTAAAGTCTGTCTCAGCTGAGGCCAAGTTCGCGCAAGGACTATAGTTGACCAATGGTTAACTAACGTTTGCCCGAACTCTGTCTAGTCGACGGTGGTTGACTACGTTAGTCGACTATTTGGAACCAGCCTACTGGGGTTGGTTGCTTCGCTGGTAACCAATAGCTGCGCGCATTCATAACGCTAGCAGAGAGCCAGGATCCAGAAGTTTTGCGATGACATTTTGACTAGCATTTGACTAGAGACGTTCGCACGTTGCTATCAGTTCGCAGGCGTAAGGTATGTCACAAATCAACCACTAGTCGACTAATGGTCCTTGCCCGAACTTGGCCAAATATGGTCCTTTGGGCTGGTTTTGATGCCTGCTTGACTGGGCATGAACAAAAAGTAGAACAGCCTTCTTCCTTTAGATAGGATATCAGTCAATCACAAGTTTCATCCCAAGTGTCCATTTAGACTCGAGGGCAGAGAGGAGAACATATGGGTAAAGTGGCTTGCCCTAGGACAAAATACATGATAAGCCTAAAAAATCATGTGAATTTTTTGTAAAGCATGGGTGGGTATTCTGCTTTGTGCACACTGTCTAATAAATGTATTTGTTTTACTTGCGGTAAAGTGGATTGCCCAAGGACACTTAACATGGCAAACATAAAAATCATTCCAATAGGTTAGTAGTGTTCTGCTTTGTGCATAGTGTCTATGAAAGTACTTTTTGATTCCATGCAGAAATTGCTTCAAGATGCATCCCGATCCTCGTCTTTGCAAACAAGATGGATCTGAGGGACTCCATCTCGTCCGTCCAATGCTCCAAGAGCTTGGAGCTGGAGAAGATCAAGGACAAACCCTGGCATATATGCGCCAGCAACGCCCTGACGGGGGAGGGGCTTCACGAAGGCATCGAGTGGCTCACGGGTAAGAACGCCTGGATTTCACATCCAACAACTGGGCTCAAAACTACCATGATGAAATTTTGTATCGAGGAGACCTAAAATTTGATATTGGGTTTTGCCCTTTAATAGCGTTACTTTATAAACGCTGTATAGACTCCTCTCAAACCTCATAAACCGCTGCTAAAACACCGCTGCGTTCTGCGCCACATCGCCCCAATTTCCATATAAGGAGATTTTTAGCACTATGTTTGCGAGGCACATATCTAGCCCCAGGCCCATAGCGGATTTTAAATGTACTTGTTTAAAACTGGCCAAGCACATATTTACTCCCTTATTTAAGGGCTGTTTACTGAATTTGACTATTCTCTTATTGACAAATCTTGGAGGTTGCGGAGGTTCCAACATAAGAACAATTGATTGGATTTTTAATATTTCAACTGTTTTTTTTTTTCTTCTTCAGATAAATTGAGACGGTGATAATGGACCACAGCAGACACGGTGATACATGGTGTGAGACACGGATGAGATTTTATTCTTCACAGTAACAGAACACCGCGTGGTCTTATTGCAAACACACTGTTCCAACTGGGTAAACCCTTCAAATAGTTGTTCTCATAGAGGAACATCGACTGATGCTTGTTAAATCGAGAACCGCCCATTTTAATCTGAAACGCGGAAATGCAGTCCGACAAGAACAGAAATTTTCCTCATTTTTGAAACACTCTCACTGCTAAAAAGAAGGGACCACAACGGTTTAAACATCAGGACTCAAATGCAAGACTTTGTCAATATTAAAATTCTTTTTTTTTTATGTACAAAGTTTTTTTTAATGGTTTAAATCCTTGCGTAGGTTCAAAAACACCAGCTTATCAATGGAAATTTATTTTTTTTGAAGAAATTGAAACGTCTTTCCTGGCAAGGGGGGGGGGAGGTGGGAGGGACTGCAAGCAGTTAACTGTTATTCGGAAATATGTTTACTCGTTTGGTAAAATATTTTTCATAATGTACCCAGCAGATTTAGAGTGTTTGTGAAGTTCCCCAATATTCACCTCGATATACATATTTTGTTCCATTGTTGCACTGCTCGCATGCTAATTTTGAGATAAATTTATGCACAAAAAGTTGCATTTATATTTACCTTACACTCTAGCCTTCGTTACAGTTTAGCTAATGCAACACAGTCGTGTGTGAACAAAATAAAAAAAATATAACTGTTATAAAAAAAAGAAAACTTTTATTGATATTTCACCAAGTGCCACATTGTACATTTGTATCATTTCTGTATCGGCTGCACAAACAAGATATGTAGAAAACAGCGGCAAGAGCATAGAGTATAGTTTTGTGAATCTTGTGACAAAAAAATTAATTAATTGACATCTTTAGAAATAGATTTCTTTGCAAGAAAAGAAGTAATAATTTAATTGCTCTGCTTGAATGACCAAAAGTTTGGGTGTTGAAAATTTTGTTAATATTTTTTGGACCATTATAGATTTGGCAGAAACAAAATCAGCATTGTATCTTAACTAGCATTGAAATAATTTCGACCAAAAAAATAAGTTTGTAAAGCATTTTAAACAACTTTATCTCAAATTTATCAGATAAGCATCGTGTACTTACTATTAAGTTTCTCTACTGCTTTTACATGTCTCTCACAAAAAGGAGCAAAAGTTGGGAATTAAAATCCTTTCTTGTGGTTTTTCTTATGAAATTAATTTAGTAATATATTGTGCAAATTTCCTGAAACGTTTTCTTAAGATTGTCTCGTCCCTTTCTTTAAAGACTTGTTGAACAACTATGCTGGAATATTTAAACAAGTTTTATCACGGTAGATCAGTAGGCCAACTTGTAAAATGAGTGTAAATAGTTTGATCGTGAAAGTGATTAAAAAGTTTAACATTTTCCCCAAAATTGCATTCACTTTGTCTTTACAGTGATGTTTCTTTATATCTTGCGAATTTGTTTTTAGTTTAAAATAATTTATCCCCCCCCCCCCCAAAAAAAAGCCCTCTGGATGCGACTTGAAATGACCAAATTACTGGAAAACAGTCATGCGTACTGCAATTTTTGTGTGACAATTTCAAAACACAAAATAAGTTTAAGGTCACATTTCTGTAAGCTTATTGTTATGGATCAAACTTCCTCAAAACTTCGATTATTCTTTCTTAAACTTGCGAAGAAAAGTCATGCCAATGTATTATCCAGAAACCTGAACGAATGGATAAAAGTTTGCAATTTTTGTATGTGCACCAACTTTTCCATTGTGTACATAACACCGTTAAACATGCACAGCGCCCTCTCAAGTCGACTGCCACATTATGTTTAACTTTTGAAAAATTGATATTGAAAATCATGTCCATCTCCTTTACTCCTCGTGCTCACCCGTGTGTGAAATATTTATCGACTCATATTTAAGAAGGATGTTCAAAAATCTTCAGATAAATAAATATGAATAGACAAAACTATATATAAAAATAAAAATGATTCAGTTTTGTTGAATACAAATGAACTGAATGTGTGAAATGCGTTTGTCTAAATAATACTGAACGGGGATTATTTTTTTCCCTCGACATATTATGCTGGGATTAAATTTCATTCGTCATATGCTTCACTTTTCTTTTTAATTGATCAAGCAATCCATCATTTGAGGTTCAAATTAAATTACATTGTGTATCACTTTTCATGCCGCCCTGTCGGATCTGTAGCTTGCATACGTCAATTATTTCTAACGAGAAAATATTACAATGGGATTATCCATTGGCTTATTCGGTGTTGTGTATGAGTCATTATGATGTTGCTCTATGGTCAAATTACCAGCAATTGTTGTAACAATGGTCTTCTTAAATTCATCTGATGAGGTTGGGCGTGGCACGCACATCTCAGATTTCCGCAATAATTAATCAATCGAGATCAAGGCACCGGCATAATAAATAACAACAAACAAAAGAATCGATCATCTGTTGGGCTATTGTTTTCATTCGGGAATTAACAGGTGTTTTCGGAAAGAAATCAATTATTTATGCAAATTCTTTGGTGTGGAAAGTATTTTACACACCAATCGAGAATTTGCTCTCAAAGAGACCAACCTACCACAGAGCTCCTTTTAATGTGTGAGGTTGTAAACGACCAACCACAGAGCCTGTTTCATTGTGTGGGATTGTGTACATTGACTGCAGTTGGGAACCAAGATGGCGGCCGGAATTTGCCGAAAGTACGAGAATCTGTGGACAAAAACGTAGGATTTATCGAGTTATAAAGGTGAGTTTTTGTAATAGTAATGAATACTGAAAGACACTACTTCTGGAGTTTAAGTTGTGTAAGGTTTTGGTCTTGATAATTTTCAGCAAAGTGGAGAAAATCAAAGGTTTGTCCGACTTTGTCGTTGTGTTCGAAGACTTTGCTAGTCGGTCCTCACACGTTCTCGAACTCGAGCAAGGCAGTGATCGTTGATCATGAAGTTGAAATGAAATTGAAATGCAAAGAAATGAATGTGAATTTATACTTTTGAACTTATACGTTTCAATGTGAATGTATATGTTTCAATGTGATGCAAGCAGGTTGCCAAACAAATATTCAATTGGCCATTTATAATAATTAATATGGATTTATGAAAAACCTCACAAAATAAATATTTTCCCACAGACCGCTGACTGACTGACTCAGTGCTCAGTGACTGGAAAAAGGAAAATGAATAAACTTTCATTTAGTAATACAATCAAATCAGCCAGTTTTGGACAACAGAATGCAGTATCCCGGTGGCACTCGTACTCATTCGCAATATATAACCTTCATGGGTGGTCATATAAAAATAGGGAGCAAAAGTAAAAAAAACAAACATTTTTTTGTTATGTTACTTAATGTTACAGAAAAGACAAATAAAGTTGGAAAGAATGTTGCAACCTGATGCCACTTTTTTTCTTCGTTATCATATATCATCTCAATGAAGGCGGCAAAAATGTTGAAAAGACATGAATCTGGGACAGAGAAACATTTCCAATTTTGTTAGGAAATACTTAAATTTTCTTGACTCTCCATATACTTTATACACAACTGCTGAAGTGGCATCTGGGTACTACATTCCTTCCATACATTTTTCAAAACTCCCCATTAATTTACTACATATTTTCTTAATCAATTCTGTCTCATATTTTGATAATATTTTAGTTGAAATTTTATTTGTAATTGTGTAACATCCTCAGGTTTGGTTGGTTACTTTACAGGAACTTGGCAGAAAAAAGTAAAAACAATTAAAAGTCAAGTAAATGGGTCAGGCAACAGGTCTGTCGTGTAAAATGAAAAGAAAAAGAACTCTGGAATAGTGTTAATAAATACAGTGTATCACCTTTGGCTAACATTAACAGTGTGTTACGTACTAATATTTTGTTTGTGATATTTTGTTTGTGATATTTTGTTTATCGAACACACAATAACTTAAACTACACTCAAGAATAACTGTTGACCTAGCGTGTCTCGTTCACAACGTAGCTGCAAGCAGGACAAGTCTTGAACACGCTAAACTAGCCCATTAACAACACTTTGCACATCACAGAAGAGGTTGTGCAAATTGATCTAGGGACATGATCCTTTGCAGACATCCATTGATACTGATAAGATTATTTGCACAAACTTCCCTTATCAGTTTGGTTTGGATTTTGCTGAGTCTCTGAATTTCACCATTAGTGGTGGTGTGCGTTTAAGGGAAGTACGGCAACCCATTACCTGTTGAAGTAAAAAACAGGTACCCAGGTAAATATAAAAGAAACCCAACCCCCAAATTCAAATCGCTAAAGTTGTCTGAAGGGCTTTTAGCTTTACAGTGTAAACTACAACTTTCACGATTGTTGTCTGTCGCGTATTAAAATGCACACAAGTTTGAAATCTGTTCTGGTTTTCCATGCTGCCTGTTTTCTTTTTGAAAATTTCCCTCAAATGGTATTCAAAATCTTTCTTTTTCATTGTCTTAGAAGTTTCTTAGCAATTTTTAAAGTTGGTTAGGGGTGCCTGATCCCATAATCTGGAACCATAATCGGATACCTAACCATTTAAAATGAGGATATAAAGAAACATTTTGCACATGTTTCTTTTTTTTTCACATTTTCCCTATTGACCTATTAACAGGGGCCATTAAATTCGTAGATGTCACTCTTAAACACATTTTGTGTAAATATGCGTGCCTCTATAAAAGGAAACACAGTTTTTCACCCCACCATTTACAATGCCCATATGCTTATCCTTGAGAGTGTTGCCGTGACGATAGCATGATTAAATGGATGAGGCCCATAATTGGATCACTTGACTTGTAGAGTACACCATTTGTACCATCTACTGGGTTTTGAAATGTCAACTTTTTGTCAATACTTTACGTTGACATTGAGTGCCATTGTTCCCAGAGTAGGTTTTAAAACGTGTAAGAAATTCTTCCGATCAAATAATATATCTGAACCTGGTGTTGGTTTCATCCATAACTTTTGGTGGGAATTGCGGGGGATTAATATTGTGTTGCCAAGTTTCACTTGGAATGGCTTTTAGTTTCATAATTGTCAGTTTCGTTTTGAGTAAATTCTGCTTGAGCTTGAGTACTGAAGAGTTTGAGGATACACAGATGCACGTAAATTACAGTTTTATAAAAAGTTCAATTGTCATGTTGAATTGAATGTATTTTATTTTCACTCAATATTTCATTAATTAAAAAAAAGGAAGCTATTTTATCTATTTGTGGGATTAAAATCTGGATTATTAAAAATTCTGTTTGAATTCCACTTTTTGATTTTGATTCTGGAACCAGATATTGGAAACCAACCTCAAAAAAATTGGGTCTTCCATTTTTTGTGTGACACATGGTAAATAAAATAACTGGAACATCCCCTAAATTGCTCCACGGTCTCTGATAGCCTGCCAATTCGACTGATTTATAGCGAGTTTCCACCCATTTTTTTTTTAACATTACAGCTCTAGAGTGTTTTTGTAAAGGCCCAGTGGTCATTGAATCCAACTAAAAACTACATATCCAATAATTGCATGCGGCACCTCACTCGTCAATTTTTGTTGGCATGACTCTTGAGTTGAACGGGAGCTTCCAGTGAAATCGGATAACCGTTTAGTCGGTTTGAAAAAATATTAGGATAACCAGATTTTGAGATCACCGATTTCTCCCAGCACGCTGATTTGATGGGATGTGTACTTCTATGTGACAAATTGTAGAATTTGGCTTGTGGAAATTTTATGTAAATGTTTGTATAAATAAAGCAACAATGAAATAAATGCAACAGCTGGGCGGGACGGACAAAATCAATAATTGCAAATTGTTGCAGTGGCTGCACAGTCAGTGTAAAGTATTTCACTTAAACCCGTGTACACATGTAGTTTGATTTTGATTTGTGGGTCTAAATTGATACAACGGAAGAAGAAAACTTAGCAATTTTTAAATTATTTGCAGGTTGACATAATTTGAGTGTTATCTTATTTTCATAATTATTTATTTATATTGTCAAAGAATGACACTCTGTGCCTCATTTAATTTTTTTTTATTACAGATTTTTCTCGGGGTATTAATTAGATTCAAAAGATGTGGATTCCAAATTCTCTCTTTTGTTTTAGTTTCAGTTAGAAAATGTTATGAGGCAATTCAGGCAAACTTAATTTCCAAATACAGTGCGTGATTGCATGCACACAGATCAAGGGCATTTCTAGAAGTTGAGACAAACAAAATAACCCTAAGTGTTGAAAGGAAGGAACAAATGAGACTTTAAATAGTTCAAAAGCCCTGTTTCTGACATTGACCCATGCTTTGTGTCATTGTTCTTGACACCAGACATTAATTACGAAACCAGGCACGCGATCCTGTCAATTAATTTTTCCATTAGGAATCTGCCCTAGCGTGCATAGTAGAAAGTGCATACATGCCCTATTCTGCCGTTGATTATAGAGTACGTCAGTATGTACGGTAGATTAGACCATGATTAAACGAACTGGACATTTTTGGCCAATTTACTGAACTCAAAGGCTATAGATGTATTTCCTTTGGCCAACAACAGTGGTCACATTTAAAAGGATACAATATTTGCTTTTGCTGTAATTTTCAGAAATGGATGGATTTGGGGGGTTAGTACTTAAAATATTGTTACACTGACCTGTTTAAAGTTTTGAGTTTGTAGTATGCTGGAAAAAAATATTCTGGTTCTCTGACCCTACTTCAGATGAAACGGAGCAGTTTATAGACGTCGGGGAATTGTAAGGTCAGGTTACCAGTCTAGCTGGCTTGTATCCGTTCAAAACCGATTGCAAACAAAATGTGGATTTAACTAAATGTGGTTAAATTGGGGGAAGTATTTGGAAAAAGGCCATTTTTTTCCAACAAAAGTCGGCCGACCATCGTTGGAAATCGATACAAAATTTCCACCAGTTTTGAAAATGTCAGCACACCAGGTGCCATGATTTTACAGGATGCTTAAGACTGTCATCCACTAACAGTCCAGTAAGGTATTTCATAATAATATGGTAGAACTTTTTCTGATGTTTGCAAATGTTGTGTATAAATTACCAAGTGGAAATCTGTAACCATAATTTCCAGGTCAAGTTGGCAAATTGTTCAGGAATCATTTTTGTCTAACGACGGTATAGCAGCGAATGTGGTTCCTGATGAAGCACAATACCAGTAAACGTGATGCCAAAGAATATTATAAGTCTACATGTGGTCACAGCTAGAAGACCTTGCAGTATACCTTTTTGACTTCATTGATTCAGATTTGAATAAATACAAATAATGGTTCAAACAATCCTAGTCAACTTTCATCTGGAAACTTCAAGCACCTCTGCAAAACTTTATGCGGAGGACATGTTTTCGAGACCGAAACCATGTTTGTCCATCCGTAAAAGTCAAGTGTCAGTAAGGCTTTCCAGGGCCCAGAAAATCATCTCCTAATTACAACAACATGTATTATTCTCGGAGCCTAAATGTAACGTGAGCTGTTGTCAACTTTGCAGTTACTACAAGCTGAACTGAGTTACCGGTATTCTAAATTTGTTTTTACTGCTGGACAGATGATGGCCTGGTCCTTAAGTTTGAACAATTCCCTTTATTAAAAGGCGACATATACACAAAGCCAGTTAGCTAAATCCAATTCCACCAGCCTTGCCCGAAGGACAGAAACTTTTATCTATCTGATCATCAGCTACGGACAGTGAATTTTGGACAATAGTCCGGTCAGGAAAGTGCCGGGGAATGGTTATGTAAACAACACCCTTAAAGTGTCCATCCTGTTGACTTTTCATGCCTGAAATGTTTGTGTGAGTCCCCACGGACCATTTAGGTGTAACTGCTAGCTATTTTTAAAAGTCCATTCTGTGGTTTCGCAGTATCAAAAACACTGCTTAGAAAATTCATGTGTTAAGCATAAATCGGCTGGTGATAAGCAGTATACATTATATGAGATTTTGCCTGGTAACCGGTTTTTGCCAAGCGAATAATTTCCATGCTTAGCACTTTTTTTGGGGTACTTTCATGAAATTGGACTCGGATTGGTTACAGGAAGTAAAATTAATGCCTGTTTCGATTTTGTTCCTTGTGTGAAGCCAAAGAAAACATAAAAGTTGAACCGTGTTAAAACATTCCATATATTTAAAATAATTTGCTTAAGGGTATAGATAACTGTCGTAAAAGCAAACAAACTTAACTTAAATGCCATGCAATAGTAATGACAAATTACATTGTATGTCCAGGAAATTTAAAAAAAAAACAAATCTTCAACAAGTTTCTAGTCTTTCATCATGTTATATTATAAAAAATGAAACGAAACAAAGCCATTGAAATACAGACTTTTGTCACATTCACTTTCACCGAGTTGGTTTTTCCTGCCTTCGAATCTTTATGAAAGTGATGGCTTTAGCAAAACATATTTTAAGCAGAAACAAGTTTGCGGGGGAACAAAAGGTGTGTGGTGACCTCAATGCGTAATTAATTGATCATTTGAATGTAATGAATATGCATGACTGTGCAGCAGTCATCATTGGTCATTTCCAGGAGACTGCAGTGATTGAAAACAGATTCAGGGCTTTATTTCACTAGTCATCTCCCAAGTGAATAGACCTTCAATTGACCCCTCCTACTAATTATCTCATTTGCATATTTTATGAATATGGATGAATGGATCTTCGGTTTTTTTTGTATCAGCCCCTTACTGCTCAGGTACTGATGTGAACCAAATAAAGACAAGCGTGGATGATTAATGTGCCCCTCTAACCTCTAATTTAAATACAATGAATATTCATGATGAGGTGTCACCGTTTGCTTTTTATCCATTCTCCAGTATGCAGTGACTGTCAAGATGACCACATTATAAATAGTCCGGGGCCCCGCAACATGGATACAAGGCAGCCACAGCCAGACTGCAATATGTAAATGCAATCAGGGGCATCACTTTAAGGTAAGTTAGCAGACAGCACAGGTCTCATAGTTCACTGTGTGATTTTGGATAAGTTTCTCAAAAGACTATAAAAAAAACCAACGGAAATCCGCAGTTTTCTACACGTCTACCGCTCATCTTCAGGGTCAGAGCAGAAGTCGAGACCTTTACATTATTGGTGAACTGTCAATCGTCTGGTCCAAGATTTCTGGAATTTATATTCTGAAGTTGCTGATCTAGTGACAAATTTTACATCTTCTGTTTTGAAGCCCACATCTGCAGTCCAAGGCAAGTATCTTTGCAATCTTTTTTTTCTCAGTGAGAGGAATTTTGTTTGTTTTAGAAGTCAATATTTCACGGTCCGCTATCCCTGCTTGTCATCTTTGCACGGAGCGTAAATAGACTGGGTGCTAATATCCAAATATTTAGTATCATCACCTAAATATTTGACCCGTGGTATCCTTTTTGTGATTTAAGAGGTTTTTAACCCGTTGTATTTTGCTGGAAAAAAAATAGTTTGAGAATTTTTACTTTAACTGTAGAAATATCAATTACAATTTCAGAAATTTATAATATTCCAATGTTTTGTTTAACTGCTGTGCATCAAGTTATATTTTTTTAAAGTTTTTTTCCCTCCAACTTGGTCTTCAAACTAATTAAAAAAAAATAGTTTCTTGATTTTTAAACCTTGATGAAAATTAATAGTTACATTACAATTCAACCTTTTTCATTGGTTACCCCTTAACCTTGTCTTAAACTGCTTCAGACTGGCTGTCCAGAGTTTAAGCTGAACTAATTTATTCCGGAGATAAGAATTAATTAGAATGAATTCCAAAGATTAGGGAGCAACCATGCGCAAAACAGATCGACAGCCACAGTTGTTTGAGTCTAGTCAATGGAAATACATAAAGTTTGCCCATCGAATGACTGTCGAATTGCGAGTGAGTTACAACTTAGCTGAAACATGGTGAGAAAACTCACCATGATAGAGTTCAAGACCAAAGTCAGAAGCCTCACTTTTCCAGCGATACATGTTTACATGTAGTGTGTAAATAGCACTGGCCTCTCACGCCTCTAGTCAATATCACGATCAGTGAGAGAAATGGAAAGGCTGGAATTAAATTCACACATTGCTAGGATTTCTGCTCCCATGGCATTTGCAGATAAGCCTGTATCAGGTGGATGCTGTCTTATCAGGTAGAATATACTGTCAGCAGGGTGAAGTGGCTCAGCTGTTTCCTGTGATGCTTGCCAAACTCTCAAAAAAGTTTCCTTAAAAAATTGTACTTGTTGCTTTGTGTCTTGTCAGTTTTGGTCTTTTCTGTAGTCAGATTTGGCCTCGTCCTGAAGTAGTTTGTGTGCGCATACCAGCGGAAAACAGTGTCTTTGTTCTGCATATTATATTATTCAGTTGATCCTTGTAATTTGTATCAGAGGTCTTATTGACGGTTGTGTACTAGTCATTTTCTGACTCTTTATCCAACAAAAAAAACCTTGTTCGTTCTTGTAAACTGTCAGCTTTCTAGTCTCGGAGCTGTCATCACATGATATGAAATAAGTGTTGGCTGAGATGAGTGCAATACTTGTGCTAATTAATGTGAAGATGTTGCCATGGTCACCTTGCATAGTCTTGGAAAATATTCTTTTTAACTTTGTAGATTTCTTTAACTGTCAAAGTGCGATTCTTAGTGAGTCGCTGTAATTGCATAACCTCTTGATTATATCATGTTTTTCTCTGTGGGCGACTTCTTGAAAACTACAATCGCCCGTTATCACTCTTGCGTTTACCTCCTTTCCTGACAATCAGCTTCCTGCCTCGATAACCCAGTAACCCATTTGCATTGTAATTACTTGAAAAATGAAAGCAGTGTCTAAACATAACTGTAATTTATGGCAGTGGTGCCCACAACCATTACCTAACTCAAACCTAACTTTGCCCAATCCAACACGATCCAACAGCGAAGAAGTCTCTTGAAAATCGATGATCTAAGAAGTGAGAAGAAAAGACTACTGAACAGTTGATTGTATCATTTAAGCTTTTTTTTTTTAAAGAACAAAATTTTTAAATCAAATTTTCTCTCCAAGTTTGTCGTAAACATAAATGGCAAGCAGTGTATTTGATATTTTATGCTGAATGATATTTAATACAAGATGAAATTAACTTTCCCTCATGTATATTTCCTCCTTGTGGCTTTGTACTTCAGAAAAATGTATGGAAATGATCCAGAAAATGACAATAATGATGCTAGTGACCCTCGATCGGTCAAAGAAGTTCACATGACACGGCCCATTAAGTTTGTATAATTAAAGGTCATTCAGAGATCGTTGGCTTTTATCGCCAGTTTGCAAGACTCTTGTCAATCACGTTTTTTATTAAAGTGTTCAGAATTCTAACAGATCGGAACAAAAAATTGATGGAATGTATTTCTTTTAACTGGGATAAAAACATGAAAATGAATAAGACCGCTGCAAACTGCTGACTGGATTGACCTGAAATATACAAATCTAAAAAAATTAAGGCTGCCTGACGTTCTGATCTTAACAAGATCTTCTTATGAGGCAAAAGAATATCTTGTTAAAGAAGATGTTGTTAAGATTGGAAAGTCAGACTGCCTTAATTTTTCAGATTTGGATAAAAACAATGTGCCTACCAGTATATTGCATCACAGTCAGTTTAAAGGGAACACAAGACAAATTACAAGCACATCACTTGGATGAGAAATCAAGCAAAATCAAGCAACATAAGTACAAGTCTGGCTGAGCACTGTAAGTGAAATTCATTCCTTTAAGGGGGGGGGGGGGGACTGCCCATCGCCACGTGCCTGCTGGAGTTTAATTACTTGGGATTTCCCAATTTTTGTGGCTTAACAAGAAGTAAGACTAAGATCGATTCCTAGAAATCTATCAATCATTCCAATAGTCAGTGGAGAAATCCAATAAAAACATTTGACCTGGTACCAGCAAAACTAGAAAAAGTGGCATTTTTCCAGGCATTGCTGGTAAGACACGACCATATCGTGCGCGCCGTGACTGTGCCCTGCACATGACGGCCGGTGCGTAAAGGCGGTCTGAGGCTGAGTCACGACCCTTCTACCCTGCCCATCGTTTAATAATAGCATGAACTCCGTCCGAACGTCATGAGTAACTCTTTGAAGCACCGTGGTTGGCTTTTTTTCTGTCTCGTCAGTCTGCGGTGGACATACATTTCCCCTTCTAAGATTTAAAATAAGAAATTAATCCAAACAACTTCCTTGCTGGAGGTTCTTAAACCAAAAGGTTAAACCAAATGAAATTTCAAGATATTTGTGTCACTGTCATATCTGTTTAAAAAAAAGTTAGGAGTGATCTAGATACCAAATTCAACAATGTTTTTAAGCTCTGGCAGGAAGCTTCTATATCTCTTGGTGGTCGGTCGGTTGGAAGGTCTGTCTTTCTGTCCCAAAAAAATGACCAAAAGTATGGTGTTCCATATGTGCCATCAGCGTCGCATTTTTCGGCGTTGCATTTTTAAGCTCTGGCAGGGATCATTTTGATCGCTTTCATGGAAGCTTTCATGTAAGACTTCTTGCAACACAGCAAGAGTTTATTGTGCACTCGCACTTGTTCTTAGATTGTTAAAATGATTTTTTTTTTGTCAGTTTCAGATAATAGGCCTATAGATACTAAAACGTACAATGAAGGAAAATGATCTAAAAATGAGGAGAAAAAAAATCGAAAGTCTAATTAAAACTATTTCACAAAATTATAATACAATTTCCCTTTTTTTTTCATAACTTTTCCCCCTGTATTTTTTTGTTCTTGGATTTTGTCGTGGTCCTTTTGCATTTGCCTCAGATCACAACCTTTCCATCTTGGCATCTTGTTTTTGTCAGCAGCTCGAGCAAAAACATCCTCACTCTGTCTGCGTGATCTTACTCCAACAGGTTGATGACTGTCCCCTTCTCCCTCTCCCCCCCCCCCCCCCCCCCCCAGTTTCCTCTTCAGGCTTCCCCCTCCCCTTGTCCCTACGGGTCAGTCCGCAGTAAATCACAGCGCAGTCGTCAAACCACGCAGAGCTCAGCCACAAAACAGACGTATTATCAGCTAAAAATAGCCTTCAGAAAAGTGAAAAATAGTGCACTGATTATTGCAGTGTCATTTTTTCAAAATTCTTACTTAGCATTTTGCCTTTGAAGCATGCGTGCTATGAAAGAAATTTGAGAAAATAGAAACTTTGTTTAGTTGAAAAGCAAATTTTCTGACAGAAAAGTATACACATATCTAAAACAATGTCAGTAATATATTTTGATTAAGGACCCCAAGTTTTGTTGTTGCATATATACTCATGATACTGCAAGTTGAGAAAACAAAGATAACATAATCTGATAGTTAGCACTCTGGTGACTCATTGAATAAATAAACAATATTACTGGTACCTTGGAAAGCAAATAAAGTTGCTGGATTCTACTTTCCTCAATCCAACAAATTCCTTCAAAACATTTTTGGTGGATTTTGAAGGAATGGGAAAGGTAGAATAGGCTTGGACTATATTTCAATAATACCATATAGGGGCAATATTTTTTTGGATACCAAACAATACCAAATGACGATATCTAAATACCAAAGACATCAGTGTGGAATTTCAAAACCGTGATTAAATGTCAAAATTGTCAAAATCTATTACAGTTTTGCATTTTTGGGGTCAGAATCGCGGTTGGTGTGCACGTCAAGTAACCATGGCAACACCAAACTTCAGCCCATGCCCCCATTTGCGGTATCGCCGACAAACAAGATATTTTTAGCGAGTTTATTTCAAGCTCCCCATTGAACCTGTCGCTTTAGTCACTTCTGCCGAGATTCACTGGTTTCCTGCACACTGAGCAGTGATGCAGTGTCGTCGGCGCAGGAACAGAGACCCTCGCTAACAGATAATGCATCATCCACCGGTCCTCTGTAACTACCTTTTCCTTCCGCCGGCTAGCAGTTGTTGCTCTGGTGTTGAAGGCAACATTGTCTGACCTTTGGCCCTTAAAGGGACACTCACAGATTCAAGGGGAGACTTTTCCCATTAAGAAGTTTTACAGTAATTTTCTCTTATGGTTTGGTAAATGCATGATTAAGATGAAGTTACAAGAGAATCAATAAGATGTTTCTTACCTACAGGCTGTCTAAAAAAGAAATGGTACAATCAGAAAAAAAATTGATTAAATATGAAATTTCAAAATAAGTCATTCTTACTTGGCATAATATTAAAGAGCAAAGACTGGCTTTCCAATAGTGTTCGTTTGATCTTATTTGCTTTTGTCAATTCAGAGATATAATCAATTTAGTGCGATACACCAAAATCAATTTTGTGCCACTTTTATGCATGGGCAGAGTTGTTTCGAGTACTGTGCCATGCTGTCTTGAAGCTCACAAAAAATTGCAACTTGGCAAAAGAAACAAACTCGATTTTTGTGTTCCGCAGTAAACTGGAGTTATCTCTGGATTGACAAAAGCAAATGAGATGAAACAAAAAGTATTGGAAAGCCTGGTCTTTTTTCTTTAATGTGATGCTCAAAACGACTTACTTATATTGAGATTTAATATCGAAAAAAAATCGTTTTCGATTGTACCATTTTTTTGGAGACAGGCTGTAGTTCCCGCCGCTCGCTTTCTCAGTGTAGAATATAATGGAGGGACTGGAAACCAGCTTTGATTGCTCTCGTTGAAAGGAATACCCCCTCATCCTGGTACCCAGTCTCAAATGTAGACAGATTAACAATGCATAGAAGAATGTACAGTATTTGCTTGTCACTACTCCATTGCAAAGCTCCACTGTACCGTCTTGAGATAATGCACAGAATTTGTTCCATCAGTTTATCCCATCAAGCATAGACTAAAACTAGAACCATAGAACTTAATTTGTTTTTCAGTCTAAGTTGTAAGTGCACTGCCACTGTCTGCAAAAGTGGACCGGTTCATGGTCAGATATATTCACTTGATGAACATAGGGGTGTGCGTCGGAACCGAGTACCCGCCGAGCACCCGAGTACTGATGTCAGGAACCAGTTCCAGATTATGGGATCGGGTACCCGTAACCAACTTTACAAATTACTTAGTAACTTTTAAGACAATGAAAGAGAAAAGGTTTTGAATGCCATTTGTGGGAAATTCTCAAAATGAAAATGAAACCAGGATACATGGAAAACCAAAATAGATTTTAAAGTTGCATAACTACCCTGTACTGCATGTATGCACTTGTATCTCGCTGCATTGATGCTCCGATGTGGTAGTGGTATCATACGCACCTTTAATGAACAATCTGAACAGCAACTTGTGGGATTTCAATTTTGGGGTTGGGTTTCTTTTACGAATACCTGGTATCCGTGTCTTACTTCAATAGGGTACCTGGTTATCGTACTACCCGTAAATGCACACCACTAGTACATGTTTGCAGACAACTTGTAGTTTTTAAGGGCATGACAAATTTGTTGCGGGCTAAATAATGACAAAGTTTATCTGGAAAGTTGACAGCTTTCTCTGTGAAGGTTAGCCTCAAATCTTTGTTGAGTTTGCGTGCAGCAGGTCAATATTTCGGCTCCAAATAGTGCCTGCTGGAGACAAAAAGGCGGTATTTTGGAACGTCAGTGATGCAGTCTTAATTCCTTCCTATTAAGGCAATTAATTCCGTACATTTCCGTGCACTCAGTTTTTGTACCCACCTGTTTTGACAGAAAAGGAGTCGTTAATTCATGATTCACAACTACTCATACATTAATCTTCTCTGATTTTTGTTTTAATACTAGGTCTGGGATTGTAGAGGCACCTGACCGCACTACAGACAAGGCCAGTAGAACGTAGAAAGTTCATTAAAAGGTATGTTAATTTTTAGCAGAAATCATATTAAATTACTTCCAAGTTTATATATAGTTTGGTTTTTAGTGTGAAATGTCAGAAAGATATTTACAGTCATTTTTCAATTTTAAATAATTATTTTTTTTTTTTTTCAAATTTCAAAAAAATTTAATTTGAAAAAAAAAAACCACCAGTTTTGCACATAAGGCCTTCACGTATATTGATTTGAAGATAAAAAATAACATTCAAGACCATTAATAATTTTTTAAAAATAAACAAATACAGAAGAATTGATAGAAATGAAATAATTTACATTGCCAGTCCACTTATTTGTTATATTTGGACTACAGAAATGTAAAGCCTACATACATGTCACTAGTCCAATAGATAAACAAATTTTCTTGAATTCCTTAAAATGTAATAGGCCTATACACAAGTACATTGTTACTTCCCTTTAACTAATAAGACCACAGATGACAGGCAGTTATGAAAAAAATACCTTGGACTATTTTGGTTTTAAACTAATGTGGTAAACAGACCGGGGAAATTTAATGACCTCTAAAATTATCTTCCAGGCATCAATTGACCATCTGGCTAAGTCTTATATAGTTTGTTTGTGGGTGTTTATATATCAGGAAGTAGTTTTTGCTGGGATGAATATCATTGTTTTTCTTTGCAACCAACTGTCAGGTTTTTTTTTTTCATTCCCCGTATTCAATTCCTTTCAGCTGGAACATTGAAAGTGATACCAGAACTTGATTTTATTTTTATGTCTTTTAAAATGCCTGGGGAAAACGTCTATGATCACAGAACAATGATTCTGTTGATAAACTGTCAGTCATATACTAGGTTTCATATATACACAACCTGCTTTGACAACGTAAAATTTATTATTATTTAAAATTTGAGGGGTTTTTTGGGGCCAATGTAATCAGATTTGCCAAGGGCAAAATTCCAATTTTAAGAGTTACACATCCTCAGTGCAAAAAAAATCATCAAAAGACAAAATCTACAGAAAGAAGAAAGAAAGAATAAAGGCTTATGAGCGTGTAAACACTAAGTTAAGTGGATTTTGCATGTAAACACTGTGTTCAATTGGATTTTGTTAGTCTGAGACAAGAACCAAAACTTTCCTCTAAATTTTGTCAAAATATATCAGGATTTCTTCTTTTGCTGTTAAGTTAATAAATTTCTGCTATAGCGATCGAGACTTTAGTAAATAATTTATAAAGCTAATTAGATATTCAACCTGCACGCCCCCTGTCTAAATCGTTCATCTGTTTTTTTCTAGATGGATTTATTAAACTTTGAATTTTAAGCCTTTCCCAAACTCTCCTGCCAAACCTCCAAGGCCCTACCCACTCCCACCCACCCACAACCATATCCTACCGTGCTGTTATTATGATCTATAAAACACACTCGAGAACTGCAACTTTGCTTTAGTGTGGATAACCAAGTACATACGTACGTGTCCACTGTTTCCTTGCCTTCCCTGGTACTCTTGCATAGTCTACCTTGTACCGGTAGCGCAGTGCCGGGAAGTGAGCATGACCGGTTTCCTGCCCATCGAGGCCAGCCGATGTCATTGTCGCCGATGTCAACCCCTCTTCGCCCTAATACCATGGCTTCTTCCTGTTTTAAACCAGTTTCCCCCCGAGGAAATCCTTGTTTTGCAAGCCAGACGCACGTGGTTTGAGTATGCAGTGTCCTCGCTTCAGTACGTGCATTGTGCGTGCACAACACCTTAGCCAATGTGGTTTAGCACGTTTAGCGTGAGACTACAGGATACGCGTGCACAAGTGGCAAACTTGTCCTAGAATGTCACATCAGACATTTTTTCACTCATTTTAAGAGCCCAACCATACTTGAAGTCAAAAGTTGATTTTCACAGATAGTTTTCACCACTGTATTGTAATTAACCAATCACATCCCTCGTTAGATGTGCATCGCCATCAACACCATTCTCGTCAGCCTATCAGCAATGAGCATCATCCCACCGATCACTTTCTCATAAAAACGAGGACAGTGTTTTCGCAAGCGATTTTTTTTACGCATAATTGTCATCCTCTGCTGGATTTCAAGATGGCCACCGACGGCAAGCACAAACCCAAGATGTGGAATAAGCTGAAGGATGCCGTCAATCGCAACGGCCTGGTGAGACGGATCAGCATCCGCAAGAGCAGCCGGGTACGGAAATACGGGGAGGAGGGGGAAGACAATGAAGAAGGCGTCAACGATTATCTGTGAGTTCTACTCTCGTCACAAAAATCGCATCGGAATGCTCGCACATTTCATCCTACTAACACCATGTAATCATAATATGGTTCACTTCATCATGTAGCATTGCTAGTTTAAAGGTAGAGTGTATCGTTTGTCATTTGTGCATTTTTTTTATTGAAGCAACAAAAGTGCTCAAAATCTAAAGAAGGGTGCTTAACAACTAACCTGATGAAGTTTCAGCTCAGTGAATGCTGTACATTCTGAGAAAACAATATTCTAGGATCTCAAATTCAATTCAAAAGTTACCGAGTCATGTTTTGAAACGCGCCCAAAATGAGCATCCTGGACACGTTTTCATTCAGCCGATTACAGCTACCTGATGACGCACTGAACTGACAAATTATAGCAACCGCGCGCGCGTGTGCATCGTGTCAACACTTGCGCCTGCCCATTCATGGCTTTGCCAAATTAAAAACGAGCTACAAACGAAAATTTCCAAAAATGCATCTTTAGATGCATCCTTGGAAATGGCCTTCTTTTATTGTTTTTTTCAAAATGACAGCATGCCAGAAAGAATAATTTCATAGGGAGTATAGTGCCATCACTATCTTTAAACCAAGTTGCTTGTGAACAATAATTTTGTTAGTTACTTTTTGGATAGCTGCAAATGATATACTCTACCTTTAATTTATAAAGAACACAAATCTGAGAAACAGAAAGTGAAGATGTCTGCATTAATGCTGCTAATCCATCATCACCTGCATTTAATTTGTATTAATTTTTAAAAACATTTTGGTCTTAAAAATCTTTCATGTTACACCAAATAAGATGACCAAACTTTTCTGAGTTGCATCTTAAAAGTGCAAGTGTGAGTAAGTGAAACTAGGGACTATTCACGGTTGTCAACATTAATGTCGGCAAGCGATTCATTTAGGGAGGAGGGTTGTGAGTCATTTCGTCTTGAGGGGGCAACAAAGTTTCTTTCTTAGTGTTTGGATAAAGAGTAGGGTTAAGTCTGGTAAAATTGTTAAACTTTGCTACAATTTTGTCATAAATGTGCTTAGAAATAACTATTGTACTGCTTTTAGTTTTGCTTGATTAACAACATGTTTCAACTTGCTAAACTGAAACTAATATTATTTTTCCTTTGTTAAATGGTTTTATGTTGCAGGCGTAGCCGGCATTATGCACTCCCAGTTCGGATAATGTAAATAAAAAATCTTGTTTGCTGTGTTTTTTTAGTCGAGTTGGAAGCTTGGTGAACAGTTTGTCGTGGTCTTTGGTACACAATTTCAGTTGCTTCTGGCTCGTAGAGAGCCAAGAAGCTTGAGTGGTTATTGATTTTTTTGTTTCATGTTTGATTTTCTTAATACTAAACCTAGTTTGGATTTTATTTTGGATATTGCATTATTTGTTGGACACTTAATTGCATCACTTAACTGGTTTGAAAGTTTAAACTTGCTTGTGCGATTTGTTCATTGTATTCTGTGAGTTGTTTTTTTGAGTACTTTTTGCAGTTCATCGTGTCAACTTGCACCATCACCTGCTTATCATTTCCAACCTCAGTCTGTTTGTTTGTCGGTTTGTTTGTTTTCCTGCCTCACCCACCATTGTTCCTCATGTAACAGTCATCATCATCATCATCATCATAACATCATGCTCAAAACACCTGTACATTTACCCAATTAAGTTATTAACCAATCAATCACCACCATTTCCCTCACTGGTCAGAACGGGCCAAGGACAATAATGGGATTGTTTTGCCACTGTAACAATAACAACCGCTAATTATAGGTACAGTGGGTGAATTTCCTTCAGCTTTTTTTGCTATCAAACTCTCAACGTACATGTATTTCATGCACAGTCACTGTGCATGGAGTAATCTTGGAGCAACCAATGCTGTGGATTTACCTGTGTGTAGATGTTTGCAATCTGTTGGAATTACTCAAAAACTGCTTTTGACGTGAGATACATGTTGTTAAATGCAAGTGTATATGTGCAGTTATAGCATTGTGGGATTATTACGTTTGCCAAGGTAACGTACAGTTGATGGTAAGTCTTTGGAGCAGACGTTAATTTTCAAGTAACAGTGTGGTTGCAGTGCCAGCTTTGTTTCATTTCGTTGACTTCATCACTTTATTAATATGAAATTTGTGTGACAAATTTGCTACCTGCGTTGCAAAGTTACAAATTCTCAATTGATTTTGAGACATTCTTCAATTCTGTTTCAACCACATGGTTGAAACAGTATTGAAGGATGTCTCAAATCAAAATTTGGCTTTTTGGGGGAAAAATCATTAGCCGTATCAATTGCAACTTTGATTATATTAGATAACGACAATGACTAACTTGAGTGACAAATGCACAGTTAACATTGTTCAGGTCATAGCCATTGCTTTGCGTGACAACCCGTGACAATTGATCACGTTGCGCAAGTCATTGAACCCAAGGCCCTATTGTTCAACCGGGATGACTCAATCATGGCAATAAACAAAGGACAGTGTCAGAAAAAAATACCCTTTCGTCATTTCACCATCTGGGCAATTCCACGGTTACTCACGTTACGAAAATGTAACGTGAGTAACCGATTTTGTGCATCTTGTTTATCATACATAACACATTTTTCTGGATGTCTTCTTTGGTGCTTAGGTATATGTAGGTCTAGGTCTACTCTATCTACCATGGGGATAACAGTTATTAAACCTTTTCAGTAAGGTAATTACACCCCAAGGAAACTAAAAAGTACATCAAAAATGTAACGCGAGTAACCGTGGAATTGCCCATCTGTATCTTCAAAATGTTTACATTGCCCACATTTTAATTAAAGCCCTTGCAATATTTTTTCATAAAGTTTTCAAAATTTGAGTGCAACTACCGTATTGCAGATACCATTTCGCACAAGAAAAATTTGCTCATTTGCGGAGAACCAGCCAGAAGTAGTATACTTTGCATGATATTTTAGCTGGTAACCATTTTTTTTTGAAAAGTAAAACAATTTTTGCTAGAAGCCAATTAACATGTCCAAGCGTCCAAGCTCCAAAAATAAATTATTCCCCAACCGGTGCCCGCGTCTATGAATCCCATGTTTTAAGCATTGACGGGAACTGTCTAACTCTGACCCAATCATTTTCTTCGTAGACTCTTAGCGCAAGTCTACAGTCTCTTCATCGACGGGGAGCAGCAGCGCTGGGAGAAGATTGTTGACGAGGTGGTCCGAATCTGCGTCACCCTAGAGCAAGAATCGCCCAAGTACGTCTACCACATATCCACCGTGGACGCCGATCTGCAAGGCGTCTTGGATACATACATCTGCGTTCCAGGTGGGTTTCAATATTCTTTAATCAAGACTAGGCCAAGTCTATTAATGCTGGTCTCAGAGTGCACAAAATTTGATTCAGTTGAATTTCGCTGAAAATTTGTTACGCATCTGGTCAACACTGGCTGGGTTTAGCCCATTTATTGGCGTTACAAGGTTATCCTATACAAGAGCACTGCCCAGCTTTAAGGTGATAGTCAGTCAATCAGTCAGTCAGCCAGGAAGATTTGTACAATGCCCCTCCCACTCAAGGCCTGTGCTCCCCCCCCCCTCCCCCCCCCCCAAAAAAAACCTTAAAATTTGGAGGGGGGAAAAAATTAGCTTTTTATTGTTAAAAATACATTGAGTACCCCCTCCCAAAAAAATAGGGCCCCCAGTGCCCCTCGCCATGCATATTGGACCCCAGTTACGCCTCTGTAGAGCATACTCTACTTAAAAACTTTTGCATTGTTCTTCCACTGACTTGTAGCAGCTACACCACACATTTAGATTTTTGTGTACATTGACTTTCTCAGAATATTAGACATCGTTGCACTTTAACTAACTTTTTGGTATCACACTTTTAATGTTTTAATTTGTCCATTAAAAAACCCAAGAAACCCGTCATGAAAGTTCTTAAAATGTCACTCTATGACATCATTGATTGAACCATTGTCTCAACATCACAGCAAACAATGTGTCGAGCGTCATTATTATTCTTTCCTTTTGAAAGTTTACCTCGTGTGTTGTTTTTGCGATTCAAACAGGATTTAAAAGTACTCACCACTTCCTTGTAGACAACTATGATAAGTTCACACGGTCAAAAGACATAATTTATTGAATGGAAACATGTATTCATTGGCTTACAGGTTGATTCAGAATTATGAGGAAGAGAATGTACAGTATTAATGTTTGTGTAAAAGAATTTGTGACTGAAAGGTTGAAAAACGGAATTTGTTTAAATGTTGGCCCAAAAAAGTGTACCTTTAGTGATGATTGCAATCTGTTTCAGTCATAGTCAGGACAATTTTGAGTAGCATTTTGATTGGCTCTAACTGATGGAATTTCTAATTTACATGGTGAATTGTCCAATCAAATCGTAGCTTAGATGTCAGACCATCTGAGATATATGGTGCATTTTGATTGGCTGCAATATATATTATTCTCAATGACCATTGCTGGTTTTGCTCAATCACGCCACTGCTTATGTGTGGCTCCATCTGGTATATTTGCTGTATTTTGATTGGTTGAAACAGATCACTTCTTAATTGGCATGGCTTGTATTGCCCAGTCAAATCGCTGCTTGGATATGGTTTCATCTGGGGTATTTGGTGCCAAACTTCCTTCTATACCCTGGCGATCTATTTGGATGCCATCCGGAAACCTTGAAAATCCTTTATAAACAAAAAGCAACATTCCTTTTCTTGGCACTTCGATCTCAGACTGGGCTCTGAGTCCTTGGAATGGCATATCCGACTAACGCTGGCCGATCATCTCAATGCTAGCTGGAAATTTGTGCATTCCTCAGCAAACTTACGCAAGAATCCGAAGATGTGAATTTGTGTCTCTGGTACAGTAGGCCTAAAATTGCAGGAGGTACTGCTCTGAATACGTCACCTCGCAAACCATTTTGAGACGATTTTGGTGCTCGACAAGACCTCGGCACTTGCAAAAAGACAGTTCTCAGTTCGAATCCTGTCCGGGACTTCCTGTGAGTTTTCTTTTCTCCGAGATTCAACATGGCCTGACCTGGAAGGCAGTTTTCAAAAATGAAAATCTGAAATCTCTTCCAAAGTTTCCAACAAGTAGCTTTACGTGGACAACCATTGTCAAAAGCGAGAGACATTATCTGAGTCCATCTTAAACTTGTTGTTAGACTTGAAACTTTTCTCCTTTCTGAAAGCAGACAACTACACTGTATTTCAATTACTGGTAAGACTAAATCAATCCTGCTGTTGGTAATAAGAAAATATTTCAGATTTTTTTGTTTTTTCCCCTTTGCTTCCTCTGTAGCCTTTGACACAATTCCCACGGCTCTCCGCAGACCATCAAGCTACCATTACATTCAAATCTAAAAACAAACCGACTATTTCCTGTGTTACATCAAAAAATCTTTGTTGCTTTCACCAGGAGCCCAGTTGGTGAGGTGCACGTCCAGCTTCGTCCAGTGGAAAGACTCAGAGCAGGGTGGGGCCTGGGGACTCAACTTCATCTCGGACGACGCGGCCGACAAGTTCATCGCCCTTTGCTCGGTAAGTGCATGGCAACTTTTTTTTTTCTCTATGGAAATCTTTATTTTCTGTAGAGATAAATGTAAAAATGTTATAAAAGTTGAGATATTGGGATTAGGACACCATAGACCAATCGAGTTGACCACTTTTTGTGATTACAAGACTGGCTCTCCGCAGGTACTGGGGTGCTCCAAAGCTCGCTGTGGTATTTCACACAATGCGCTCCCCTTTAGTGATGTGTTCAGTGCTATACTTGTGATGGGTGTTAATGCACGGAAGCATCCCAGTAATTTTCATCCAGAAACATCACCATCATTTCAAAACCGGATTGATGTATACAAATTTCAGGCAGTGCTGTGTAGCATCTTACAAAATAACTTTTAGTGTGATAAACACGCAACTTTCATGGCAAGGATCAGCATAACACAGTTTGTGAGAACCTTTTTAGATATACATCCAAGCATTTGCACTGAAGGGATAAAGCAGGCATCAGATTTTTCAGACTTCAGTCTGAAATCAGACTTTTTGAATCTGAGAGAAAGACATTATTATTATTATTGGACTTTTTTTTGGAAATTGACAATATCTTCCCTGTTACAGCATTACTGACAAAATTATATTATTTTATAACTTTTTTCATCAAGGCTATAAAAAAAAATTGTAAAAACCGAAGAAAAAATCAGAGACAAAAATATTCAATGGCCGACTAGCCTCGGCAAGAATTTATACTGTTTTCTCTCACAAGAAATGTCATGATTTACCAACAATGACATCAACCAAAAACAGTCCCAAAACCACAGCACTTTCGGAAGAAAATCATAGTCATTGCAAACCCTCAAAAAGCTGTAGCTGATACTGATACAGTTCACGATGAAATAATACCGATAGGGAAGTTGGCGTTTTCTAATTATGACAACCACTCAGTAATAAGGGACTTTCCCTCCTATATCCCTCTGACCAAGCCCCCCCCCCCAGAACATCGGAAAAGCCCTGCTTCTAGCACAAAGTGCAACTGCGATAACATCAATTCCACCGAGAACACATCCAGTGAGAAACAATATTGACCTCGTTTGACAAGGAAGAAGTTTGGCAGATTTAATGAAAGTACAGTGATTTTTGACCCAATTCATTATTTTCTTAAACTTTTTTGTAAAATTATTTTTATGGAATATTATATCAGAAATGTTATTGAAGGAGAGAATGGTTTTGTGTGTGGGTGTTTTGTGTTCACTTTTGCTTATAGTTTTGACCGTGATGATAACATTCAACATGCTCAAGTAAACTAACTGAACAAAAAATAGAAAAGAAAACATAATGATATCACTTTCGCAGGTCATACGTGTACAAATTACCCATCAATTTAATAGAATACTCTGAAACACAGTTGAGTTGACCTGTGCCCTACTTTCACGAAACTGCTAAGCAAAACATAAATTTGCTTAGCAAATTTTATGTGCTAAGCAGAAATCAGCTGAGGACCAGGCACAAGCAGTATGCATTGAATGAGGTTTTGGCTGGTAACCTGTTTTTGCTAAGCGAATATTTGTCATGCTTAGCAGATTTCTGTGCTTAGATCCATGAGATTGGCTGCTTATTATTCTACATAAGTTTGCCAAGTACCAGTTTTTTTTTGGAGTAAAATCTGATCCCCTGCCTTAATTCTTTGGTTTAGTAAGTCAACATTTAAAAAAAAATTTAGTTCTCTTATCATCGATATGGAGATGGGCCTACAGTTTTTCTACCTTGTGTTTGATCTATGCCTTGTGTATCGAGAAGTTATAGCGTAGGGAAGTAAACAGTTTTAAGTCCTTCCCGCCTCTTCGGAAAGGGGGCTAAGCAATCCAGGTTACGCCCATTTCACACCCATTCATGTCGGTTGGAGGGGGCATGTGGGTCTCAAAAACACCCTACTCAAGGTCACAACAGGTACAAGGCATCAAAATTTGGGTTAACCACGGAACCCTTCGCCCACAGATAACACTATCAACCATACCATATGCTTTTAGTCCCATATTTGTGCAATACTCTTTTTTTTCTTTTGCTTGAGTCCATTGGTTTTGCAAAGTAAAATTCTGAATATGCATGTCAAGCTGGAATAAATTAATTAAAGGAGGACTGTAGCCCCACCCCCTTTAAAATGTTTGACTCCTCCCCCATTTGTCTTTGAAGTTTAAGGGTTTTATATCTCCGATAGTTCTTTGATTCCATACTTTGCTCCATTTCTCTTAGATAGAAAACATGTTTTTTTTTATGAGAGACCTTTTGTATTTGATGTCATAATTCTGTGGCAAAGAACACTAGAACCAACATTTATTGAGATTTTTTTCCCCCGGCCAGTAATCCAGAATGTTTAATTGATAATGTCTGTCGTTATTTGGTCATGTTTATTTCTTATCTCAGTTCCTCCAGGAAGATGTTTTACCAATGCTACACTCCTTGTCTAGAAATGGCAAATTTGGTGTCTGGGTTGTTTTGATTATTTTGTTTCGTGGTTTATACATTGCTCAATTCAGAACCCTAAATCCTTTAATTTTAGGCTGTCAACTACTGTACCTTCTTCGGAAACAATTCAGAGAAAGTAACCATATACTTTTCTGGACTTTGCGGGAACCATTAGTACAGGCCAAACGTGTCTCACTTTTCCGGCCTTTTGGAAAATGGATAGGAAGTGGTGTCGTCAATCCGTGGGCCGGTTGTCCAGAAAATCTCGCGTGCAAGTTGAGAGAAAAAAATCATTCACACGTACAGGAAGGTCGGAACCGGTGCGAATTGACTGGTTTAATGAACAAAACTACGGTCAGAAATGTAGATGTTCTTGAACTTTCTGGAATGTGTAACTTCCCCAACTGGTGTACTTTGTCGGAAGATTAGTGCAGTAAGTGGAAGCCTTCGGTGATAGTTGTCATTTTTGTGAAAAGTACGTCCCAGTTTGGAAGGGAACGTTTTCAAATGGTGAGTTGTGAAATTAATTTCTGTTTTAGCAATGAGGGAATGATTCTTATTTATTGAACTGTCATTCCACACTCATTTGAAATTGTTTCGGAATTTAACTGTTTGCTTGAAGTTATTTTTGTTTCAACTGTTGAGTCCAGAGTGTCAGTGTAAACTGAAGTTGAGAAAATAGTTGTGAAGTGAGTCGCCAAAACAACTGCAGTTAGATTTGTCTTACCGGTAGATTCCTGATCGGTTGCAAATTCGCTTATTAGAAATTACCTTTGAAATGGAATTTATTGTTCTAATAGTCTGCCACTTTTGACATTGAGTCTCATCGGGGAATTGGCTTCATCGTTTTGTCATTAATTTGTAAATGTGTTGTTTGATTTTATAGATTTTTTTTTCCTCACAAAATTGGGATATTTTGGGAAATGTTATGTTTTGTCTGAATTGGTTTACTGTTTAATTACTCCATCATTATACTTTTTGTTTTGTTTGTATTTATTTCGTTTTTTGGTCCTTTTTTTGGTGTACCCTCATTTTTTTGAGAAATGATTGTGTTGGTGTACATGTTTTTAGCATGACATCAGCAGTCTCCACAGTTTCGTATTTAGAAAGTCCACAACAGAAGTGGTTAATTCCAAAAGGATCATTCTTTGGTCCTCCCTAACCCAGCATTACAGGCCAACCATTACGTTAACTTTCAACGTCAAAATAGCTGATGTTATTCTTTGCCGTTAATTAAATATCCTCCTTTGCTGTGTTGTTGTTTTATCATCCATTATCCACCACCTGTCTATCTGTACTTAATGCGTTAAGAGACGAATGCTTTTGTGGGTTTTGCAAAACCCAAGGTCACTGTACGTCAAGATTAACATGGATTTTTGTGGGGTTTTCGTTGCAACACCCCAAGGCCAACAGTGTACGTCAAGATTAACACGGCTCGTTGTGGGTTTTGGGACTGGACGTTGGGACTTTAGTTAAAGCCAGGAAGTTGTGGAATAATGTAGCTTTTGGGGTTATCCAAGTGCAAGTGGAGGTGTTTGTAAGACCTGTGTTAAATGAACATACACGTACAGAGGCTTATTTGCATACGATATGCACACTTCCTATAGTTTGACCAAATTTTGTAGATTTTATCTACATTGCAAAATGCTTATTTCCCCCCCCCCCCCAAAAAAAAATTGGTAACCGGCTAAGATGCCATGCAGTGCTAATTGCACGCCACCGGTTCTCAGCAGGATTTTGTTCAGCCAGTAGACTGCGGTCGATCAGTGTTTCCTCTGAAACAGCACTTGGAAATTTGTCTGTGATTGTACTTTTTTTTTTTTTGGTTCTCCGGTTTCAGCGTTGGTAATTTTGAAAACCTGTTGTGCCTAGGTAACATGAATGTTGTCTGTATCCTGTCTTCTGTGGCTATCATGTTCCACCACTCAGGATGTTCTGTTAACATTGGCAGGAAGCTAGGACACACATTGTTTCGCCGTGTGAGGTTTATTTGTATTTCCTGGCTTATCGGCTGGGAAACTCAGAAACGTGATCAAGAGCTAAACACTTGCCCAAGTACTTGCCAAGAAATATGTTACTTGTGAATGATTTTGAAAAAAAGACAAACTAAAGTTGAAAAATAAAACTGCAACAAAAATTGTTAAAGTTGGTGTGACTAAACAGTTTCTCCCCCCCCCCCTCCCGTCTCCCCCCCCCCCCCCCCCCCAAAATTGGAACAAGTTGGTGTGAATATTAAGCAGTACACAGCGGCGGATGGGGGGGGGGGGCCCAAAGGGGGCCATGGCCCCTCCCAAACCGAACCCTATTTTTTAAAGTGATGTCGCATAAAAAGCAGCCACTGCATACACCACTATCTTTCCCTAAAAAAAATTTGGTTAAAGTGGTCAGACATTGCCTCAGATCGTACCACAAAGCATCCAGAATCCAAAAAATTTCCGGGGCCCTTAAGCGGGCCTCGAACCCCACACCATAAATATTGGACCCACTTTTTGGGGGACCAACATTTTTTTTCGACTCCCCCCCCCCCCCCCCAAAAAAAAATTGTGTTCTGGATCTTCCCTTGGCAGTATATGCATATT